TTCCCTCCCCCCCTTCCTACCCCACCTGGCACAGGTTCGTGGCAGCTCCCGTGGCGGTGTCCGCCAGACAGAACAGCGCGGAGGGCATAGCGACCAGCAGGCTGGCGGGCATCAGCGGATGGAACACCAGGGCGGACGGGGAGCCAGCGGTGGGGAGGGAGTACAGCAGCCGCAAACCCGCACGCAGGTCGAAGATCTGGGGGAGGAAATGAGGTATGAGGGCGGCAGGGAACGGGGGAAAAAGGGGATAAAACGGGAAATATGGCCGAAGGTAAAAAGCGAGGGACACAACTGCCGACGTCCGGGGGTGGGGGATGGGGGTGGTGGCGGTGGCGGTGGCGGAGGGGTTAGGGAGGAGGAACAAGGAAATGAAGTTAGCAGGGAGTTGTGACAGAAGTTGTGGTGATAGGTAGATGTGTGCGCGTCGGTGTGTGTGTGTGTCTCACACCTTCGAGAGTTTCGCTTTATCTCCAAAGATGTAACCTGGAGAAACATACATACATACATACATACATACATACATACATACATACATACATACATACGAGCCCGGAGAGGGCCCTTGGGCCAGGGGGCCTAGGGCTGTATGTCATATTAAATAGGTACCATATAAAACGCAGTAGGAAAGACTATTACTATCCTATCATCGCTCAGCACGAAGACATTAATGCGGAAGATCAATAAACTGCCGCCATGTGTGTTTTCCTTGACATTACTATTACCGTGACTGTGACTGTGACTGCTGGTAGCTCAGTTCATCAAAAGAAATGGAGATTTAATTATAAACTTTTAGTATAACACTGGTAGCAGCAACACAATAACTGCATTTCTTGCTGCGCTACTGCTGCTGCGGGCCATGTTGCAGCTGTGCTTGCTACAGCCGCCCCCGATGCTAAGCCACATCTCACCTTGACGCAGTTTTCCGCTATCACCTGTCCGGCCCTGAGTCCGTACCCGGCTGCCGCCACCGTATCACCGCGGCCGTCCAGAGCCGCCACTCCCCCAGCTGCGGCGATGAGCGCGCCATCCACCTTTACACCGACATGCATACAGACGGACATACAGACGGACATACAGACGGACGGGTTGGTACGGGCAGACATACAGACGGACAGGCGAGCGTACAGATAGATAGACAGATGGACAGGTAGGGTTGGACAGCAGCAACAGAGAGCAGCAGCAGCAGAACGGCGGGAGAGCGGAAAGCACCAGATGAGCAAAGCGCTGCAGTTCCATTACAGCTACATCCTGTGTAGGGTAAGGCGAAGGCTGTGTGATTTCAGGTGAACAAATGAATGGGTGAGTGGGTGGGTAATCCCAAACCCCCACCCTCCCACCCTCTCACTCCCTTCCTCCCACACTACCACTACCCTGCTACCACTCACCCGCAGCTTGGTCCGCGGGTCAATGAGCGCCAGTCTCCCCAGCGAGGTGGCGCAGCACAGCGACCCGCGGGTCACTGGGCCCCGCAGCAGCGTGATGCCCTCGCCGCCCAACAGACCTAGCACCTCCTGAACGGCACCTCGCACAGAGTTGGGTAACGGGGGACGGGGGAAAAGACGAACCACGAGCGAGTGAAGCTGCTGCCAAGGAAAGAGTGCTGGGGATGGGGGAGCGGAATTGCACGCGAGGGCACACACACACACACACACACACAGGGGGCCAGGGCGTCAGGAACTCCGGAAGGGGTGGCGTGGTACTGTACTGTACGGTACGGGGTGAGGTGTATTATTGTTCGTGTCCGGGTGCCATCCGTCTGAGTTCATTTCCCCTAATTTTCCCCTCACCATAAAACCACGTTCCTTTGTGAGCCGGCGGATCCTTTTCCCCAACCCCCCTTGCCGCCGCTTTTACCCCCCTCCTTTAGACTTGTGCTGCGGCTTCGTCCCCGCCATGTACGGCCGATTCGTTCGATTAACTTCGGCCGTACTCCTGGCCCACTTCCCATGCAACCCCCCTTTTTCCACCCGCTCACAACCAGCTTACTCTCCCCGCCGTTTCCCCCTCCCCACCCACCCCCACCTACCTGTTCCACCACCACTTTCCCCGTGGCGATGTCCACCAGGGATACCAGAGAGCTGCTGCGGCCAAGAACGGCACGACCACCGCTGCCGCCTCCTCCCCCTCCGCCGGTCCCGGTATCCATACAGAGCGCCGTGAAGTGCCCTCCCTGGGGCCCCTTCACGAACGAAGGCCGCGCCGGCCATCAAAGGCGGGCAAGGACACCGACACACGAGCATGGGCACAGTGCATGGGGCGGAGATGGCTAGGCGCGGGCGGGATGTGTACGCGGCAGGGTGAGAGCAGCTGGAGTGACGTCATACCACAACAGCACACCACGGAAAGGGAAGCAAAATCACTACCTCCCCACCCCGCGGGGCAGTGGGTTTAGGGTAAAGGGACCCAGGCTAGGTGAAGTCAGATCGAATGAGAGGAAACCTGAGTTACGAAGGGGTCAAGGATTAAGGCTTCGAGGCTTTGTTGTACCCTTAAGGCCAAGGGTCCAGGGTCTAGGACGACGCCTCAGAGGTGAGCCGCACTGGGACCCTCCGTACCGCGTCATTCAGGCACCACCGCGGCGCCCCACCGAGCCCGTGCAGAGCCAACCTGCAGCGAGGGCCCCACCGGACCGTCAAGATGACCCGTGGGTCGTGTCATCTAAGTGTACGGCACGGCACGTTTGGCTGACATGGGCCGTGGTATTCGCGACACTGACCCGCGGGTCGTCGTGCGGGGTTGCATATAGCAATTTCGTTGATAAAACGCTGGCGTGCAAACAGATTGCGGGAACAGGCGAATCTAGACGAACACTGTAGTCAATGAAAGAGTAGGTAGGCGCGTAACCACCTCCCCACTCACGATCCGTTCCATTCCAACCCGAATCCCGTCGCCCCTGTCCGACACGACCCGTCTGCGTTCCCGTTCTCGACTTTCCCTCCCACACACACACCCTACGCGTTGGACGTCGGCAGTTCATTTTTTGACTTGGGCATCTAATCGCCCTCCATTCCTGTCATTGCTGACCGCCGCTGTACCTGTGCTGACTCAGGGACAGCACGCCATCTCCCGCCGCCAAGACCTCCAGCACCGGGCCGGAGGGATGTGCGTGCCAGTGGGCGTACGGCTGCAGAGTGGGGCATTGCACCGTGTACAGGTGGCCCGAGTCCGTGCCTGCATGTCTCACGCGTGAAAACACCACACAGGGAAACAGAAATAGTAGTCCGTATGCTGCTGCATTGCCAAGGTCCGGCGCGGTCCATAATCGCGGGCATTGGACAACTTGGTCCCTCCCCTCTCCATTTCCCCCTTCCTCTTCAAGAAGCCGCAGCCCGCAGCCGCCGCGAAAAGGTAATGAGGAAAAGAGTGGAAGGGAGGCTCACCTTGCCCCACTAGCCGGCGCCTGGCCTTTGCCCTGAATCCAGGCCCGGGAAGCGGGCCCCTGCCTAACTCTTGCCTCCTCCCGGGGTAAAAGTCCCACCTGCAAACCGCAAGTTCCCTGGCCCTCTTACCTGCCCACAGAGCCTCATAGTGTGGGCTGAAGTGCATAGCTGTCACCTGGGGGTAGGACGTCCGATGGAAAGGACTGTTCACGTCAAGTTGAGGGTTTGGGGCGGCGGGAGACAGAGACTGTGCGCAGGCCGGAGGCACGTTTCGGCAGCTCAATTATACCCCTTGATTGGCATGCGGATGGCGTGCAGCACTTGTCCCGCTGCAAAGCCATGTGCGTCGCGTAGCAAAGTCCATGTTGGAGAACGCAACACATTTGCGACGCACCGCGGAAGCATAATTAGCGTCCAACGGCGAGACAGCCAGTTCGCCCATTCCATATGCATTATACATTTCGCCTCCTCCGTGCCTGGCTGCGGCTGGGCGCAGAACGTAACTAATTACTGCGACAGCCGGCTGTTCCGTGAATTCCAGAGGCTACCGCAAAAGAGTCAATAAACATCATTCCTACATTAGGTTAACTACGCCGCATAGCTGAAACGCAAACGCCACGGGGGAGTAGGGCGTCGGCTCCGGCGTCATATGCCAGACAACGGAATTTAGGGATAATTTTATTGCTTCCCGAAGAAGTTATAGTGAGTAGGTATTACGCTCTGTGCGGTTTGCGGGGTATTAAAAGTTGGTTGCAAGTCGTTGTTTTGCCGGAATTTCGGTGAAAAAGCGAAGGGGAACGGTGAAGGGGCAGAGATGCATGATGCAAGCTGCACTGAAACGGTTACCAACTTGAACGATTTAGGGGAAGACTATGGGAGGACCATCCAGATGTTTATTTGTGTTTTGTCTGTCGAGCTGTCCGTGTGGGAAAATGTATGATACTTCGGGACGGCCCAGGCCAGCAAAAGATTCCTGTTAGTTCGTGTTACAAACGAGGACAGTTATTTCTGATGTCAAGTCATGTCAACATTCATGACACTACAATTTAACTGACGATGATCGCTGCTGTCCCGCACAGCAAGCGGGGACAGCGTCCAGTCTATCCTGGGTCGAGTCCAAACGTCCTAATCACTCCAAGCAACCATCCGCTGCAAGCAATCCACGATCCTCAATGAACGAGTCCTATGCACTGTAGGCACAACCCGCTTCAGTCCTAACCTTCATGAATCGTTGGCGCTAGCCAGGCACGTACTAACACGTTAGCTGGAAGTCTGCGTGGTCCTGATATCTATAGTAGAGCTGGATGACCAAACAACTAATAGCCGATAACGTATCCAAAGACACGACGTCTCAAGCAGCTATGCCATTTCACGGCCTCACTACAAACCAAATTCTAACCTCGAAGCCCTAATAAAAAGATCATCTTCCATGTCCGCTTTAAGGACGGGGTTTGAATTCCGGCAAAGTGCCCCCAAAGCATGTTCACAGGTCGGAGTCGTGTCGAACCCAAGCGAGGTGGTTTGGTGCATCCCAGGTGCTCTCCATCGTTGCGCGGTTGTGGAAATAGAATTGACTGCAAGGACAGACATACACAGGCAGGCGGCTGGCAGAGGTTAAGGCCTGACTTCTGCTCCCAGTCGACCCAGTCGACCCGGGTTCAAATCCGCCTGCCGGCTCCTCGGGTGTTTGAGGAGTGATGAAATGGGAGGTGGCCCCCCATCTTATGGACGGTGTAGGACGTGATAATATCAACTTGCGAGCTGACCAGGAACTAAGTTGATGCGCCGTTGATCCGCTAGATTTGGTTGGATGCTGGTGGTGAGTTGCCGAACCCAACGAATACATTCTGAAGTCGGATGGGGTGACGGATTAGGGTGCCCCTCTAGCAGGGGAGAGCAGGGACTGCCCCGGGAAAGGGGGCCGCTGGCGAAGTTAACCACCCTGTAACAACATACATACACAGGAGGGGGGCCAAAGGGGTGATGTGCCACACAACTATTTACATGTCACCATAGGGCAGACCCCTTGTTGCTCATGCTAGTCGTTACATTTTTGCCTCCACAACCCGTCCATTTTCTGTCTTCTTTTAGGATGCAGTGACACAAAAGGCTAACATGCGCTCCAATCAAAGGAAAACACGCCACCAACAATACGGGGCGGAAGACATGCACAAAACAGAGATTTACGACGTGTACAGCAGGAAGCACGGGCCCAAGGAGGACCCATGGATGACCCCGTCATGGCTTACCCCGTCTCCTCGTCAGGCACCTTGGTCCACTCCATATCGGCAGGCATCTCCCACACACTCTCGCCCGACTCGATGTTATACCAGTATGGGTTGCCAGTCTCTGCACGAGGGCCATTACGTCAGATTTCTGGCCAAGCAGGATTTCAGAAACGAACGACAAAACACATCCAGGACATGCTTTCCCTATGATTGAGAAAACCCATGCAAAGCGCAGGTTCCGGTTTGTGCATGCCGTTTATGTGCCATGGGACAGCAAGTAGAGCTCGCCAGGAGTCTCGACGCGTTGCTGGGTTCTTAAATGTAAAAACATCCTCAATAAGCCTACAGGTACGTCTTAACCGTGCACAGTCGACAGCGGGGTTCGGGGTGGGTCCAAACTGTGGTACGCACATTGGCACGGCAATACGCAACTCACCCTCGTCGACCAACTCCCGCCAGACAGAGTTATAGGTTGGGTCCGTCCAAGAAAACTCCCCAGTCTTCTCGTTATGCCTGCGGTGAAGGAAAGACACCACAGAAAAGAGGGGGGAAACATAACAGATAAGCCAATTCTGTGCTGGTTGTGTAGGTGCAGAAATGATGGCGAGGGCAACCATCCTTGGTACTCGGCGGAAAGCGGGAGGATTCAATCCTGTAAAAACAGTAAGTTCAGCGCAAGTTAACGGGGCAACCTGTTGAATCATGTACAGACACGCAGTGCTTCCTGTTCTCCCTAGGCGGCTGCTTAAGTAAGCATCACACGCCCTTGAGCACAATAAAAATCCTGTGCCGTAACGGAGTAAAGCTAGCGATCACATGTAAATCATCTCCTGCCCCGGAATGTTACAGCGCTAAGCCCTCGTAGATGCTCCTCATCCTCACCAGCGTGCATTCACGTTCTTGTCAATATCGGCAAGGGTGTCCTCCGGCACCTCCTGAGGCACCTCAACCTGCTCGACAAACAGACAGCACCGGAAAACAGTTATGCATTTGAACAGTAATGACGAACAAGGGTTATTCCATCTGGTGGAAGTTAGCCACACAGCCTGGGCCAGATAGGGACTAATGCTCGTCGTGGAAAACTATCGGACGAAAGGGTTAATGACTTGACGAGATGGCCTGTGACGAGACATCTCTGCAAGCCCCTTCCTTTGCTTGTCATACATACCCGTATGAACAGCAGGCGTCTGCCTTACCGAACAACGGTTCCCATCCTTAACGGGATAATCGTCTGCCTGCGCCTGTCTCTTAACGGTTCCCAGCGAGATATCACAACGCAACAGCGGGGACATTTAAACGCTTACCCCGCTTGGCCTCATGACTGGTCAACTGTGCATGGCCTGAGACCATACGGCTCCGATGGGCACGCTCAATTGCTGCAATAACCAGGCCTAACCAACCCGCTACACTAATCGTTGGGTTGCAGCCACCAAAGCAAAGCCCAGGTGCTGCGTCAATTGTTGCCCGGGACAAGTTCCGGAACGCACCTGGGAGATGTTGGCAATGAAATTGTAATACATCTCCTGGTTGTTCGAGCGCACCTTGACCCAAGCCAGCGACTGCAGAAGAACACGGTGGCAGGGCCGAAATGAATATCGACAATGCAAAATCCCTTGCGTATAAATGCGGTGGAGCAACACGACTACCAGCAACCCCGGGCAACACGCTGAATTAGGATGCGGGATGCGCCTGCGGTGACCCACTGCAATACTACCAAAAAACGGGCGACCCAGATGGCAAGTACTTTTGTCCTTATGCAAGCTCGGTAGCCGCGCCGTACCGGGGGCACAGTCTTGACTTCCTGGCCAGTAATCGCATTGATGTACTTAATTGGGTGGCCCTGCACGTCCACGCGCTGCCAAGCGCACGAGGGCGGCACGTTCCACCGGCTTTCGCCCGTCTTGCTGTTGAACCAGTACTCCTCCTCTGTACACAGCAGTATGATTCATTCGCGCCTTTGGCAGATGTTTCGGGAGCGCTTAAGCGCCCTCTCGCGGGACACGCATAGGAACGGGTTTGCTTTGTGATGGGTGGAGCAACACCCGACCACGTAAAAAGGCACCGTTTATCTCCTCACCACTCTCATTCAATGTTGTGCACATAAATATGCAAGTACGACACATGACACGCCACCAGGTAATCACAGGGCAACGCTGACTCATATATGACTAAATATTCTCACTTGCTCCCTTGTCCTGCCTGGTCCAAGTGCCCGGAGGATCCTCGAAAGCCATGGCACCATTGTTGTCGTATGCGGCAACCAGGTCGCGAAGCTCCTTATTGGAAGCATAATCACGGGCCTTCTTGCTGGACTTGTCCTCCACGTTCAGGTCGGCACCATATTGCAGCAGCAGCTTGGAGATCTGTTTCGGGGCAGGTTACGTTTAGATATGGAACCTACGTTTCACCTGAGGTGCAAAGGAAGCTGCTGAAGCTGAAACTGAAGGAGGTCGCCAAGGCATGACGTATACGGACAGCCCCTTCATACAAGGACATAGCCTGTGCCGCTTTCCCATGCAGGGCACCGTGGTCCAAAATGATGGTTAGGCACGGTGGTTAGTGCCATGTCACGGGAGGTGACACTCGATGGATGGGCTTGGACGCACCTGAAGCAGGTTTTGCTGGAAGGCAACATGGATAGGCGTGGCACCACTGGCCGGATCTTTAGACTTAGCCAAGGCGCCGTACTGCAGCATGGCGTCCACGTACTTCAGTTCCTTTGACCGCACGGCTTCAACTAAGGGAAGCCGTCCCTTGGAGTCAGGTTGGTTGACATCCATTCCATCCCGCTGCAGCTCCTCAACAATACCCTCAAGTTGTTTCTGTGGGCAATAAGATTTCAAATTGACTTTGTCACAGACGCCGATGGGTGTAAGACAAGGTGTTCGACTCAGGCAGCTGCCAAGATCATGACCGTTTCCGGGTGACTTCCTGCTATGCAAGCGCCCAAAGCCATTGAACAAAATGCAAAAGGACGTGATCGAAAACCGTATTGAGGTATAGACGCTTCTCACTGCGGAGATAACGGCACGATGGACCACGGACCTTCTTGATGAGCTCTACCAGCTTGTCGGTAAGTCGCACATTGGCCTTTGCCGCTGCCACGCAAACAAGCGCAGCCGCAAGGCAGAGGACCAGCAGCCGGGTGCTGGCCATCTCGTTGACCGAAGGGCAACGGTACTTCCTAATCTTCCCTGTAAAAGGGGTAATGTGGTTTGCAGCGTCGAACGGTGGCACTTAAATTGCTTACTGGGCTAGCGACGGCGTCGGGATATGATAGCTTGTAGGAAACGAATTGAAATGCAAACGCAGTACGGTCTCGGCGCTTCAACTATGAAGACTAAACGCCAAACCTGCCGCCATGTGAATAGGTTCTAACCTAGTAATTATGCTGAGATTGTTGTGTATAGTACACCAGCATATATCTGTGTTGATATTAGCTGCAGCCGTTCATGCAGCGCGTTTGTTGCAGGCGTCTCCGTAGTGCATTTTTCAGATAAATCACTAGCATCATGGCCACCCAGCCCAAACATACACGCATGCACGGCGTGTATGCCATACGCACGCATATGCGCGTATGTCACGCACAAGCATACATGTGTGTCGCATTGCGACAGCAATTATCCGTTTGGCAACATGTATCACATGCTATGCTATACCTCTTGTCCGGATTGGCTTTTCCAGGAAGACCTTCATACTTCGCGAGACTGGTTATGATCAGACCCCTGGATACGACCGCTCCGGTTTCGACGGGTTGAGCATTCCCACTTCTAGCAGGATTGTGTACTTCGTTTCGGTGTGCTTTCCTTTACCCTGCCTTAGGCAACCTATGGCCCTGTACGTCATACCATGTGACAGCGTACAGCACTGTAAGACCGTACAAAAACCCTTGGTCCTCGTACTACTCCTTGCACGCAGCCAAGGCAGTCTATATGCCCGGGGACCACTACTTAAGACTAGTTGGAACGTAGAAACGCTGTGGGGACCTAAGAGGCTCTCAGGCCGAATATCTTTGGCCAGCCGCGCCAGCATGAATTTACGGATGTTGTGCTATGCTTGGAACGGCAGAACAGATCGTAAGGATGGATTAATAAGGACCATGCTGTAAACTCTTGAGCTGCTCTGTGCCATACGCTACACGGCTACTCAGGCTTGGAGCGTGGTCTGCACTTCCGTTACAAGACTTCACAAGGAACTAAGAATGCGGCTTCCCTTCGCCAGACATAGGAAACCAAATGTCGTATCGCAATGTACGACATGAGTGCCCAAAGCTCTTCAGTAGAGAGGTCTGACCGATTTGACTACTAGTGCACAAGGTTCACAACAGGCGTTGGGCATCGAGGCCGCATGTCATTTATTAATTAAGCGCAACCATCCCTCAGGTGGGGTGAGACCTAGTCCCACATTGCTTTGGGGGGTGTTTGGAGCCAACTGCACCAACACTACTGCCCCCCAAAGCTCTGCTAACGCCTTTCATGGGTGAGATGACCTGGTCAACGTTCTTTTAGTTTCTCTTCCGAAGCTCCATTGTTGTGTAATTGTTAAGCCATGTATTTGGGTCCTATGCCTTCCTGCAAGACGCGCCGTACTGTTTCCGTACAGGTATCCGTTCCTACTCTTTTCCTATGCCGCTAATATTGCATGAAAATTAACCGGCACACCAACCATCATGTCTAGCAGTCGTGTAGGCCTTAGTCGTTTGAGCAAAGGTCACGCTGCTCAAACTACAGCACCGAACGACGGCACGGTTGTTGAAGATGATGATGAATTTATCGACGATGGAGGCCAGTAGGTCTTACACTTTGTGCTTAACAAAGCGCTTACGATTTTGTGTTTCGACAACTTAAGAGGTTGACTTAACGCGTTGTCTTATGTTAATATGAAATATGATGAGTTGCTTAACGTTAGACCATTATAAATATGAAGCATGTATCATACTCGTTTACTAACTCCCGTTTTGGTCTCAGGGCTGCCGAGGATATTGGAAAATCCTTCATATTTCGCAATGCGCTAACCCAATCTGAGGTAGCAGCGTTAGAACGCTGGAAACGCAGTCAGAATGATGATGATGATGAGCAGTTTCCGCTTTCGTCAAAGCAACGGGTAGGCGAGCGGCGTTTCGAGTTTATGTTACGGAAGGGACAAATGCCATTAACGCATGATGTTGAATATCTTGTAAAGGAGATCTTTTGAGGAAGGGCCCAAGGTTTTTCTATCTAATAACCACTGGCGAGCCCACATGTTGCAAGTCCCTTCGCCACGACATCGATCTTTGCCGTCAGCGGCCTAGGCCTCGTAATGTTGTGTATGTTGCTGAATTCTGGCGCTACGATATCCCACTCGCCCGATTGTCGGGTTGCCCTCGGCTCGCAGAACGTGACCTACGTGGACATCAAGCAACCCCAGCAAACTGTCCAGCTTGGCCCGGACTTCGAAGCGCTATGTATAGCAGCATCATGTTCAGGAAATATGGTGGCCGTTGGCGGGCGCCACGGGACCATCCGGGTAAGCAAGGCTATCCGACGCGCATGCCTTACGAAACAAGGTCTATCCCTTTTCGACCAAGATTCCCTAACGTGCTGTGTGCTAATAACTTTGAACCATTTTGAACAACACGAATGTGACCTGTTGGCCTCGTGCCGTGTTCCTAGGACTTCAGCGAGAAAGCCAATTTTAATCTCTTTTTCCCATCCCAACCCCAGCAGCGTGTGCAACCCCACTTCCCTGCTCGCCATTGCCGCTCTCGCAGCTCCTTCATCCCCAAAACCTGGAGACCATGGACATGATTCAGATTTCCGAGCTGGCGAGTACCAGTGGCGCGGACGGCGCTCCGAGGCTCCCTGGCCGGCAGGACACGGTCCGCCAGCAGAACGTCGCCGGCGGGTTAGCAGCGGGCAGTCCGGGCGAGGGGGTCGTGACGTCGGTATGCTTCCGACCTGACTTGCGCGCCAGCAGGATGCAAAATTTGCTGCTGGCGGCCCTGGTGAGCGGCATCGGGAGGTTGCGGTAGCCCGCATTGACGACTAGGTCTCTAGCCGCGCCGAGATTTCTGGCCGCCTGGATCAGTCGGTTCTCCCATGGGCCGATTGCGTGCCATCCTGGCCTATTGCTGCGAATTGCACATTCCCCTGGGTCTGCTTACAGGGAGCTAGAGCGGAAGAGGCAACCCCTCCCCGTATGAGTGCTCATGGCGCGCCCTGTGTGTCATACGGCAGGGCTGAACGCGGGTTTGGGTCGCTGCCCTTCCTGCATCACACGTGTTCTCACAACAATATATGTCCGGACGCGATTGACCTTGTGTACTGGCGATATGGCGTGGATGACTGTAATAACGCCGAAGACGGCGATAACTAGATCCGGCCCGACTACCAGACGCTATACTACGCTACCGACGCTATACTACGCTATACTACGCTACCGAGGGCCGCATGGAGACGACTCTGTAAAGGCAGCCGGTCGGCAGCCTTTGAAAGTTCCATTTCGTCCATGTCGCCGACCGCCCTTTGCTGCCGCAGCTACAGCCTATTTTCTCGTCCAAATTTGGATGGCTTTCACTTACCTTATCATCTACCTAAACTATGCTTTGGACGTCTGCAGTATTTGCGTTTTCTCGCATCACGTGGTCCTCCCCCCACCTTCCCCCCGCCGCCGATATCTCCCCTGCAGGGCGATGCCATCGTGCACGTCCACGTGGGCAGCCGCCGTGCGGTGCACGTGAACCGCGAGGACGGCAACCGGATAAACACAATCGCAATGCGGTCTGATGGAGCGGTAGGTTCCTTGCGGGTTTTGTGGGGTTTTGCTTCAGGAAGCTTCAGGTGCCATCTTACAACAGGTGTTAAGACCGACTAATGCATCGTCTTTGCGGCCTTGTGGTGCACATGTGGCGGCTGAAATTGGATCCAGATATTCGCCTCGGCCGGCTCGGACTGTGTGGTACGAGCGTACGATGAGGCCACGTGCTCTTTATGTCGTACACTTGATCACGGCGACGGCGTCACTACGACGGGACACACAAACAACGTCTTCAGTTTGGCCTGGCAGCCGGATGACCCCCAGGTACGTATATGTGAGGCCGCCGTGTGTGGGGGGCATTCGAACAGCTGGCGCTGGTGTAAACGTCGCGGCTGGCTGCTGCACGTGCTGCATGTGATTTCACTCTACCCCATTAAAACCCGGCGCGCTGTATAGAGGCGATAGGGAGCGATGGGGCTGTGCTGTCTCCCTCTGCTGTTCAGATCTTTTTTGTGGGTCCTCCAGCTGCTTGCGTCGCCTCGCCTGGCGGACCCTCTCCACTCCTCTGTTTCCCGCTGTGCTTTTGCTCCTCCAGATCTATAACCCCGCCCCATCCTCCCTGAACCCTGCTCCCTTTACTTTTACCACCGCTTCCCTTACCCTGACCCCGGGCTCGTCTGCTCTGTTGCGTTTGTACCCCGATTGCTTGTTGTTGCTCCCGCAAAGATATTGTTGTCTGGCGGTTGGGACAACCGAGTACTGGTGTGGGATCTGCGTGTGCACAGGTGAGAGGTTTGACAACACCCCCACCTCCACCCGCACCTGCACCCGCACCCGCACGCAGTGCTCTTTTGGGCACCTCCGTGTTCTGCCTTTGGGGGGTTTCGAACCTCGGAAGGATGACGTTTGGAAACCGGAAGCTAAGCTCGGGTGGAAACGGCTAGATGCGGGTTTTCTCATTCTGATTGTGTGCCCCTTCCCCCGCCTCTGGCGATCTCGTTGGCAGAGCGCCCGCAAAAGTATTCTTCACTGCAGCCCTCCCGCACTGACTCACCTTTTGCTTGGCTCCCCAACTCGCCCAATCTAATCCTTCAGGCTTTCGGCCAACGCACGTAATTCCACTTTTGTCCACGCCCAACTTGTCCCCAGTAGCCCCCCTTATGTCTGTCGTTATGTCTGTCTTACTAAACTGTGCATCGAAGGCTTAGCAGCGGGCAGGAGCTGGAGAGGATGGCACACGCGAGTAATACTGTTTTTGGGTTTTATCCTTCATCCTTTCTTCATCCCATCTACGCACACACACACACACACACGCACACACACACACATGAACACATCTCAACCGCGGGATGATGCCCCGCCGCATGCAGGTCGGTTCGCGCCATATCGGGACCTCACATCTGCGGTGACGCCGTGGACGTGCACGCGGGTACGAATCTGGTCCTGACCGGCAGCTGGCGGAACAACAACCCGCTGCAGCTGTGGGACCTGGGGAGCGGTCGTCTGCTGACCAACTTGCCCTGGTGGCAGCCGGAGCCGGACGGCTGCCTCATATACGCTGCGCGGTTTGGAACAGGGGCAGCGGCGGGGACGGTGCTCGCCGGCGGCAGCGGTTCCAAGCCAATGGTCCGGGTGTACAAGCTGGTGAGCATGTGGGCTGTGTGTGCCGTGCGAGTTGAAAAAGGCAGCGTGCTGCGTGTGAAATGTGGCTGGGAGTTAAGGGCGGGAGGGTGGGAATTATAACGCAAGGAAATCAAGGTACAAGGGCCAACCGCCGACGTCCGCGAGCTGCCAACTGAATTAGGGAGGACGAGTAGACTGGACGAGGAAGTACCGGAGGGGAATGAACGCTGAAGGGATGGGAGGATGGGGGAAAAGTGGCGAGGGGATATGGGGGCATGTCGGTCCGCACCAGCCGGCTTATCCTGATAGTTGCAACCCCGCATCCGTGACGTGATCGTGATTAGGACGATGCTAAAACCGGTTGTGTCTCTAAGATCGGATGTGTCTCTAAAATCGGATTGATTGGCGCCGCAAATGTATGTCACATATGTGCGACTATGCAGAATGGCCCAGGCAATGTGGAGCTGCAGTATACGGTTCGACTACAACGGCCGGTGCATGCGCTGACGCTCGTCAAAGGGACCACTGGCAGCGAGAGAGGCGGAGAGCCTGGCGGTCATACGCAGCCTGCTCCCACTTTGGCGGTGTGCTGCGACGAGGAGGTCCATACCATTGCGTTGTGCGCCCCGGCCTTGGTCGCCAGGAATGGTGGTAGCAAATGACGGCGAGGTGTGCTGCGGAGCAGTAGCCTTTTCGACGGAAACATAATCGTTTGATGAAATTGCGAAAAGTTGTGCCTTGTAACTGGGTGATTACGACAAAGCAAGGACCAGGTCGAGATGAACATGTATGAACAATGACCCAAGGTTCAAGTACGGTCGCGTCGTGTTTAATTGTCAGACGTTCAATCGTCGCAGGGCTCCATCCTATTGCCCATTGATTCGTTCGGAGGTCATAAGCAAACCTCATGGGCAGTGCTTTCCCCCTACGTGTGAAAGCAGCGGCCGGCAATAAATAACGGATAGGGAGGCCATGAGACTTGAGGCAAAAATTGTGAATAGGTGCAGACCAATGGTAAATGCCTTACGGCGAGGTAAGGACACTAAGCTAAGGATTGTATGATGTGTATGAAGGGTGACTGTGTGAGTCGTTTCAGTAACGGCAGTAGTTCCCTCAAATCAAATCAAATCAAAAAATGACGGCGCAGGCCAACGCCCCCAAAGCGCCGGCCAAGGATCCCCGGACAGCACCGCCTCGGGATCGCTCTCCTGACGTTGTCATCACAAAAGACGTGACCATCATGCCATCCGCAAGAGAGCAGCTAGCAGCAATAAGGACTGAAGTTCAAGCGAACGACGCCCCGAAGCTGACAGCCCCACACGAGCAGCGGGAGCAGCTCGACGAAGGAACGCTAATGCTGCTAGAGACTGCCATCACCGCGCTGGATGCGAACGAACCCCAGCTGGCCGTCGCGGGAGAATGCCTCAAGATCGCTCACCGCCGCCTTAAGTGCTACTCCGTTGCTCTGGCCAAGGCGGGCCCAGGAGCCAACGGTAATTTCACGGCCCCCTACGAAATCTGGCACGGCAGGCGGCGCAACTTCACCAAGCCAGAGTTCAAACCAGAGGCCATAGATAAGGGCGACATAGAGAGTGCATTAGCTAAAACGCGCAAGTCGGTGGCGGCGGACAGGGACGGTCAGGCCGGGTCCCTCTGGCGAGGGAGAGACCGGCAGGGTGGAGTGCGGGATTCGTTTGGTAGTGCACGCCGGAACGACCGCAGCCGCTATGACCGCTATGACCGGCGCAGCCAGCGCGACCAAAGCCGCTCTCGCAGCCCGGCTAAGCGTGGCTGATTAGGATTCTGTTGGGCCTTGTGTTTGCTCGACTCTGGCACGGCACCGATCCTACCCCCCTCCTTTTTTTTTTTTTTCTTAAGCTCGCTCAGTGGCCCCTCCGTGCAGTTCGCGGTCGTTGTTGTTGCAGGGGCCCACAAGTCCGACAAACATTATTGGGTTGGAACGGAGTATGCTTTGGCCCAGTCTTTGACAAGACTTGTTATGCTAAGTTGCACATCCGGTCTCTTCCAGACCTTCCACCGCTAGAAGATGTCGGACCAAGTTGTACCCTGGAGGGAGGTTTCTTTGTAACGCGCGCGAGCTCTTGCCCTTGGTGGCGCCTGTGATTGGCCTTGGGGCCTTATTGCCGTGTTGGCTCGGTCCTGTTGACCATGGCGGCTTCCAGGCCCAGGTGGCCGGCTTCAGGCTGGACCTGTCCTTCCTCCGTCCGAGTTTCCCTCTTCATGCATGTACCCAACAACGACAGAGAGGCATCAAACAGGTTGATGGCTCTGGTGGCCCCGTCCCCTGCGGCGCAGGTCGCCCCGGAGTAGCCTGTTCGGTTTTTTCTGTCATCCCAGGAGGGGCGGCTTCCCACCGTTTCGTAGCCTCAGTCGCCATGAGCCCCGGCCTCTACTCATCTCCCCCTCTTTTATCTCTTGTCTCTTGCAATGCAGAGAATTTGGCCGCCACAGTACTGGGCGCACTGCTCGTCGCCGCGGGTTTTAGAGCCCCTCGCCCCGCGCAGCCCCCCCCTACCCAACGAGACAACACACAAGCGGAGACCAAGAACACCGCCAAGCGTCCCGCACCCGGCCCTGCAGAGCCCACCCGGCCCCGGACCAAGGTCGCCCGCAAAGCCCAGGAACCACATCCAGACCCAGGAGCCCCTTCGAGGAATGAACAAGCGGTCCCAGAAGGTGAGAACCCAGCACCTTTGCCTGTTGATCCGCCTTGTGAAGCCACACCTCCTAGCATGGGTAGCAAGGATAGGCCTAAGATGCGGGGGCGCTTGAGAGCCTGTGCCGCGGTCTGGAAGGCGACAGTGGTGAACCAGCTCGTGCTGAGCTGGGTCCTGCAAGGGTTCCCTCTGATGTGGCACTCAGGACCTCCCCCCCGGCCGTACTGGGGCAAGAATCACCAATCTGCACGGGACCACGGGGATTTTGTGTCTTCTGCCATCGAGGGTTTGCTGGAGTCAGAGACCATCAAACCTTGCCAGTCCCGCCCTTTCATGACCTGTCCCTTGGGTGTCGTAGAGCAGAAAGGCAAGCTCCGCCTCATCTGGGATGGACGCGAAGTCAATAAGCACCTGCACATCCCGGAGTTCCGTTATGAGTCGCTCGCGCAGGTCCCAGGCTGGCTAGGCCCCAAGGACTACATGTTCACCCTGGACCTGAAGTCTGGCTACCACCATATGGACGTACGCGAAGCAGACTGGCGCTACCTTGGTTTTGAATGGCAAGGCCAGTTCTACGTCTTTACACAACTCCCTTTCGGCCTTGCCTCCGCCTGTTGGGCATTCACCAAGCTAACACGCGAGATCATGCGGACTTGGAGACGGAAGGGCTGGCGGTGCTCAGGATACATCGATGATCAGATCCATGCCCACCAGGACGCCCAGACCCTCATCGCCCGCCGCACCATAATCCTTGACCTCCTCGAGCGCCTGGGGTTCTGCGTGAACCGTGACAAGTCAATGATGGGCGAGCCCCAGCAGCAAGTGAGGTACCTGGGTATGCTGTTAGATACAGCTAAGGGCGTGTACATCGTGCCTGAAGATAAGCGCACTTTCCTGCTCGACTGCATCCGCTCGGCTCTGGGAAAACGGCGCATCAAGGCGAGACAATTGGCCTCCATAAAAGGGCAGTTTCTGTCCATGTCCTGGGCGTTCGGGCAAGTAGCCCGCCTTTACACCCGGGCTCTGGGGCAGGATATTGAGTCGCGCCACACCTGGGATACCCACATCCGCTTATCTAACGACGCAACTGCAGAGCTCGAATTCTGGCTGCGCTGTTTCGACCGGTTTAACGGAACCCGTGCCCTCTGGGAGCCCACACAGGTGCACTCGGTCGTTTTCTGCGATGCAGCCGGGAAATCCCCCAAGCACCTCGGGGGTTGGGGTGCCTGGACGCTGATCGACGGGAAGTTGGCCCAAGCCCGCGGTAATTGGGGAGTAAGGGTCAGTTCGATGGGGTCAACGCCCCAGGAGCTCCAGGCAGTCCTACACGCACTTCAATCCTTCAACGGCCCTGCAGGCCTACGACACCAAGTCGTCCGGGTGATTACTGACAATCTCAATTGCGCCAACGTCCTCAACAAAGGGTCCGCAAAAGCCGAGGACTCGTACCGGATTGCCTGCGAAATCTTTTGGTACTGTATTGCCGAGGGTATCACACTGCAGGCGGAGTGGCGGCCGCGAGAAGAAAACACTCTGGCGGACTACCTCTCAAAGCTGCAGGACCGGGACGACTGGATGGTGAACCGTAAGGAATTTCAGAGGCTCAACACCGCCTGGGGTCCCTTTGACATTGATCTTTTCGCGTCACACACCAATCACCAGCTGCCACAATACTATTCCCGTTTTTTCACGCCAGATACCGCGGGTGTAGATGCCTTTCGGTTCCGCTGGGGGCGGAATTGCTGGGCGAACCCGCCTTTCTGTTTGCTACTTAAGGTCCTGCGGCACGCAGAGCTGTGCAAAGCACGCATCTGTCTGATCGTTCCCCTCTGGCCGACGCGCGACTGGTGGTCCTATCTGACTCAAGACGGGAAGTGGTTTGCGCCTTGCGTCCACGGCCTAAGAGAGCTGGGCAAGGCGTATGATCTTTTCCTGCCAGGGTCTTCGGGAAACGAGGTCCCAAAAAGGGTCCGCTAACTGGCTATCGCTCGCACTTCTCATCGATTTCCAAACACCTTCCCCGCGCCGGATCGCTGTGCCCCCCGACCCTTATGCCCCCCGGTTTTCACAGGAATAAGGGCACGCGCGCAGACACTGCTTGGCCAGGTGCCCTTGGACGCTAACCCAATGATCGGGGATCTAGCTCTGGCGTTGGCAAGCCAGGCGCACAAGGCGCGAGCTAGCAGCACAGTCGCCCAGTACAAGGAGCCATGGCAGGAGTTCCTAGATTGGGCAGAGCTACTACACATTCGGGCGAGCGACATTTACGACATCAGGCCAGAGATAGTGGCCATGTACCTGATGCACGTCTACCAAACCGCGCAAGCGGATGAAGTAGGTCCGGGTCGCGTCGCGGGAGCGAGCACTGCTATTGCCTGCCATTTCTTTCTCGCGGGCCGCCCCTCACCAACGGAGCACCCAGCATGCAACCTCGTTCGGGACCTGGGCAGGCGCACACTGCAAGGGAAGAAGCTGCACAGGGAAAGCATGCAACCAGAGCATGTCCGCATGTTGGCCGCTCACTTCGCTGGGCCGGATGCCTCACTGCCAGACCTGATGATGGTAGCGGCCATATCGGTTATGTTCGCGGGTTTCCTGAGGTTCAACGACCTAGCCCACATCTCCGTCAAGTCTGATCTGCTCACCCTGCACGACACTCACATGGCCATCACACTGCCTAGGTCCAAAACGGACCAGGAGGGCAAAGGGCAGACCATCCGGATCGCGCGCGTGGGGGGCGTGGCCATACATACATACATACATACATACATACATACATACATACATACATACATACATACATACATACATATATGCATATATGCATGCCTAGTAGCCACTCATGGTGTCAACGAAACAGCAACCTATGCCGGGAGTTCAACAGTCGACTCGACCCCCATAACCCGCCAAAGCACACCCCTACAAATACACACCCCTACACACACACACACGCACGCACACTCACACACGCACCAGCTGTGGTCCCCATAGAGAGCGCATATTGCGTATGTATGTATATATGTGTACAGGGGTTCATTCCAACTTTTACATATGAAACAGTGTGCAGACCTGACTTTGTTGCTGTCTGTTGTGGTGATGATAGTGTGGTGTGGTAGTGAGGTGTGGCGAGGAGGTTTGCAGGAAGTGCGAAAAACACATATTACACGGGGCGATGAGCCAAGTCAAAGTCATGACAATGAAGATACTATATTATGGGCGGGGTATTTTGCGGGCTCGTGAGGAAATACTAGCAGCCTCTACATGCATCTGTATGTATGCGCGTCGCTGCCCACACGGGTTGCGTACTATCAATTGTCCGTACACCCACTCCCTTCGTTGAATTCTTTATGTCGTACACCTGCTCGTACCCATACTCGTACGGAAAGGCAGGATGCATAATGCCTACACTGTCTCAGATGTTGATCATAAAAAGGTAAGCTGATTATGAAAGTACATATTCCCGAGATACATACACACACACGCACCCGCCAGTTTAACGATGCACACTACAATTCTAGTACAAAAGGTACAAAAGCAGAGGTAACTAACTACGCACCGTCCACCCTCAAAACCCGACGGTACCACCAACGGTCGGAAACCGCGTACCAGGAGGCATACTTAATTGCGCGGGTCATTGTCGTACTACTGTCTTACTACCTTGCGGTACATACAATGGTGCCTACTTGCAAATGAATATAAGCACACACACATACATACACACATACACAAACGTATGTGCGGGCTTCACGCCACACAGCCTACTGCGTGTTGGTATCTGAGGAGATTAGAAACTCTGTGAAGAGGGGCTCCATTTCCACCCTCCCCCCCACCCTCCCCACCCGCGCCTCCCTCGGCCGATGCGATGGAAAAATCCCAACACCGAGTCGACTCTGAGGCCCTTAGGGTGTACGGGATACGGCATCTCTCGGCATCTCTCGCCTCGGTTTCTACAAGTTCCTCTACACACACATACACATACACACACACACACAACACCGTTTGCGTGTGACTTCCTTCTTCAATCGTGTTCTTGCGGCTCTAGCCATTAAGCACACACACACACACACACACACACCACGCAGACATTCAGACATACATACGTACATAAGAACAGATCAAACCTCTTCCGACGGAAGGAAATGCCATGTGGGCAACCACCCTGCGGCCATGTGGGCAACCACCCTGCCAACCACTCGCTGGCACATCATCCGTTCCTAAGCGCACCCAGCGCCATCTTGGGGATGAGCGGAGGTGCTGGGGGGGTTAGCATGGGTACCCCTGTTGCGATACCTCCATTACCCCCCATCTTACCTTTTTGTTCCCCCTCCCCCCTCCCCCCACCCCGCACCCAGCCAGCCAGCCAGTCAGTCACCCAGTTTGGCAGCAAGGGGCAGCCCCAAGTGCCGAGGCAGCCCCATCCCATCTCCCCTCCGCCGGCCCACACGCATCTTCCGCCGCCCCTCCGCCGCGACTGCCAATATGCCGCTGCCGCGATATCCCCGCGCCGCCGCATACTTGCTTGCCATACTTTGGTTCCCCCACTGGTCGGCGTGGTGCACCTCTCCCTTAGTTACCGTCGCCTACTTTCCCTCACCCTCTCCCTCCTTCTTCCCCCCTCGCGCCCCTCGTTGGTGGTTCGTCTTCCCCTCACGCCGCTTCCTGTCTCCATTACCCTCCATGTGCCCACCCACCCGGCGCCGCCGCAGGGGTCCGTGTGAACACCTCCTGAGTGAGGCCGGCGGGCATATGTAAGGAGGCAATGCGCCCCCGTTACCGTTAAAAACACCCGTCGTCCCTGCAGCACACGGGTTCCGTACCCCCCCCCTTTCCCTTCCCTTCCCTTCCGGACGTCCACACCGCTTCTGGTCCCCGGCGCCTCAAGTGCTGCTGCCGCTGCTGCGGTGGCCCAGGCCCCTCCTTGAGCAGCCTCACACTTCACTTCACTTCACTTCGCTTCATACGTCCCCTCAACCGCCCGGGAGGGTGCTGTGGCCATTCCATCTGCCCTAACGGCAGCAGTGCGCCGCACCCGCTCGGGGGGAGAGAGCAGGGGCTGGGGGGCGGGGGGGGGGGAAATCAGATGCAAACACCGATAATAGCCGCCCCCCGGGGTGTAGGTGAAACAGTAAGTGTTTCGACACGAACCCTCTACCCCACTGCGAATTCAGACAGAGGCTTCTTCCTTTCCTTCCCCCCCAAAAAGAACAAAAAACACAAAAGAGCTTAACACACCAGCACGCCAGCGGGATGCCAAAAAAAGGAGAGCCACACAAGCACACTCACACGGGCTGTCTAATGCGCTCACACCTACCTACCTACATGCATGCATACATACATACAATCTGGCATGCGATTTAAATTATGACATTGAGCCTCAAGGAAAAAGGCCGAAGCATGCAGCAAACTGAAAACGACCGAAGCGTGCGTGCGTGCGTATGTATGCATGTACCAACGTCTGTCTGCCCGTAAGATTGCTTGCCCCATCATCTCACCCAACATGCACGCATGCAACATCACACAGACACACACATGCACATCCGCGGCTTTTCCTCGTTCCTTCCCCTCGCATATTTGCCCTTCCTCTCTCCCCGCCTTCCATCCCTCCCCGGACATCGATCCGAGGGGGCAGTCCCCCCGAGGGAGGGGAATGTCCCTCACATTCTTTCACAAGGACGACACATACTAGCATGGGTCCGCTGAGCCCATGTCGGTACGCCCACAATGGCAAAAACGGCACAAAGGCCATGTACGACTTGCATGTGTGGTCATGGTACGACGTTAACGTCTCTGCTGCTACTGCGAATGGCTCCTGCTGCTGCTGCTGCTGTTGACAATCAAGGATGGTCGCGATGAACATGGCCAGGATGGCATTTCATGAAGATAAGCGGACAGACAGACAGACAGACAGATAGGAAGGAAAGCTTTCCTGCTTCCCGTCCTCACCCCTCACTACGAGGATCTCCACCACGAAGTTTATCCTTGTCCCGAATACCGAAAATCTTAGAGATCACGAGACACGCAGGAGTGCGGAGTCTGCCTTCTTGACTGCCCAAACCGCTGCAGAGGAACGGGACACCCAACGGGAAAACGTGTTTCCTAAACAGGCGTGTTTCCTACACAGAAAGGTAAAAAAACTGAAAGTGTTTACCTTCCGTCTTCTGCCCCTTCCCTCCTTCCTTCCGGTTTGGAACCACCCGCCGCAACGCCCACCTCCACCTCCACCACACTTGACCCCCGCTCCGTCCGCACACCCAGTGGTGCGTCACTTGACACTTCAGTAGTCATTTTGGCGGCCCGATAAACGCTATCCCCGTAAGCGCTAAAACGGCAACCTTGCGATGCTCTTACTTCCGGTAAAGAGAGTGCACGGAAATACATGATGCGCGCATCATACATATTCCATGAGCTCCTGACCGTATTCATGTGCCGTAGAGACACGTACGAGCAGATTCCTTTCCATCGAATGAACCCCCCTAAGGTGCAAATAAGTCCCCCAATAAGACCTTTCCCGTCCCCCTCCTGGCCCCCACCTGAGGGGGACAGGGGGGTCCCCAGCCCGCCCAGGCCCACGCCCAGGAAGGAAGGCCACACAACTCCACTCCTCTAGCACAGCCGTTGCGGGAAAAGACAACAGGGTGACCAGGGAGTTGATGGGGAGGTGTGGGGAGCAGTGGAGCAGAGTGGTGGAGGTGGGGGCAAGGATGTGGGTTTTAATGAGTTGCGGCGACACGGAGGTCCGGCCCTCCCCCTCCTGCCCCCCTGCCTCTCCCTCCACCACCACCACCACCACCACCACGACCGCCACAAGCAGGCGGACCACCACAATACCCAACCACCAAAATGTCTTCATCCGTACCAAACGACCTTCGCGCCGCGTCCAGCGCCGCGGCGGAGACTCGGAGCTCGGATTGATGCGCGGCGGGATCCCGCACCACGAACTCCTGCGAGGCTGCTTCGTAGCCCACCAGCAGGACGTAGTGGCCGCTGTAGCCCAGCTCCATGCCGCACAGCGCGGGAAGGCACATGTCCGCGGCGGCCAGCCAGGGGTCCAGTTTCCTCTTGTCCACCAACACAATGATGAGACAACTGCCGGAGAGCATCCAGGCCTGCGACACCGTGGTGGGAACTGTGGTGAGAACTGAAATTTAAACAACTGTACATGCAGACTGACAGACACACAGATCCAAACACGCACCGATTGTACTCCAGGTACGCCTTCAGACGATCCATTCTTTTTAAAAAAATCAAGAGGACTGACTGACCGACTGGTTAACATTATATATTCACATCACGACGTAGACGTGGCGGAGGACTTTTCGATGGACAGTCAGATATTCAGGCAATGGCAGAAGGCTTAACGAGGAGCAGACAGGCAGACTGCGAGAATGGAGTAATCCCTTCGACGGGCTTGCGCAGCACTCAAGACCCCTACCCGCCCTTCCCTCCCCCCCTCCCTCCCTCCCTCCCCCCCTCCCTCCGCTACCAAACTATCGTGCTTTCAAAGCCGCTCCCAGCAATGCTTACTTGCTATCGCTCCCGACGCAGTACCCGCCCTTCACGGACTCCACGAGGCCCCCACTTTTCCACCGGACGTACATTTCTGCCGGCCCCTCCCCCCCCTTCACACACACACACACACACGGAAAGGGAAACCCTCAACACCAAAGTCCCCCTGCAACCCCCACCTGCAACTCCTCGCTGCTGACAGAGCGCTGCTGTACGACAATACCCGCGTGCGCCGCATCAATGAACAGCTGGCTGACCCGCCGCTCGTCGTCCTCCATGTTCTCCATGTAAAACGATTCATCGGCGTAGGCAGGGTTAGGGCCTAGGGTGATCGTGAAGAACGACACCGCCAGACCGAAGCGACGAAGGAGGTGTGCCAGGTCCACCGTCCAAATGCTGTTCGCGTGTTCGGGTGGGATGGGATGGGGGGCCGCGGGGTGGGGTGCGTGCGCGCATGTGCGTGTGAGCGTGTTGGGGGGTTGAGGCTGGGGGGTTGGGGGTTGGTGCCCGCGTAAAGCGATGGGGACAAGGACGGACATGCGGGGGACGAGGAGGGGGACGGAGCACGATCGGGACGCGACCCAGATCGCGACCTCAGCCAGCCGCCGCGTGCGAACCCACCACGGTTACAGTTTTTCCCCTTCCTAACCCCGCGCGTCCCCACGACCCCACGGGTTCCCAATGCAGCCGCGGCCACAGCACCCCACAGTCGAATTTGACCGACCGTCTTTGTTTCTTTGCATACGACTTCTCTTCCCCCCGTATTCCGACGCTGGCCCAGCCTCGATTGAGAGCTCTGCCGGGACCCCCTCCCTAAAGGGCAACCATGAACCCCCAGCCGGCCGCGGACCCTGGGTCGGACCTGGTCGTAGAGCAGAACTGCCGGAGGATGCGATAGTCGCAGTGGGGAAAGCCCGAGGCTTGCAAGATCATTTGAACACACGCGAGCCCGCAGTCCCTGCAACAGAGTAAGCCGCAGGACGGCGTATGTCGGTGTGAAGATGCAAATTTGAGTTGTGGATGTGCCTCAGAACTTCCCCCGGCGTCGGTGGCAAGGAAAAAGGTTGGAAGGGGAAGGTTTGCGCGGCGCGGCCCCACCAGAACACCAAGAACGACAACGGATGTTGGTTGGGCCGTGGAGAGGGCAACTGGCGATGCACCCAGTATAGCAAAACGTGATTATAAACTGCCACCTCATATTGCGAAGCAAGGGACCCTCGTACCAGTTGAAATGCTGCTTGCAATGAGGGACATGGCTATGGAAGAAAGATGGAACGCCGGCGGCACCGTCGCTGACAGTTGCGACGGATGAAGACTGCTTAGAGGGAGTGGAGGCCGTGGTGCCTTCCGACCAGAGTGATGAAGCACACGAGGTGGTGGAAGAAGTGGAAGAGGATGCCGAGGGATCGGACGCGTGTTGACAAACTAGTTGTACTCCTTCTGAGGTGTGCCCCGCAAGCGTCATTGTGTCCGGCGGCATGTCAAAAGCTGCCGGATGGCTGCTGCGGGGCGACAGTTCCAAAAGGGTCTACATCCCCTACGCCCCAGCGTATTGTGGGTTCATATACATCCCTTAAGGTTGGAAAAAAGAAACTCTTGCTGTAGATTAGTATTTGTATCTGTTTGATGTGTAGGTGGCTTCTCCTGCGTCAGGGTTCAACTTCCTAAAACAAATATAGGGGTGTCCGTTACCAGGTGTATGCTTTAACATTGCACTTAGGTGACGTAGGACAACATCACTATATCCAGCCATGTGAAACATAAAAATAACCGGCAACTGCTTCGGCCAGAAAGCGACCCGCCGGGCCCTACTTGCACGACACGCCCGCCGATTGACACGATAGAACGAAGGTAATACAAGGTTAATACAAAAGTATTTGCGTTGGAAGCAATACCTGAAGCAGACTTCCTATCCGTGGAAGCGCTCCTTGAGTTTTGAGCTTCATACCTCCCGTATCTGAGACAAGGCATTCCTTACAATGAAATTGGAAGCTCGGATTGGATCCTGCTAGCTCCTAGTTGATCATGGTCAGGACCGTGTAGGTTGGCTAAGTCTTTCGTAGCTATTCCTGATAGGACTTATATAAACAATATGGTAGAACGGACTTCGCGTGTTGCCAGCTACATCAATAGTGTTGGCTGGAGGAGCGAAACGTGCTGTTAGCGGAATGGATAGGTAGGTCATGACTGAAGGCAACACCTGTCAGCTGCTTGCAGCTTTGATAGTGTGTGTGCGTGTTACATGGTTGGGGGTGCGTGACCCCATACCGGTGTGTGTGTGTGCGTGTTACATGGTTGGGGGTGCGTGACCCCATACCTGTAAAACTACCCATACGAGCCGAAGGCCCAAGGGCAATACCTAAACGCCTAAAAGCCACGGAGAACAGGAAACACTGCACTATCAGCCCAGACTAGCGCCCAAAGGGAATAACTGAGTTGCGGTGAGCCCACATACGTTCCAGACGTACTGGCTCCCATTTCATGGCCTCCAATATGCTCTGTTGATGATCGAATCCCTCTTCCGCTTGAATATCATTATAGGCTGGGCATTCAATAACGCGTGTTTTTCATCCTCGATTTGGCTATTAGCACCACAAAAACGCTGCTCCCTGGGGACATGGTACTTGCCCCTTCGTGCTGTGTTTGCCTCCAAAGCCAAGCAACATAAACAAAACTGCACTAACTTACGATGTGCTATACGAGGATGGCCACATAGCCACATAACAGATAGAATGCAAGGCTGTCCTGGTTTAGGCTTGGGATCCTTGTGTGGGGGCTTACGAGCTTGAATACAGGGGGCCTGCAAGGTCCTGCCCAGTCTAAACATCCCCTGCGATGGACCATTATCCAGGGTCGGGCAAAGTGGCGCGAGTGCGCAAATACGGGAAGGACTTCCTGTTGGAGGCCTGGCCAAAGAGCCCGGTATTGAAAGGCAGTCCCTTCGTTGGGGGAAATAAAAGGCAGAGGTAAAAGCTGGTGGCTTTCATGGGGCGGCTGTCGCTGGCCTTTCCTCTGTGGGACCGGTGCTGCGAAGCAGCCGTTCCCAGGGGCGTTTCCATCCCTCAAGCGGTGGGTAATCTCCTTGCTGCCCCCCCCTCCAGAAACAGTGGAGAGGGTCCTGCTTTCAGAACATTCCGTATCCGCCCGTGTTGGCCGTTAACAGTGGGATTCGTCTGCAGCCATACGGAATCTGATGCAGGTCTTCAGTCTCCCCGCTCCCACGACCTTGTGTTTCGTGAAATGTCATGAGCAAAATCTATGTCGAGCTCTCGCGCGCTCGTTCATGACATGAACTGTGTAGTCCTCTCTTCAGCCGCTGTGCCTACCCTTGCAATGTACTGGCGGTCTCCTATGGGGCCCCCAGCCGGTCACATAACACAAGCATGGTAGCCTGCGAACTCCACGCAAAATTCAAAAGCTTACACGATACCAAGCAAAGCAGAAGCGAAACATGGTGGCATGCATGTTTGGGGGTAGTGCATGATTGGCCGTGTGAGGAACCTACCAGTCGGCTACCAGTTTCCCAGCTCCGGGACCCTGCTCCGTTTCCTCATGGCAATTGGCGTGCCCGACACCGTATCGGAAAGCACACAATTGATTAGAACGCTCGTGCCTAATTTCGTTCCATGGAATGCAACTGCTGAGCCATGCGTAGTCGTTTGTGACTAGAAGCCTTCCTAACTCTCTGCTCGGGGGCGGATAGGGGATTAACAGTACAAGTTGCCATGTTAAGGGTTGCCTTTAATTCTTCATTTAATTCTTCACTTTAATCCTTTCAATAAATTCTTCATCAGCTTAGGAATTATGTAGTATCGCAAGCGCGAATGCATCAAAACTTGGCATATGCTGAGGCTCCGCTGTAATTACAGATGTGAAGCTAAGATAACAATTTATGTTAAGAAGAAAGCAAAAGAATGTAGGAACTATCGCAGCAAACATATCCATTCCAGTCTGCCGTCGTACACGCTGACTTGGCGTGTAAAACTTTGTGGGAGCGATTGCTTCACTTTATGACATGCCATATTGCATCCGTGATATTGTACAGACGCTTATCCAAAGAATTAATTATATCGGACGTATCAGTTGTCGTATCGCTTTGGTCGTTTGCCTTTGCCACAAGCACGTGGATGGTCAATAAAATAGCCAACATCCTAACGTAATGCACCAGGGAGAGGGCTTGACTTTATGCGCTTGAAGGCCTTGAAAGTCCCCATCCTTTTTCTGAGGGCGCGTTGCGCCAGCTCGTAAGCTGTACCATAGTGGACATACGCCATAATGGTGAGCTTCTTGACCATAATGCAAAGCAGTAACGAGTCGGGGGACAATGAGAAAGTGCCGTGCTGCTGCCATCGCAGGGAAACACTACCTCGCACAAACATGAGCCCACTGTAGGCTCAGACCATGATCACTACCGGCATGCATCCCCGCCAATCAGTCCAGGCTCGCCCCTTACATACAGTCCACAAATACCCATGGAGCCCATTTCTCGCGCTGAAGAGGTTTCATCAAATCGCGGTGCTCCCGACTTTCACGGCGTGGCATGCTGGCCTGCGCAACCCAAAGTTGTCCCCGTCGTCATACAATGTGCGTACGGTGCAGGGTTGCAACGGTGGTATGGTCCTTATCCAGGTTTGCCAAGCAGCTGAATGGGGGCGGTTGGCGGTTCTGTTATTCATTTCTGTTGATGTCGTTGTTGTGGTGTAATGTGGTGTGGGTTGTTGTGCCCACAGGGAGTCACGGTGGCACTCACGTCGAGGTTGAGGGATCCTTCGATAACTGGACGACTCGGCAGCCGCTGCAAAAGTCTGGAAAGGACTTCACCATCATCAAGCTGCTGCCGCCGGGTGTTTACCAGGTGTGTTGATTGAAGTGCCCCGCGTTGCCAGCTGCGTTGACCTTCTTGTGTATTTATGTGTGTATGTATGTATGTGTGTATGTATGTGTGTTGTGCGTTACATGTATTACTGGCCCTCTTCAGCCCTCTGGGGGGATGTTACCCGACCCATGAGAGGGTGAGACCGCCGAAGCACTCCGTCGCTGGAAAAAGCGTTCTATCGGTCATGTGTGTGTGTATGTACGTGTGTTGGGACGTTCGAGCTCAGCTGGTTGCTGTGAGGCTAATGCCCGGAGAGGGATACTCCTGAGGTACGGCATGTCCCCTACGAGTGCTACAGGCTGCATGGGTGATATGACGTACTGCTTACCCCAGGAATACTCCTTGGCACGTCTGGAGGTCGCGCATACCCTCCGTCGTGCTGGAATAGACACGTCTGGCAATAGGGACACGTCTTTCACAAGGCCACGTCTTTCACATAGGCGGCGTTTATGGCTGGCTCTTGATTGCCGTTCGAGGCTGTTGCTGTCACCAGTGGTCACCGAGAGGCCATTTTTACGACGGGGCCATTTTTGCCTGGTTAGCCGGGCTGCACCATCAGTTGCCCGGTTCCTCTCCGGAGGGTATTCCTCCAAGGGCCTCCATGGGCGGGTGGTTGCAGGGTATGGATGCCGCGGGTGGCGCGGATGTCCAGAAGTCATTTGTGCACCGGGGACGTTCGGGTTCGCGTGCAGACCGGCATCTTGCCACTTTGCAACCCTGCGACCGGCCCGCGCAACGCTCTTCCTGAAAACGGAATACCATTAAATGCCGTCCCGCCACAGCGTCAAAAAAACACCTTGTCAAATGTCCTTTTGATCTTTGAGGGTCCCAAGAGACGCCGAGAGTGTTCTGTCCCTTTCCCGCCAGAAACGACATGTAAGTACGCGACACATGGATATGCAACATATACATTAGCACATACGTATTGAGTGCATGCTTCCGTCACGTCTCGCTCCCTTGGCCTGGCCTGGGCCCCCCCCGCCTTACGCTGCAGTACAAGTTTATTGTGGACGGCGAATGGAAGTATGACCCCAACCAGCCTGCTATGTACGACGAGATGCAAAATGTGAACAACGTCATCGAGGTGCACGAGTACGTGCCCGAGAACCTCGAGGGCGTGTCGGGGTTCGAGCCGCCTCCGTCGCCGCCCTCCAGGTGAGCCGCCTGCCCGGGTGTATTTCCACGGCATTGGACATTTTCCGGACATCCCCCCGACTAGAGCGCCCGCTCCCCCCCCTCTACCTTCGGGTGGGTAGAAGAAGTAGGATGGACGGGCCGGGGGCCTGGACATACATCCACAGAACACACGTCCCGAGATGCGCTACAAAGTATAATACTCCGTGTTATGTCATGTCATGTCGTAGAGTCGAATCAACACCCGGCCCCCGGCTAGATGGGCCGCTGGGCCCAACCAACCTGAAGGGCCACTCACGCCGCCACCCACAGGCCGCCAATACACCACATTCCGGCCAACATCCATGCTCATGAGCTGTCTTACTACACCCTGCAGTGCCACGCATACATATACACCTACATATACGCACACATATACACAACACCTGCCCCTGCGCCTCGACCTGCATGCAGTTAGCAGGTATTAGAAAAAACTGACACACTGGAAGTAGTCGTAGTAGTAATAATTGTAGTAGTAACAGTACTGGTGGTGGAGATGAGATGATGATGGCGCTCACTCAACAAATGCGGCGAAAGAATCAATCGCGGCGGCGATTAAACGTGGCGTATGTCCTCCGCCTTGTGTGTGTGTGTGTGTGTGTGTGTGTGTGTATGGCCCGGTGCAGCTACAACTGCCCCACGCCCGTGGCCGACGACTACGCCAAGGAGCCTCCTGCCATGCCGGCGCACCTGCAACTCACACTACTCAACGTCCCGCCGGCGCTCGACGCCCAGGCCGTACTACCCCGGCCGCAGCACGTCATCTTGAATCACGTCTACTGCCAAAGAGGACAGGTGGGGGCCTCGCGGGGCTCAACAAACGGGGGGTATCCGGAAGACTCCAGGAGGGCCATCAGCTGAGCGTCTCCAGTACCTCCAGCATCTCTTCACACCCTTGGCCTCGGGCAGGGAGCGGGCACCCTTGGACACGTACTTTTTCTCTGCCAGAATGCGTTTGCCATGGTGCCATTGCAATGTGTGTTGCGCTGGTTTGGTGCGATGGGTCGGTTGTTGTGGGAGTCGTGGGACCCTTTCCCCCAATAGCGACATCCGTGGCTGCAGCGTATGTATGTAGGTATGTATGTACATACCTATCCCGCAGCCTCTCACCACACCACCGCATGTGTGTCCACTTCAAGGGCTCCCCTGCCCTTCCCCTCTTCCCCGTCCCCCGAACACACCCCGACGCACACACCCTTCTCCCGGCGACCTGAATTCCGCGCACAGCCGAAGCCCCCCAAAGTTATTCAGTGTCATAGAGGAGCGCGCCCGCGGCCCTCGCCATGCGCCATAATAACCCCCATGCGCCATCCCCGCCATGCGCCATCCCCGCCATGCCGTTGCATCACATTTGCAGAACGTCCAAGCCCTTGTCGTAGGGACCACAACCCGCTACAAGTCCAAATACATCACGACCGTCATGTACAAGCCCAAGGCCCGACGGCGTGTGCTTGAGAACAACAACCTTCGGAGTGACTGAGCCTGAGAGGAACATTGGGCGCCAAGGAGGAAGCAGGATTTGCCGGCAGCCGCAAACTGAAGCAGCACGCTGTGCTCTGAGCGCGCCCTTCTTTTTGTCTGCCCATGTTCTACAAAAGAACTGATATCGTTGTGATCATGCAATGTAACTTCTGAAACGTCACCTCAGCTGATCGGCACCTTCACGAGGACAAAACGACAAGCAAGGACAAGAACAACAGCAGCATCTAATAGGAACACCTAAAAGTAAAATATTTCATTATTATAAGAGTGTCCAGCTCTCAACCAAAAGCGATCTCGAGACATGCGGCATATGATTTTGAGAGCAAACGAACAGCGCTGTGGCCACGCGCCCAGACGTGCCAGTTACACCAGTCGACGGTGCCCGCCCTCCGGGGGAGATGCGTTGTCCGGGTCATCATCGCCTCTCCCCACGTCATTTGCCCCATTATCACCATCACCCTTATAATCACCATTATCATTCCCACTGTTGCTGCCAGCGTTCGGGTTTTCATCCTGTTTTGAGGAATCGGTGGTGGCATTGTTGGTGCCGTTGGCAGGAGGTGTTGGGGCTGGAGGTGACGCGACCTCGCTGCCTTTGCTCTCGGCTGATGACGAATCCGGGGAGCTGTTCAACACTTTGTTTTTATCCGTTTCAGAGTTCGTCTGCACCAGTACAGGGAGGGGAGAAACCGGGGGGTGTTTGGGGGAAAGGGTGTTGTTGACGACGAAAAGTATTAGGTACAGGCGTTGGGCTGCGTTGGGCGTTGTGGCAATCACTAGGGAGGGAAGACGAACCACGAGCGAGTGAAGCTGATACCAAGGATACACTGACAGGCCACTGGAGCTGACAAAAGGAGGCGACCTGTGGTGTGCGGTTCCCAGACAAGGTGTTTTCTCTGCCGTCCTGGATGTCGCAAAATTCAACACATCGCAAAATCCCACAGGCGGCTCCAAACTCTTACGGTCTTTGGTGCGTAAAACGTTTTTCCAAAGAAGGTGCACAGTCGTAATGATGCGTCACTTAAAATCTTGATGGGATATGGAAATGTGTGATGGATGGGTCGACCAATAGCGGACAAAAGGCCGATGCGTTTTTAAAAATGATGATGGGAAGCGCGATGACGGTGATGACGGAACATGACGCTTCCTAAACTGAAATGAACACGTGACAAACGGAGGCAGGTGTACGGATTTCGCCGTCAATCTGCCCGCGGCTGCGATATGATGCTAAGAAGGCGGCGGCCAGGGCAGTTCAGGGGGATGCGTTGCTGTGGGTGGAGTGCACGACGGGGTAATGGGGTACGGGTAACTTAGGGCGTATGTGGTTGATTTCTTTGGAACACATACCTGAGTTTCATTAGGGTACGTGTAGGTGTAGTCTCCCGTCATCAAGCCCTCCTGAGTGTCGTCCATCGGTTGCTTTGTAGCATTGGTTTGCGGAATCGTTTCGTTGCTGGATGGGGGCATAGGCTGTGGTGGTGTAGGCTGCGGTGGTGTAGGCTGCGGTGGTGTAGGCTGCGGTGGTGTAGGCTGCATCAATACACTCTGCGTGCCGCCTGCACGTGCAAGTGGGTAATCGGGTAATGAGTTCCAGCTGCAGGGTACGGCAGACGGCTTGAGAAGGTTCTGGTTGGTGACACGGCACGAGTGGTGCCCACCTGTAAAATTCTTGGGTGCTGATTTGGACTTAAGGGCAAGGACCACCCATAGAACAATTACAACCAGCAGGCCCCCACCGACGCAAATACTCCGCTTAAGCGTGAGTATTTTCTTCTGATGTTGATGCTCCTTCACACGAGCCTGCGCGTGGTTTTTTGATGTTGAGGGACAACCAACAGCAACAGCTGCACCCCCATCCAAGAAAACTGTGCACACCTCCACTCGCAGGGCTCCCATCAAAGCCTTCTCCTCATCACTACCCTTGTAATGTTTATTTTTCAGCTCTTCTTCGATTAACGTGTGTAGCTCTGACGCCATCTTGCAACGTGCTCCTAACTGTATTTGATGCAGGAACGTTTGAGCACAGCAAAAAATGGAAGATCACCTCGGTTTAGGGTGTCAAGACAAACAGTTCAAGTAGCGGAACAAAACGCAGTGCGTTTCAAAGCTTTTCTTGCTGGAAGCTCCGTTGGTTGATTCGCCTTGCTGATCCTGATAAGAACAAAGTCGATGGTATGTGCCTGCATATAAGCAAGCTAGAAATGTTATTGAGTTTGCCGTACACAAACTCGACCAATCACGGAAGCTTGGCAGTTAGTTAGGCAAGCGTAGACAAGTATTGCTTAGTGTTACACCTTGATATTCATACATAGGAGTTCAATTTCGCCATACCACTGTCGCGACACAATGCGGTGTGCTGTAATCCAGCCTTTCACTCAAGTATGCAATCTAAGATGTGATGTCCGTGTACGTGTTTTCCTAAAGCGAGAACGTGTATCAAGACAGCTTTCACGGACAAATGCTAGTGACAACGAGGAGCCACAGACAAGTATCTCTAGTACGGTAAACAAGGCAAGTATTATTGCGAAATCCTTGTATTGCTATCAGATGCCATCGTGGCGCTAGGATGATTAAGGATACCCCACGCGTAGGATGGTGGCGTACTTCCGCCAGAGGAAATTAAGCAGCTAGCTTCTCTACGGCGGCAACAGCAGGCCGATCTCGCGAAGGACTCCAACATCGTGCAGGTGCGCTTCGGATCCCGTTGGTGCTGGTTGGTCGGCCACCTATCCCACCTAAGTCACCTTGACGACTGTGACTGCATCCGAGATCCAAATGTCGATAAAGGGTCATCGGTTCATGCCGCAAAGGTTTATGCTGATTTTTAAGGAGGACCGCGTAGGGGGACCCGTACGGGGACCCGTAACCTCGGTGCATCCTGCATCCCTAAGACCCCATGGATGTGTACATGCAGGGCGCACTCGAAGAGGCCCAGTTAATCACATGGCCGACAAGGGAGAAGGTATGCACGCTTTCCACATTTCTGCCGGGCAAAAGTCTTGTGTGCTGATGCCTTGTGGTGCCCCTAGTGGGTGCGGCGCCAGGGGCGGCCTTTTCTGTTGCACTGTTTTCCAATTGCACAGAGGCTGCAAGTAGTACGGCAAAATCTACAGCTTAACCGCTTGGAACCACGCTGTGCCTTGGTGACCTTTGCGCAGGCATTGCTCGACACGGTCCTAGTGTTATTTATCGTTGCTGGGTCCGGAGCCATGATCTTTGGCATGAACGTGCTGCTGGCGGAGCTGTCTGAGTGGTGGTACCACCTCGCTTGAAAGCGAGTACACGGGCGCGCTCGGTCGCTCTGTCGTTGCTTGCCGTCCTAAAAGAAGGGATGGAGGGGATTCGCCCCCACTTCACGGTCGCCGCCATGTAAGGGTACACCGTACATCCCCTCTTGGTTGCCTCAAATACGTTCGGAACGGGGCTGGGAGCGGCGGCGGTCCGCTGTCCACTCTCCTTAAGGAAAAGAGCTCAGGTTTTCATGTTTTCCTCAACTGAGCGCCGCGTCAGTCGACAGTGTTTTCTTTTAGTGTGTTACGATGAACTGCGAGTCAACTGTGGCGTTGGCGGATGGGCGATTAAGTAGCAACTGAGCAGCTGGCCGGTGTGTTTATTTTCGCTGGGAACAGGGGCCAGCAAGTGGGTGTCGTTTGTTGAAAGGAGAGCCGTGAAGGATTGCGAAGCGCTATGGGTCCAACTTGCGTGATCCAACTTGCTGCTTTTCAGTGCCTTGGCGGCGGGAGGTCGGCCATTTCACTGTGGGGAGACCAGGATGTTTTGCGCAACTCAGGGAGATGGACCGGGAAAAAGGCTTTTGCTAAGATTTATCAGCAGTCCCTGCACAACATTTCCTTTGGAACCCGTGAAATCTTGTACTGGTCTTATCGGGATGCAGTTGGGAAGTCCGGTGCACGTTGGTCGCTGCGAGTATTGTAATATGGAAGGGAAATTTTCGTCTATCGTGCCGAAATTCCTGGCCGGAACGTCGGACTTGGCGTGGCAGATATTTCTGGCTGGGTGTGGATGGATGCGATTTCTACCACTCCAAAAGAAAAACTAAAATCTGGAGAAAAACTAAAACCAGCCCCGTAGAATCTCCGATGCGAGAGGTGGGTGGCAGTGGGCTGCTCACCTTGGAGAGACCATAGAAGCTACGATTTGGACCTTTTAACAGGCTCAGTGCTGTTTGGGATGTTTTGTAGTGCGCCGCGGGTCGCCAGGATTTTTCCGTACCCGTACTTGACACGGGAGTTTTGGTGTTATGACTGGCCATCGGTTTGCTCTACAATTGGGTTTTGGTTGTTTTTTTGATGCTTCGTGCGCTGAGGACTTATGAATGGGACAGATGGAGGCTTTTTCCTCCGGCCGTGATGGTGCGACAGTTTCCTTTTCTTCGGACTCTGAGCGGCATTCAGCGTACATCGCTTTGTAACTCCTTCGTAACTCCTTGCCCTTTTCTACACAATTCTTCTCAGATGTTAGCGTACTGGACTGGTAGATCGCAAATGGAAGTCAGGCGGAACGATGACGATGCCATTACAACACCCGCGCAAACCAAAACCCTAACTAGAATCCGGCCCTTTCCATAGACACAGAGCAGAATATAACACCGTGCAAATGCCAAAAAACAGCGACGATGTCTTTGAAACGTTCATTTGTTCCAGCACCTCAGTGCATCCCCTCCAGCCGCATCGCATGCATCCTCCGACCTCGGCCAGCTTCCACAAAACGTACATCACGCGGTCACATGCCATGACCGCAAGCCTGCACATCACAAAGCAATTCCAGCTCCTCTGGGAAGAACGGATTAGGTTCCGCGTAAACCCGCACCACTCGTGCACAAACCACACAACTTGAGCACAAAAACGTTTCTACTGCCGTCCGTCATGACGCACTCCCCGAGCCTGGCCGGGGGGTTGGACGCTAAAAAAAACAAAACAGAACTCGTGACGGCTATCCTTACACCTCCTTGCCACTGGCCAAGCAGCTGGCTAGGATAAAGCGAGGGGAGAGACATCCCAGCCGTCCTGCAAAGGCATTTACATGTATTTAGAAAAGGGGTCTCACGCCTGGCCGCACCCTTCTCACGAGGGCAAGTCGTGTCGCTGTGGTCTTCATCTTGACCTTAAGCGTTGGCAATGCCGTCGTTTTTACAAGTACGCTGATAGGTCATTCCCAGCATCCTTGTCGTCGACCAACACTGCGCTAGCCACCGCAGGCTTCCCGTTCGGGTCACCGATGAAGGACTTCCTCAACGAATCCCGCTTCACAGCCATATTCCGCATTTTGTCCATCGTGCTTTGCAGCTGCTTGCTCGTCGCTGCGAGAAGCGGGACATCACACGCGGGACGTGCGGAGGATGCGGGCATCGGTAATTGTGGTGACACGCATGCGCGCGTGGGGCATTCCTTTTTGAAATGATTTACGCAGACTCAGCGCGCACGCTACAAGTCTGGCCACTTTGTTTATTAACATTGATGTTTCTCTTGTATCAAACCAACTACCTACACAGAATATCGCGGTGGAAAGAACGTCGACTCGCGGCTGGCACCGTATTTACGAGTGCGTAACCTTTTACCAAACGCGCAGTCGCGCACCCACGTCCACATCCAGCAAGCACAAACAAATCAGAATCATCACCCACGCCTAAGTGGGCTTTGCACGCTTAGCATGCACAGCAACCTTCAGGCATGACCGATGTCATGTCTGTCCTCCATTTCCAATACTTAGCTGCGAAAGAAAAAACGCTAACCGCAACCGCAAACTAACCGCAACCTCTACCTCACCACACGCAGCCCCACCTACCCTCGTCCGCAGTAGTAGGCGTCCGGCCCTGCACCCAGGGGTGTGCGAGCGCCTGGTCTGCCGTCAGGCGCTTGGCCGAATCCACCGTCAGCAGCTTGGCGACGACATCCTTGGCCTCCGGAGAGATGCTCTCCCAGATGGGGTCGTCCGCGTCGTAGTTGCCCTTCTTAATCTTCTCGAACAAGACAGCGTCGTTGTCGTCGTCTGCGTACACACACACACACACACACACGCACACACGGGTAAAGTTCAGGATTTTGCGTACTCAGGCCAGTCGGTCAGTTGCTCCTTGGCACACACGTGCTCCTTACAAACCCATACAAACCATTTATCGCTAAACCTCCGCGGACCACGTCTATGTGCTCGGTGCTACCCACAGGGCTAGAAGCACAAGGAAAGTGATGGACTTCTGAGGCGGCCCAATAAAGGTGCGGTTTGTAGCATTATCAAGCATTTTCAAGTGCGCCCAATCGCACCTGTAGGGCGCGAAATGCGTACTAGTATGGTGAAAGTGAACCCGCCTAAAGCTGTGGCAAAGTGTTCTTTTTGATGGTCCCTCGGTACCTCTTGATGGCCCACCCAGACGCACATCGCGCTAAGGCGCATACCGAGCCCAGGTGAGCAAGCGGGAGAGGACGTCAAAATCCCCACTCGGCGCCACAATAGAAATGACAATTGACCGCCCATGGGGCCCCCGCTTCAGGCTTTTACGGACGCCCCCAGCCCATTTGTGCGGAGAACTTCTTAGTTGCAACTTAAATAGTAGTAATGCTCCTGGATACTTAGGTTTTTTTTGGAAATAAAGCGTCCTGACAACGCAACTGCCCAACGCAGCCCTGCTAGACCACAACAGCTCTTTTCTCAAGACGCCGTTGCACCAGCCACCCGAATATATGCACTCTGGAAAAAGCGTAGCGCGTTCGGCAATGTGTGCTAGCCGCGCACCGATCTTGGATCGTGAACCGATGGCTTTGTGGGGTTAAACTAAGCACAGCGAATGCCCACGCCGGGCTGAGTACAGCCCACGCCCGCACAGAACCGGACCCAGCTCCCACGGCGGCCCCCACCCGGGCGCACCGCGGCACAAAGACGACAAAAGGTAAGGAGAACCCCTTTCCCCACACAAAAGCTTCCCCAAGGCACATACTAGTACTTCCTCCGACAATCGCACCCACAGCAGTAGCTTCCGAGCATACAGCCATCCTAATAGCCAAAAAAGTATACCATTCATTATCTCGTCTGTATGTATGTGGTATCGGCCGGCGTGGCAGGCAAGTAGATACGGCATTCCCGAGATGATACGCCATCCAGTGCTGGTCGTCTCACAGCCCTGAAACCCCCTGACCGTCCGACTACGAGCTGAAGGAGTTCATGCCCCTTGTCCCTACACACGGTTTCAGCATAAACATGATAAATACATATATACATACATGTATGTACACCTATTATACACAACTACTGTACCATCGATGTAAATAGGTCTAAATTGCACAGGATTGCACCTCCGCCCGAGGGCTTACCGAACGGAGAGTATCCTGACAACAGAATGAAGAGAATCACGCCAACGCTCCACATGTCGACGGCCGGGGAGTATTCCTTCAGGCCGTCCCCAACGCCCAGCACCTCCGGCGCGACGTACTGCGGACTGCCGCACATCGTAGATAGCACCGTTTCCGGTGAAAAGACTTTGCTGAGCCCAAAATCGGCAATCTTCACGGGAGAGTCGTCCCGCTCGTTTAGCATAACCATGTTCTCCAGCTTTAGATCGCGATGCACAATGCCTGTGAAGAGGAAACAGTGACCGTCGTTCGCTCATTACACCAGCTTGCCAGCGGGGGTTCGGTTGGAATGCTTGGGGCGGGTTGGAATAATGGAATGCTTACGGTGATATTATATTTGGTGCGAGTTGTGTGGCCAGAATGTCATCGCGGCCGTCCTGAGTAGGCAACTAGGGGGCCCAACTAGGTAGTATACTAACGAAAGGAACCCCAGTTGTGACGATGGGAAAGAAAGCCCCCTCCCTGCATGCATGCATGCAACTTATCAAGTGCGGTGGGGGCCTTGCGGCAATGTTGGATACAGTTTGGCACAGCCGCTCTACATGTTCTGGGTTTTGTCTTTTTTCGCAGTGTGAACCGGACGCCGCAACATGCACGAATATGCCACACCGCGGGCCTATGCATGCAAGTGTACACATTACGGACGTGAGGCAGCGAGTGAATAGAGCTACGCGCAAATGAATGGGTGCGAGAACGGGGAGAACGTAAGCAAGAACGTAAAGAAAGCGTTAGCTGACGGATAGCGCGAACGGGTTGGGGATCCGTAGCTGAAACTCAAAACCGCAACTGACAACGGCTAAACTATGAACTGCCTGACGTCCAAAGTAAGACAAGGAGATGCGGTGTTGGAAGGGTTTATGGGACTACCTGCAGTTTGTAGACCCGACAATCCTTCAAGAAAACACAACCCGTCCCGTCGCTGGCAGCAGCAGCAGCAACAGCATTAGGGTAGTGGCTTAATTTCCGTGTGGGCGTCACAGCACTGATGCCTGCGCTGACGTGCTGGTCGCCATCAGCTGATGATGATGCCACAACACTCCATACCTACCCTGCTTGTGCAAGTACGCCACGCCGGAGAGGATTTGCCGAATGAGGGCCGAAGCATCTCTCTCCGTGTAGTTCCCTTTCTCAGTAACCCTGAGGGAGGGAGGAGGGAGGGAGCGGTAGCCCCCCGGGGAAACAGGAGCAGCAACCACACGTCACGGCGAAACACAACACAGGGCGAAATCGGTACACGTGAGGAGACACGTTGAGAAGATGCCAGGTAAACCTGTAATGGTCGTAACCGACATACACAAGCGTGAAGCTGTGGCAAGGGAGACCAAGCGAGGCATATAAACCCTGAATCTGAAAAAAAACGGGCCCTCACGAATTACAGCCCCCTGTCCCCCGGCCCCGTGAGCACACCTGTCCAGTAACTCTCCGCCCGTCATAAGCTCTGTGACAAGGTACACCTTACGAGGTGTGATGAACACGTCATAGAGCTTGATGCAGTTAGGATGGTCAACCTGTGTAAGAAGATAATAAAGTTTAAACCAAGGAAGGTACCTCCCGCAAGGACCCACAGCCCAGCAGGCCCGCTCGCACCGCACCTTGAGGAGGACCTGTATTTCACGCTCCAGCGAGTTGTCCCCAGCAGCATAGCGCGATTTATCTACCACCTGAGAAGGTGAGAAACTTGCTTACAGGGTTCATTCTCGCGAAAAGACGCCCGCTCGTCGCCCCGTACCTTTATGGCGACTGGGTCGCCTGTCTTCTTGTCTCGCCCCTTCTTAACGACCGCAAAACCTAGAAGCAAGAAGGTCTAGCTGATGAGCAACGGGCTGCAAACTGATCGCCCTGTGAACTGGGCCGCGCCTGTGCATCTTGCTCACCTCCCACACCCACTGTTGCGCCGACTTCATACCGCTCAAGGAAGTCTTGCACCGTCGCTGCAAATCCATAAATGAGACCATAAATGAGACAAAACTTTGATTGCAATGCACCCCACGAGCATGATCAAGAGTGCTGTGTGCCTCACCGTTGGTGTACACTTGAGGCTTCCTGCTGGTGCTTGCTTCCTCCGCGGCTGCCATGATTAGTTGCTGGTTGGTTAAGTAAGCAAGTAGCTCGACGCACTGCCTAACAAACCATCTTCAACCAGGGACAAGCGACCTTAAATGGCAGTGAAACGAGTTGCGCTCCCAGCAACGTGCGCGTATTAAGGCAACCACTCAAAACTTATCAAATTATCGTAATGTTTAATAAATGTGAGACGGAAATCCTTGGGAGTACTGAAGGCTCCAGGGTGGCGCCCTGGGAATGGAAATGCTCAGAAATGGCTTATTTGTGCGCTCGCATGACCACTGACTTCCTGATAGCCTCCAAATTGTCGCACTTGCCATAACTCGAGTATAACGCAGGCTAGCAGTTTCCTCCCTAATGATGATTGCCTTCCTTGGCACCTTTGTCACTTCCACATGCCTTTTCGTTATGAAGGGATGACGCGTAGCAGTAAGCGTACGCATGCTTGGGAGAAACGGATGCTTAGTACATGTTGATCGTCATGTGACCACGTCGGCAGCATCGGCGTTGAGCCGTAAGTTTGTTGTTGTCAGAAGGCGAACCTTGGAGCCAATGTTTCCAAAGATGCTGGGGCAAGATTACTTTGTCAAACGGCGTATACCGTAGTACTTTCGCTTTTACTCTTTCGTTTTGGTAGAGGTGCTTCAAGATTGCATCAAGTAAGCAAAAGGCTCCAGCAGTTAACCTTCTTATGTCTAGACCTATACAAACTGAGTCGCCAGTACGGTTTGCAAGAAAACGTTCTTTTGCAGTCAGGACGGCTCAGTGAAGCGGCCGCTTCGGATTGGCAAGTCGCTGACATACAGCCACATATGACAACTCACGGTCGTCGATTCTACGATTGCGCAGACGGACCCGGCATGTTGTCTAACATCCTACGTACGGTTGCCGCACCGCACACGTGCTTTCTGCTTGTATCGGTGTAGCTTGTGGGCCTGCTGCCACCCTTCTGTCAGGCGTACGCACTATGACCCCAGTTGCAGTATTGGGCGCTTTTGTGTCCGTGTCGTGTTACGCTGAAGCTCATAGGCATGCGTGAGGCATGCTGGCACATATTGCACGACCTGCATTTTTTTCTAACTTGCCAGGGCCGGCGGGAAGCAACGGACAAAGGCTCTCAATTGCAGGGCCCCTACCCCCGAAGTCGAATTACATGGCTCCCAATAGCTCCCTCTCTGGCCCTTCTAGCTATTACAGGGCTCCCAATAGCTCCATCCCTGGCCCTTCCAGCTGCTTGTGTTAGTCATCTTACCCATACCCCTCATAGATAATCCTCGTATACCTGCCTCACTCTCTGGGGATCTCTCATGGGGCGCTTCAGGCATGCACGCAGCACATGCAGGTTGGCAGGTACACTTTGCTCAGGCACGCTTTTTTAGTAGAAATGCACATTCGGAACCGCCACGCCATAGGCGCTAGGGCGTACTGGGAAGTCAAGTGGAGACCAGGAAACGGGCATGCCGTCCTCAACAATCCCCCGGAAAATCTCTTACGTTGGGAATGGAGTACCGGAGCCATTACTGGCTAGAGCCCAGGCAGACCGAATGGACTGATATGGCCCAGCATAGGGGCACTAGTGAAATTCCAGACAGCCCAGCTGTGCCCAAACGACACGCATGAGAGTTAGCAACTCCGTGCTTCAGGGTTACTCTGGGTTAGTTAACTGACGCAGAGGTGTGCAAAGATTAGGGATTGGGTTCGGGTACCGGTCAGGCAGGAATTAGGATTCGGAAAGAGGGGCAGGATTAGGATTCAAAGTTGAGGCCAGGTTTAGGATGAGGACCCGAGTGTAGGATTATGATTGGGACCTCACCCACAGGATTAGGATTGGGACCCGGCCACAGGATTAGGATTGGGACACCACCCCAGGATTAGGATACATACCGCATATCCAGGATTAGGATTAGTACACTGGTGTTGTATTAAGGTTAGTGCACTGCAAGGTACCAAGGCCCCCCGTCTCCTCCGGAACCAACTGCACGACATTGAGGGACGTTTTCAAAGGCAGTCGCGTGTTGGAAAAGGGCTATCCGGCTAACGAGGCACCGCGGTCATGCTATTTCGATGTGGCTATACGAGACCGAATGGTCAAGCTCCAATCCTTTTTCATGAAACAATTGGTAGGGACTTCTGTACCACCCCTTCAGCTTTTGTTTATGGAGCTAGGGCAGATGCCGCTACAGCTGCACTGGGCTGAATCCGTATTTCGATTCTGGAATAGCTTGGTGGAGGACACTAGTAGCGTATACCACAGCGCCTTCCGTCAGGAAATTCGTTTGGTGTTAGTAACGAATTTGCAGTTTGATGGTTGGGGATCCAAAGTCATTCGTATCCTTAACCACTTAGAGCATGACTGGGGTGAGGAGGCAGTCGGGGGAGGCATTGATATCATATCAATGATATGAGGGTTATACGTTACTCGGCTTGCAAGCTTGATGTCGAAGCGCTGATGGACACCCTTAGGACACGTGTCAACGACGACTGGGCAAACGATAGGCTGGCCGTGGACCCTAGAGTTTTCGTTACGGACGGTAGGAAGCCCGGCGTGAAGATGGGCCGTCATAAGCACTGGATGGGGCCACCGAAGCCGTACGCGGGTTATATCCCGCCGGCGCATCATCGTGCCCTAATCCGTTTTCGTTTGTGTCTCCGACCTGGCGGTTAACAGTGAGAGCAACAGGGCTAGGGAGCACCGCGTGTGCGCTGTGTGTCGTAGAAATGGAGCTATTGAGGATGAGAAACACTTCTTGGTAGAATGTCCGGCGATTGTGTCTGCGCGTCAGAAGCTCTGGGACCTCGGTGCGCCCGTCAATGCGAACATCCGTGATATCATGCAAGTTTATGATCAGCGTGGTCTTGCAAAGGCAATTTTTGAGATGTTTCGCTCCCGGCATGAGCACCTAACTACCTAACTTTCTCGGCGGTAACAGGCAATTGTGTGTCAGAGTCAAATTGCCGCTGTTCTTTCTCATAAACACCCGTTTTCTTCTTGCGTAAAACTTTCTTTTTCTGTTGTTTGTTTTGTTTGTTTCGTTTACTTTTTCTTTTTTTTCTTTTCCCTATCGACGGCGCTGTCAAAGCGGTTCATGAGCCTCCGGGTTCGTTTGGGCCGTACGAGCTCGCTGAAGCTTGTAACATCCATCCATCCATCCAGTCGCGTGGCGATGAAGATGTGCACTTGCACAACATAAGTAGTTAAACGTCGGTAACTGTATGAAAAATTTATACTACTGTGCGCACATTTTAACTTTGCTGGCTCAACATCATATGTGGACATCGTTTCATGAGATATGTCCTGCTTATCGGGTTGTACTTCATAGCTGCGAAAGCCCCTAATATTTATGGCATTGAAGGTGTCTTCTTCGCTGCCAGTGTGGACGGTGAACCATTGGATCACCTCTCTCAACCAGCTGCACCTATTCCGCCCAAGGACATGTTTGCTCTGTTTGCTGGGTATTAATTTTAGGGCTTTGCATGAAAAATTCTATTGTTATGCGCACTTGTCCTTGTCCGCATCTTTGGCTGAACATCATATGTGGACATCGTATCATGAAGCATGTCCTGCTTATCGGGTTGTAATTCATAGCTGTAAAAGCCCCTGGTATTTATGGCATTAAAGGTCTCTGCCTCGATGCAAGTGTTGATGGTGAACCATTGGATCACCTCTCTCAACCGTAAAAACGTGCATTTTATCGTCGACCGCCCCACAGTCGCATCTGTAAATGCTTGAAGCAAAGTGTTTAAACGCGGTACCCTGCTTAGACTCTTCCTGCTGTGTCATATGGCACGGTACTGCAGAAACAGTCAGGGTGTGCAGCTTTTTTGTTTCCAGTTATACTTCATTTCATCATGTACCCGCTGAATGTTTTTATACGCACTTGCATAGCCATCGCCTCGCGCCTTTATGGCATTGTGTGTTTCCGTGTCACGGCACCCTTGGGGGAACCCCCAGCCAAAATTAAGGTTACCGAACCAGCCACACGATGACGATTGCAATACAGCTCCGCGATAAGATTACGACACGGCCAGCAGGATTAGGACTGGGACCCCAGCCTCAGTATTAGGATTATGCTCCGGCCCCAGGATTAGGATTGGGCCCCCCCCGTAGGATTAGGATTGGGACCCGGCCACAGGATTAGGATTACAACCCCGCCCCCAGGATATGGATTAGATCACCACTCTGGATTAGGAATTAGGAGTGGTCCACCCCTGTTGAGAGTAGAGGATTGCTGACCGGTACCCACCCCCTGGATTAGAGGATTAGGACCACTTTGCATCCCTCTGACTGGCGTGCAGGGGGCTTTGCAGCAATCTAAACATGTGGTATCGTCTTTACTTCGGGTGTAATTACGGGTAATTACGTCGGCGCCACCTGTGTGACTGTGGCAAATCGTATCGCATTCATGGCCGCGACGACGGAGTAACGAGCAGTAAGATAGGAGAGGCAAAGGCTGGGGAAGAAGAAAAAGGAAAGCTCTAAGGAAATCTGCCAGCCCGATGGTCTGGAAACTCTTGGCAAGCCAAGCAAATAGTGGCAAGATGGCTAACATACCGTACTGCTACGAAATCTTCGCGCCACACCTTTCGTTTTGGGCCACGAAGTGTGTCACAGTGGAAAAAGCTCTATGGGGAAAATTATTTGCTTGTCGCGAAACTGTCTGGCACGAATGTGTCGTACGCCGTGTACATGGTGTAGATAAGCCAGAACTGAGTTTTTACACGCCAGAACTGAGTTTTACATATAGTTATAGCTTCCTTTAAGGGAGGAGGTGGCGGATGACAAGGTGCCATCTGAGACGGAGGGGGAGGAGAGTAGCGAGGAGGAGGATGGGGCCGCGGAGGTGGTGGCGCAGTTGGCGGAGACCCGTGCTGCAGTCAAGCGGCAGATTGTGAAGCCGGCCCGCTTCCGCTAATTGGCTTATTCCTGGGTGCTGGCAACTGGCCATGTACCTGATGTTCCGAGGCTGCGTTTCAAGTCCCCGGGTAGGCCGACGGTTTCGGGGTTTGTGTATCGGGGCGTTTGGTAAACCGCACCTGACTTTGGTGCCGCACCACCGGGCCTGTCTCCTGTTCTTCTGCGTAAACATATAGTAAACGATCTGTCCAGCAGTTTGGGAGCTTTGACGCTGTCGCTCCTTGTTGTGGCTTCCCTGGAGCCCCGCGAAATGTGTGTTCACGTAAACAAATGTGTGCCATAAAAACTGACAGCCCTCGCGAATTGGTGTAACAAAACGAAAAATTCCAGCTAAATTTTTGGGGTACCCACGAACGGTGTGGCGCGAAGAATTCGTAGCAGTACGGTATGGGACACGACGAACAATTAAAATAAATGACGGCGCGTCGGATACGCCGTATGACAGGTTTGTGCCTGCACCTGCAATTTGGTTCTGTAGTTCAACGCTCTAAGAGATGTTTGCGCATAAGAGCTTAGGTGCCAGCCCTAATTTGCCGAGTCAGTCCATTCAAGACAGGCCTAACCAGCGCCCTCGGCAGATGCGTTGGGTTTCCAGTCGATCCGGACAGTTATTCGCGATCCGGAAATTGAACGCAAATAATGGCTGCCGGGCTCTCCCGAGTTTGAATGCTGCCAGCAGGCATTGCATGATTGTGCTAGCTGTGCTGATGGACCTGCATCTTGAACCCATTGAACTGCTTCCCTTCCTGTCGACCGCTCGGTACTGACCAAACGCTTGTTATTAGACGTAGGCATAATGGCTCAAGTGGAATATACATGATTTTTCCTTGATTAACGAAGGAGTCTCTGAAGGTTTGCGGCTTTCATGTACGCGGATCTGCATTCCGACCTTCGATGGTCACGCAGGTGGCGCCGACGGTACGAAGCAGGCCGATATCACAATGGCAGCTCCAGACCTGAACGGATGTGTGGCTCCTCTGTCTGTTACTATGAGAGATTTCCAATAGCACGTCAAAGCCAGGACACGTGAGCAAGTGCACTTGCTTGCTGGTTGTCTCTTCGTGCTTGTCTCTTTGTGTTAGGAGGCTCCTTACGAGTTATATGCACTAGAGCAGCCGCCTGGGATGGCCCCTTTCCTCTGAGTAAGGTGACTCGCTTGTCAAACCAACGCTTAAGGATAGTCAACATCAGGCCCTACCTCATCGCGTTGCAACCTAGCTTACCTTAAGATGTACCTTTACGAACCAGGACAGATTGTGGACAAAGGTTTCGGGCTCGAGGTCTATCGTACGAGCTGCGGCGTCTGGCCTCGTGGCCTGGCTAGGAAAACTGACAGAGCAATCCACAGTGATACGAATGCAGGACCCAATTAAAAGGAATTCGTGATGAAAGAATGCTTCGTGAAGCAGCGGAGAACGGATTTGTCGGGCGATAATGCCAACGGAACTTGGCCTGCGAGGCCGTTGTACGGCAGGGCCCTCCCTCTTCGAATCTCCGTCCTGAAGTCAAAGCTAGAGAAACTGGATATTGTAGTGTTCTTTTTGTAAGGCATCTCAACGGTAGATGGGTACGGGATTGGTGCACTAATCAACCGACGTTCGCCTTTTGCGGCCTCAAGGCAGTAGGGCTACAGGGTACCTATATTTACAAGACCTGTCATCACATGCGTCGAAATCCAAGTTCGAACACCACGCAAGGAGGTCAGGGTGACTCGGTGGCAGGCGCTCAGAACTCGGCACTTCTGCAGAGCGGTGCACCGAATGCCACTGTGCAAATGAGCACTTACACGCCACTTGAGGGAGGTCCTAGCCGTCGGGATATTGCGGATCGAGAGTTCCAATTTCCGTGGAAGTCGCCAGCCGATGAGGAAGACTCCGTGAACGGAACGATTTCGCGCTTCCTGGAGAAGCAGAAGTCGAGGTAGGTCACTTGGTATAGCTTGATCATGCTTGCCCACTTGAATTTGCGATTGTCCGGTTCTCGGCTGTTGTGATGCCGAATTCTTGTGCATTTCTCCTGCAGCTACCGACAGAAATGGGAAACGTACAGCGTGATAGACTGGCTGGCTTTCTTTCTCCCCTGTGTGCGATGGTTGCGCACGTACAAGATTCGGGAGTATCTCTGGGTGAGTCAACCTGCGTTCCAAACCTGGGTATGCGCTGAAGGGCAATGGGTAGCATTGTTACAGAGAATGTAAGAAATACTATTTATTTTTTGGCGTCTGTTACACGACGATATGCGTGCAGGGCACCAGGGTTGTAGTTGTCCACCTAGACAGGGCGTCTTCGTTGTGATAGCGGCTTCGAACCGTGCTCGAGAGCCTGCATCTTCTCCCCTCAGCGGCGTGCTCCTTGCAGAGTTTTGGTACCGGCCCTAGAGCATTGTTGCACCATGGCACGCAATCCTTGTCATTTGAGCACACAGCGCCGCGCTAGACGCTTTGCCGCCCTGTGCTTATATTCCCCCTCCCTCACACAAAGACTTGAAGCAGCTCCTTTGCTATCAACCAGGCGCTAATACTGTAGCTTAAATCAAAATGACAGCCGCTTTCTTCTGTTCCGCGCTCTGTTCAAACCCGTCCGCAGTCCGACTTCGTTGCCGGTCTCTCTGTCGGCTTCATGGTCGTTCCGCAAGGTGAGGTGGATGCGCTGGGATGTGCAGTTGCAGCTGTAGGATCTGTTTGCAACCAGTACATGCAACAGCCCAGATGAGGTTTTGCTCGACGTCTTTCGCCTCTGACCCAGATGGGATTGTGTACGCACCATTCCGTTCGGCCCATAGCATAGGCATTTCCTGGACATAACCTTGCTTCACGTGTCTAATCTTGCGAAAACTTTCTCCCCCGTTTTCGGGAACAGGCATATCGTACGCAAACCTTGCCGGTCTGCCATCCGTGTACGGACTGTATGGCGCGTTCATTCCATGCATTACCTACGCGCTGGTGGGCAGCTCCAGGCAGCTGGCGGTCGGTCCAGTGGCAGTGACGTCGTTGCTCATAGGCAGCAACCTGAAGGAGCTCGTGGAAGGCGCAGACAAGATCACCAATCCGAACGTGCTCACGGACGAGCAGGTGCGGCTGTGCGAGTGTGCGTGTATGAGGTGCATCCGCTATTATGGCCGCATGAGAGGGGCCACACCTCCGTGACGACGCGATTTGCCGTTTAAAAAGGGTGTCGGTGCGAGTATTTGTACGATTATCGGAAATTATGGATATACGGAGCGGCAACGGTAGCAGGGGCCCCCTAGCGATTGTATTTAATTTTTCAAATGCTTGGTGTCTGTTGCTCCTGCGGCACCTTTGCATGGATGAATGTCTTTCATGCTTAGCAGTAGAAATTGCATGACGCTAAAAGAACTGGATTGCGACAGCCTGTTGGTGAGCTGCAGCTAAGGCCCCAGCTGCGTATCAGACCGGCATGTATGGACTCTTCCTTTATCAGTTCGAAGGGTACCGCGTGTATAGTACACACACAAGGCACATTACCCGCATGTCTGACCTGCAATGGAGCTGAACTGGATTGAATTGAGCTGAGCTGTGTTGGATTGGGTTGGAGACGCCTCATTGTGGGGGCTTACTGACCTCCTCGGCCTCCCCACCTTCGCCTTGGCTGCGTCGCTTCATGTGGTCCTGCAGGTGCCAATTCAGGAGCGGTACAACCACCTGGCCATTCAGTTGGCCTTGCTTGTAGCCACCCTCTACACCGCCGTCGGAGTTTTCCGCTTGGGCTTTGTGACTAACTTCCTTAGCCACTCGGTGAGCTGTTGTTGATGTTGTTACAGGGTGGTTAAGCTTCACCAGTGGCCTCCTTCCCGAGGCAATTCCCTGCTCTCCCCTGCTAGAGGGGCACCCTAAGCCATTCACCCCATCCGACTTCAGAGTGTACTCTTTGAGTTTGGCAACTCACCACCAGCATCCAACCAAATCTAGCGGATCAACGGCGCGTCAACTTAGTTCCTGGTCAGCTCGCGAGTTGATTTTATCACGTCCTACACCGTCCACAAGATGGGGGGCCACCTCCCATTTCATCACCTCTCAAACACCCCGAGAGGTCGGCAGGCGGATTTGAACCCGGACGCGCCGGGACGCGACGGGAGCAGAAGCCAGGCCTTAACTTCTGCCAGCCGCCTGCCTGTTGTTATCTCACGAAGTGTTGCTTCGCGGTTTCAGGATTGCGTACTCCACTTGTGGGTACAGCGAAACGATGGGCGAGACGAAATTATGTTGCAGATCTTTCTCTCTCTGTCTCTCTGTACCGACACGGCTTCCCAAGTCACAGGTTGCATTTAGTCTTTTGGGGGCCTGCCCCGGTCCTTGGTTTCGCTACTGCGTCCTTGTCCCCTGGTGCAGTCTGTTTTCACACTGTTTTTGAAAGCCAGGTAGATAATTGCTAGTAGTACGTAGTTCAGTACGTCTACAGCAGGCGGCCACGCAGGAACGAACCGAGAACGAGATTTCGTGATTTAAGCAACCAACAAATGAGAAGCTATTTTTTGTGCTTTAGTAACGCGCCGTGCTATGGCACCTGTGGCTTGCAGGTCATCGGAGGGTTCACATCAGGGGCTGCCATTACCATCGGTCTTTCCCAGGTATGTTTTTGGCGCGGTGGTATCGTGGTGGGCGCGGTCCTGACAGTGCCGGTGCTGGTGCTGCCTCGAGGCAGAGGTGGATGGTGCGCGGTGCGGACAAGAGGACAGAATATTAGCAGGTTTTGTTTTTTATTATGTACGAGGTACCCATGTTCGAGTGGATGGTTTGATTCCCCGCGTACCCATGTAGCGTTCGCGTAAGTCGCGGCACGGGCGTTCTTCCTAGACGGGTGTCCGTGCGGCGGTCACACGTGCGGCAGCGTGCTAGGCCGGGGTAGTTCACAGCACCCCACTGTTGCCACCCACTGCTGCCAACAGGTCAAGTACATTCTGGGTATCAGCATTCCGCGCATGGACCGGCTACAAGATCAGGCCAGAGTGTACATTAACAATTTCCACAACCTGAAGTGGCAGGTGAGGCAAGGGTGGTGAGGTGCTTCCTCCTGAGGTGCACTCCTATGCCGTGGCGGTGGGGCAGGTGGGGGGCCCCAAGCGTTGAGGTGATAAGGCACATGACATACCCCCATCATATCCCTGACGCCTGACATGCATCAGACGTGTGCTCATAAGACAGGTTCTTGTTGCTGCTATTGCCGCTGCTACTTCCACTGCTGCTGCACCAGCACTTCTGCAGTTTTCAGTAACACCTCGAAAATCTTTACCCTTGTGCAAATTGTACCTGTGTGTCCTTATCCAAATGCCCCCGACTTCGACGGCTTCCTTTCTTCCTATGCGAACTCCACTCCCCCCTTTTTGGTGTGATGGTGCTTTTGCCATTTTCCCCAACTACCCAACCATACAACCCCAACCGCACCCACGTGCGGGCAGTCGACCCCTTGCTTCTTGCATCATATGATTCCGGTCACCACCCTCCGCCGTACATTCCGCTGGCCGTACAGGAGTTCATCATGGGCAGCACGTTTCTGGTCCTTCTGGTCAGCATGAAGGAAATCGGCAAGCGCAGCAAGCGCTTCGCCTGGCTGCGGCCCCTGGGCCCCCTCACCGTCTGCATTATCGGCCTGTGCACCGTGTACATCGGCCACGTCGACACCAAGGGCATCAAGATTCTCGGCTCCATCAAGAAGGGTCTGCCCAAGCCGACCGTTGGCTGGTGGGGGCCTATGGACAAGTTTACGGACCTCATCCCCATTGCCCTCGTGGTCATGGTGGTAGATCTTCTAGAGTCGACCTCTATCGCGCGCGCCCTGGCTAACAAGAACAAGTATGAGCTCGTGCCTAATCAGGAAATTGTAGGGCTGGGTCTGGCTAACTTTGCCGGCGCCGCGTTCAACTGCTATACCACCACGGGCTCCTTCTCCCGCTCCGCAGTGAACAATGAGTCAGGTATGTACGGACACGTCCTGCAGCCGCGATTTGTGCATGTGTGACTACTTTGTATGCGCTGAGGGCATAGGGGCTCGACGGGTATGGTACGGCAGTAGTGTTGGTTATCGCGGATTCGGATTTTCAATGCCGCAGGCCTTTCAGGACATTAGGTTGTTCAAGGTAGTGAATTTCATGTTGTATCTATGATTGATATTTTTTGCTGTTTGTTATTATTACTGTTACATTATGTTGTTATTATATATTAAATTTCTGTGGAACTGCTTTTCCAAGACACCCATGGACAATATGCCCCACGGCCCCACTGGTTTCCAACAGGCGCCAAGACGGGTCTAGCTTGCTTCATCACTGCCTGGGTGGTTGGCTTTGTGCTCATCTTCCTGACGCCGGTGTTCGAGAAACTGCCCATGTGCACCCTGGGTGCCATCGTGGTCAGCAGCGTGACTGGACTTCTGGAGTACGAACAGGCCATTTACCTGTTCAAGGTACGGTGTACGGCGTGCCAAGGGAAATTTCCTCAATAGCAAATTGCATGAACGTTCCATAGTGGATGTAACGAAAATGCAGTTGGGTAGGAGAGGTGGATGACGTCGTCGGTGGATACTATACTACTTACCGGGTGCGTTTTTGCATTAACTGGTTGGTGGAGGTATCCATTCAGGGAAGGCAATCCATCTGATGATACGTAGTCGACCGAGTATCTCTGGGGCAGGAAACTATCTGGGACGACGTTGAGTGAGATGACGGCGAGTGAACGACTCTTTCACCAGAACCCAAATCCCGCACCACTCACTTCCACCCGCCTGGCAGGCCCAGACCCTTTTCTTTTCCTACGCCGAGTTCCACCACCAGCCAGCCGACGATGCTTTCCTTATCCCGGCCTCTTTCCCCCACCCTCACGCCCCCTTTCCTCCCGAATTACCCGAAGGTCAACAAGCTCGACTTCCTGGTGTGGATGGCATCCTTCCTGGGCGTGCTCTTCATCTCCATTGAGATTGGCCTGGGCATCGCCATCGGCCTGGCGCTGCTGATCGTGATTTACGAGAGCGCCTTTCCGCACACCGCGCAGCTGGGTCGCATCCCTGGGTCCTCCGTTTACCGCAACGTGAAGCAGTACCCCAACGCTCAGCTCTTCCCGGGCATCCTGATTTGCCGTATCGACGCGCCCGTCTACTTTGCCAACATCCAGTGGATTAAGGACCGGCTGCGCGCGTATGAGGAGCGGCATCGGGAGTGGAGCTCCGACCGACACGGTAAGAGCCGGGTGCCGCATGAAAAGAGTGATACGAGGCTGGTGCCGTCGTATTTGATGATTAGCTCATACTCTATACTGTATTGCGTCGGGTGTCTATGTGGATGTGGAGGGCCATAGGAAGGAGAAACCCTCGGCCGACAGCAAGTCGGTTCAGTCGGCCAGAGAGCGTCAGTGAAGGGGAACAGGGGACAGAGGTTAGGAGGAACAAAAATGAAACTGGTGTTCAGGAATGAAACAAACTCGTTGAGCTGGGAGCGTTTTTGGTGCCACGTGCTATTCTCCCACTTGCTGTCCCTTGCCTGGAATCTCCAACAGATTTGCATGCATCACACGGCCGTTCATAGTGGCAATGCATCTCGTCTGGTGGCTCCTCCTCGACTGATTACTAAATTACTCGCACTACTGGCCTTGCTGGCAACCCCGCATTCATTACACCAGGCGTGAAGCTAGAGTACGCCGTCCTGGACTTCTCCCCGGTAACTCATCTGGACGCCACCGGCATTCACGGTCTGGAGCAGCTCATCGAGCAGTTTGCCAACAACGGAACTCAGCTGGTGATCTGCAACCCCAGCGTCAAGGTTGTCAAGTCCATGGAGACAGCGGGCCTGCCCGATATGCTGGGTCGCGACTACATCTTCGTGACTGTGCACGACGCGGTTACGTTTTGCTCGAGGCAGCTGGCTGAGCGCGGCGTCTCAGCGCTGGCGGCCGAGGCGACGGACGTCTCAGCGTCGGACGACTGAGCACGCGGCGTGCTGGGCGTCTGTCGTCACATCTGTCGTGCCGCGTGTATGCGCGCGCGCGTGTGCGTCTGTGTGCTGCATGGTCGTCGGGGTTGCAAGTTCCAGATCCCGTATCAGGCTTACATCCTGGCTGTACGAGTCATGGAGGAGGGGCTGACTGGTTAAGGAGTTACATGGATTGGCCATCAGAGCCTCTTGCTGTCTCGAAACCAACGGCAGTCAGTTCGGGACATCGTAGCGTGCTGGGGACCGTCGCGGCTTATGATTTAAATCGGCCAGCTCGCTGCTTGTGCTTGGGCACGGTTTATCATGTCGGGGTGCATGCGCAATGTTGTGGTTTCGCACCGCAGGGCTCCGTGAAACCTTAATATGGATGACGAGCTGACAGCAGCGATGCAACATGAGGATGGGTTGCTGTTGTTGCTTTTGACTGCTTTTGCATCCCGTGACCTGGTCAGTGTGGATCTATATATCTAGGGGGGTTAGCTAGGAGAAATGTGTGATGCTTACTTGTCAGGGCACACGAGCTGCGGTCTCTGGGAATAAACCTGCGGCCGGAGAAGTGCAGCACGAATTCATGGGTGGAATCAAGCGATGGCGGTAGCTTGAATGTTGATCCACACACCACACGTACGTTCACACACTAAAGGATTTTAACACCTCCTAAAGCCGAACTGTCGGACAGGGCTGCGGCTGTTTGCTGCGGCTGGTACTGAGAATGGGCTCTACTTTGGTAGTGCCTGGTATAGAAAGGCATGCACAACAAGTACGGTGTTATGGGCCGTGCTGAGGGAGGATGCGCAGTGTTTTGTGAAGGGGGAATCGCCGTGTACCCGTAATGCGTCGGACTTAAACCAGCCGTTTGTGGTGGGTTTTATGCTACCTCCGTCGGCAACAGGTCATCAGGTGTCACGACAGATTTCTACACAGAGCTGCAATGGAGCCCAGGTGAAGCTCTGAAGTGCTGACGACCTGGGGCTATTGGCAGGGGTATCAATTTATGCTGTAGTACAGATGTATGTCGGGTTTTTAGGTGCCGCTAGCGAGTGTGGTGCTTTGTAGTTGCTGACCCTAGATTTAACTAGGCAACGCGGCGGGCAGCTTTGTTGTTTTGTTTGTTCGTCTGTCACTGTGCGCGCACACGCATACGGATGTATGGATCTCCGAACCAATCAACTTGTCGGAGCTATTTTGGCTGATGTCATAGTGAACAGATTTCCATTCGTCACGCATGTGTGTCCTCATACATGACGTTTGCGTGTACGCAACTACGCATTGGGCACGTTAGCTCTCAAGGCGTCATCGCCTGAGTGATCTACACACGCCATGCCTGATCGGCGTCGCTCGGGGATGTGAATACGCAAGGCTGGGCGGGGCTTTGGCCACCGTCGGCTTCCTGAGTTTCCAGGTTGCTGAAGTTGGTTAGCCGTGCGTATCCGTGCGTGGGGCGTTAATTAGCGTTCTTCCCAGCGTGGCTATGAATTCGGGTGTGTGGTGTTTTGCTTGATGCTATTTGTATTTGTCTGGTTACCTTGTGGCTTAATAAGCTCGAATGCCATGATATGGATGGCTGTGACCGGGACCTGTTTTGTTGGTGATGTTTTTCAGTATTGAGGAGCGGTGAAGTAGTATTAAACCTTTGCGCACATCGTAGCCATGGCCGTGACGTGTGCACGGTATGGATGCAACAGAGCCGAGTTGAGGCGTGCCTCGACAATTTGTGGGATCATACTATGTAAAGTATGCATGTGTTGCATAGGTTGAGAAGAAACAGCAGCTGAAATGCTGTGGTGACTTGTAACGCATGCAAGTCATATTTCTTATAAATCACTTCTGAATCATGCGTTCCATATATAATATTGCGCCTTAGCACCGCCGTAGGTACGTCTAGGTGCACCCATGAGTGGGGTTCGTCTAGAAGGAACCACCAGAGGAAGCTGCTGGACCGTCTATTGTGGCAGATACCACACATCAGGTCCATGCATGGTACCGCACCACCAGAGGAATTCCACTTCATCGTACCACATTCTATACGCCCTGTCGTTCAGGGTTAAATCTGTTACCATGCTTCTGCCCCTTCCAGTACACCACAGTCCAAAGGATAGACGGGAACCAGAAAAGAACGTTTGCTCAGCCGTACGTCACCGGTATGCTCGACACATTCACTTTCACGTTACCCACGCTACCTCCTGCATATACAGGCTCCTGCTATGGCGCATAGCACAGCAAGAATGTCGTAGCCCCCTCCCTACCTCAAGGACCTCCGTACCACCGAGTACCACAACCTATCGCTACCCAAGCTTGCCCCGTTCTACCCGGTTCATCCTCCCGGACCAACTCGCCGCCCACATCAGCTTATTGGATGCATATCAGTACGCTAACTATGTCGTACACACCCTGCACGTAATCCCGCATGACCACCGTACTCCCTGACAAGGCGGGCGGGCTCACACATCCACACATCCACACATCCAGCCGTAAAACCCAAGCTGGTTAGAAACCTGCACACAACACCCAGCCCCGCAACCGCCTGACAGCTACGACACAGCTAAAAACCTACGTGCACCATCTACTACGCAACAAGGAACCCAAACGGAAGCAACGACCTACACGCCGAGTCAGTTTGAGCAGAATGGTGCACAAGTACGTATTGTGGTATCAAGTATCAATCCACTTATAGCATCATCCACTGCATATACGACGACGATAACGCTCGGGACGATTATCGCAGCACCGCTCTCCAGCTCGGCAAGTTTCAGCACCACCCGCACATGGAGTATTAGTCCTGGACTAACAGGACACTGATGCACAGTGCTATATATGTACATGAGGTGCTAGAACATAAATGCGAAAAAAGTTATGAATGAATTAAAAACAGCTAAGAAAGGGCCGTTATTGTTTGGCACACGCCCCAACGTGATCGGCACAGCGAACATGGGCTTCATTTTTGAGCTCGGCCTATTGCACCTATCGCGACCGGGATCACGGGCGCTGGAGCCGCAAGCTGTCGCTGCACCAAACTTTGGGCCTGTGCTGACGTCAGCTTGCGATACAGCTTCAGGGAAATGTCGTGCTTGGAAGGGAGCGTGTCGGGCTCTACAGCACCGATCGGGTCGTCAAAGCATGCAACTACGAAGTCGTAGTAGAAGGTGATCGTGGGCAGGATCACGTCAGGTCCTGCTGTCAGGTCCGCGTTGAACATTTTGGGATGCATGGATAGGTCAGAAAAAAGGAAGCAGCATGCACGTGAGATACAGCACTGGGATACAGCTCAGCCATGCGATCAGCAACGAACGATTGATCAAAGAAAACTTGGGTTGACGAGGTATTGTCCGGAGCTCTGTGACGATAGCAGTACGACAGCTGTGGCGATTAACTGTTTTACAGAGACCGAGAATGGACCAGTTGCATATATGTGCAGGTAACTGAAGCCGGTGTAGAGGCCGTAGGGGCGCACGGAAGCGAGTTCATGCCATCAAAAACGAGCATCAGAAACTATCACGCGCGCTTTGCTTGCACGTGATCTTCATGTCTCAGCGCTGCCTTCGTATCCGGACGTGTCGGACGTCTGTGAATGTGAGTGGGAACCGCCGCGGGCATGGTGCGGTGGTGCAGTGCCAGGACGGCTCGTCACGAGCCGGGGAAGTCCTGATCTTCTTTCCCCGCTCCCGGAGTCTTGCATGCTCAGTAACCCTAGAGAGCACCCAGTCCTAGCAGGACAGCGTTAATGTATAGTCCATGCAGGACAGCGTTCAGCGGTTTACCAATCAAGCCGGCGTGTGCGCCACCCGCTCACCTATGAAGACGCCCTCGCAGCCCAAGTCCTTCAGCGTGGTTGCGTCCGAGAAGCGCGCCAGGGAATTCTCCGGATGCACCTGTCGCAGCGAAGGCGGCCCGGATACCCGCGCCCGGAGGTGGAATGGGGAATGAATCATCAGCAGCACGTATGTAATACTAGTTTGCTACCTTTCAGCGGAAGGGGAAGCCCCCCACATGTTGGGAAGATGCACCCGTGCGAGCCATCCGAACTCGTGTTGTGTGCACGGCAGGCGTCACCCGCCTCACCAGCAGGACGCCCGGCAGCGGGGAACATGGGACGTCCCCGTCAAAAATTAAAACAGCATGCTTACCACGCCCTTGAACAACGTGAGGTGCGGTAGGCTGCCGCCGTGTCGCTTGACGATGGCCTCCTTAATGGCAGACAGAGTCAAGTCCGTTGGAACTGCCGGCCATTCAAAGTTGAGGTGTGGCAGCGCTGTGCAGCAAATCCTGAACACATTGAGAGACGCACATGTGCAAAGCTGGGCTAAGAAGTTTCGGTTGTGAACGAAGTTGCTAACATGCCAAACGGGCCACGTACTTGCATTTGACGAATAGGTGCGGTTTCACGCCAAGCTCATAAACATTTGGTGGATTGTAATTAAACGGTGGCATAGAAATCGTTGACTTCTTCCTAATCATCTTCTTCTTTTTGGGCGCCATATTTGCCGGTTTCTCAGGTAGAACTTGTAAGGCTTCAAAGCGGCACTGACATCCGAATGAGTAAAAGCAAAAGATATAATCTAAAGAAACCCAACGTATAGCCGGTACGACAAGGCAGTAAACTTAACCCTGAGGTTAGAGATAAAAAAAGGTGTTATTTCATGGCAGGATTCACCAAGGTGCCATGTTCCAAGCGCACCGTCTTCTACAGCGTCAAAACCCAAACTGGTCCGCGGCAACGTTGGCCAATGCCGACTGCATAGCAAAGAGACGACAGGTCTGGATGATGCGTATTTCAATGTTCCGTGCACACGTATGTTGTCAATTGACTCGCTTCTGCTTCTCAGCTGTTTCTCCCCTTTCGCTGTTGCCATCTTGCCTACTTCTGCGCTCACCCGTACCCACATATATGCCATTTTTTGTGGCCCCGTCAGCGACTGTCTGTTCTAGGAACAGTCGGGGCTGTAGAGGACAGCGATGATGCTTCGTACATCGCAACCTGCATGAGCTGTCTATGATGGCAGCATCTACATCATGTTGCAGCACCTTCGATGTAGGCCAAGTCATTCAGTCTGGCAGCAGCTTCATGGACGGGCAAGGCCAGGGCTGTCTGCACTGCTATCCCTATGCACTTTGGGTAGTAAGAGAGCTTTGCAAGCAAGGCATTGGGAAACTTGGGCGCGATTGCCCGTTCCAGCCATCTTGAACTTGAAAGCCTGTCGGGGGGCGCAAAAGCATGAGGCGAACCGTGGGCCGCTATGAGTCCTGAACGCACAACAATGTAACGCGAAGCAAATCAAGTTGCCTTGTGCGTAGTGCAACATTGGCATTCAGTTTTTTTGTTTACCTGCACCTTTACTGTTTAAACGACCAGTCGTCCAATTCACAGGTTGACACATAGCGAGCCCAGAGAATGTACATACACACCAAGCTTTAGCTGATATATTATTGAACTAGTTGAATCTATGGATCGGGCCTATGGTAAGCTCTTGAAGCCTCTTTCTATGAGCGCCCATGACGCCGTCAGGGCCGCTCCCTAGCTTTTCCGGCCTACCTTTATCGCTAAAGATACAGCTCCAAAGGCGATGTGCATGTGGAGCCGTTTTGTGTTCGCCATGGCGTTCACGCCCCAAGCTAGGCCTTGGCAATTCGCATTGCAGCCATTCGCAGCCCCGTCGGCCCCTTTGCCCTGTGGACCTCATCTTCCGGGGCGGCCGGACGCACTCCGCAGCGCAGCAAATTAGGACGACAGCATCAGTCCAAGATAGCCACGCTCCTCGTCCCGATGGTCCCGGTAGCCGCAGAGGTCCATCTGGCCCCGGCCCAAATCCCCCGACAAAATCTGTGCATGGCGTACCTCCTCCTCCTTCTGAGCAGCGGCCATGGCAGGGATCGCCGCGTCAGACACAACCATTTAAGACATCTCAGTCTCGGATATGGCAGCAGCCGCGCACGTCGGGCCAGTCTGCAGGCCAAGGAGCGTCACAATCCCATTACGGCAGCAGCAGCAGCATTAGTGGCAGGAGTTCTGATCTGGGTCAGCTGGATATCCGAGCTGGCCGCTTGGAAGGCAGTGCGGCTGCGGCTAAGATACGCAGCGGCTTGGTTGGGGACACAGACGGGAGCGCAGCTGCCGTGGGGGCCGGGGATGATCATGCAGGTGGCGCGGTTGTGGCCGGCGATGATCGAAGCAGCAGCACCAGCAGTGATGGTAGCAGGATTAAGGCGGCTCGCAGTTCGGCTGGGGTTCCTGACGCCACCGCCGGTACGGCAGCAGCTGCGGGCGCACCGCCGCCGCCGCCGTCGCCGTCGTCGATTCCATTGCCAAAGCAGCCATTGCTATCACCGCTTACGTCAGCTGCAGCGTCGCCGCTAATCAGGCCGCCGCAGCCGCCGCAGCAGCGGCAGCGGCGGTCGCGTCGGCCCATCCGCAGCCGCCGCATGGTGCCGTACCCCAACGGCGCTGCTTCTCTGGCTGTCGGGGCTGTCGCGAGCGAGGACCTTGGCGAGTACGACAACGGAGAAAATGACGTTGAGGAGGGCCTTATGGATTTGCTGTGGTCACCTGATAGGCGACGTATTGCGGCTGAGATCTTTCGGGTGGAGGAGGAAGCGGCGGCGGCATGCGGCGGAGTTGGTGGCGGCGGCGGCGGCGGCGGCGGCGGCGCAGTTCGAGTAATGGAGGGAGAAGCGTCGGTGGCGGTGGCGGCGGAGCTGTCGGCGGCAGCGTCAGCTGGTGTGGTGGACGACGCAGTTGTGGCGGCGGCTCCTGCGCCATCCGATGCAGCGGAGGTAGGTAGTCGTACTTGGAATGAGCCCCCCCACATATAGCACGATACAGCTCGGCCTGGTTCAGGGTGCAAAGTGGCATTCTTGTGTCGTACAGTTCGCACGTTTGGGATGGTCACATCATCTCTCACACTAAACCCCCACACTCCCCTACCTCCCCCCGTGTCACCCTCGTGATGGCTCCGGAACCCCGCGTCCTGTGCGACAGACAGCCCGCCGGGGCGGCGGCGGAAGCGGCAGCAGCGGCGGCGGCGGCGGCGGCGGGTCCTTCAGAAATAAGGCCCAACTTCTGGCGCCGCTCTTCCAGCGGCGGCGCGCAAGAAATCCCGTCACACTCGCGCGGCTCGAGGGCATGAGTGTGTCGTACACCAACGCCGCGGCACTGGCAGGGGCGCCGGCGCGGGGAGGGCCGTCGGCGGCCGGAGGCCGCAGCGACAGTAATGGCGGCGGCGGAGGCTTGCAGTACCGGTACGGAATCGGCGCAAGGGGCCAGATAATAGACCTGGTACGGCAGGCACGTGTGCTGGCGTCGAACGAGGTTCCGGAGCGAGTACGGCGGCGCATCTTGGCCGCGGCGGGGGATGCCGACGGCGCCGCGGCAGTAGGCCGACGTGCCGTCGCCGTCAAGGGTACCTCTTTCCAAACCAAAGCTCACGCCGCCGCCGCCGACGACGACGACGACGACGACGACGACGCAGAAGTTCGTCTTCTCAACAGCGGCGGTATTCCCGCTGGCAGCCTCGACAGTGATGACGATTACAGTGACGGCGGCAGCGAATGGGATTTGGATGGTGAAACCGCAGCGGCAGCGGCTTTGGAGGATGATGGCCGCGCCGCCGGCCGGCGAGATCAGGATCTAGATCTAGATCTGGACGATGCTGATCTGCGGCAAGCTGAGGCGGAGGCGGCGCGGCAGCTCGCCCGGCTGGTGGGGATCTCCCCTTCCAGTCTGGCCGCACGTGCGGCAGCGCTGAGCGGGGGTAGTTCGTTAGGGGGGCCGACGGCGAGGGACCGGGAAACGCGTGGGGCTGCTGGGGGCCCCCCGGGGCGAGGGCGAGGGCGGGGGGCCCAGGAAGAGGAGGAGTCGGCGGAGGCGATGTTTCTTAGAGCCATGGAAGAGTACGGCGATGACGACGATGACGACGGCGTGGACAGTGACGACGATGAGTACGACATCGGCGATGAAGATGACGACGTGGGTTTGCTTGGGGATTATTTTGGCGGGGAGGAGGGGGAGGAGGGGGTTGGTGGGGGCCGGGGGGTAGTGGCCACCGAGGGTGAACCGGCGGGGCGCGTGGGGATGGAGGGGCTCGCGGGAGGGCGTGGGGGGTTTTCGCTGGGTAGCAAGCCACGCGGTGCGGTGGGATACAGAGGAGACGTGGAGGAGGGAGACGAGCGTGCAGTGTACGGCACGTACGACGATAGCGGCGGCGGCAGTAGCGACGGCAGCAGCGGCAGCAGGCGGCTCGTCACCGAGAAGCAACAGCAGCAGCGAAAGCAGCAACGGCAGCTATATGAAGGAATGGGCAGTGATAAGGGTGTTGATGGTTCTGGTGACAACCTGAACGATTATGGCGTTGTAGACGATGGGGGTGATGGTCTTGGTGACGAGGATGTCGAGTACGACGAGGACGTCGAGTACGACAGCGATGTGGAAGCCCGCCTGGATGACCTGTTGTCGTTTGGAGAGGAGCGGTATAAGGCCCAGAAGGAGGCGGCGGAGGCGGCGGCTGTCACGGCGCCGTTGGGGAGCAGTCGTGGTGGAGCCGGTGCTGGAAGTGGCGGTGGAGGTGGAGGTGGAAGTGGCGGTAGGAGCAGCAGCAGGGCTCCTGGCGCATTTGCAGGACGAGCAGCCGGCGACGCGGCCGCGGCGAGGGGCGCGGCGGCGGCGGTTTCCTCCTCTCGCCGTTCCGCCGGCGACGGCAGCGGCAACGTGGGAAGGTCAGGTGCAGCCGGCAGGAGTACGGCCGTGGCAAGTGGCGAGACGGCCGCGGCGCCGTCGCCGCTGACGCCGCCCGATTTCGCTGCTTCCTCACACCCGTCGCAGCTCGGGAGCAGTCGGACAGATCGCCAACAGCAACAGAAACGGCAGCAGAAGGCCCTGTCGCATATCAAAGGCGGTTATTTGGCTCCAGTACCCGACGGTTGGCAGTTGTACGGTGGCGGCTCGTCGCCAGCGCAAGCGGAGTTTAGGACAGTTGAGTCAGCAGCAGCAGCAGCAGCAGCAGCGGCTGCGGCGGCCGCCGCCGGCACTGTCCCAGCGGCTGCTGCTGCTCCACGGCGCTTGGTCCTACGTGCGTTTCTGTACTGCATCGGCCAGGACGAGGTGTACGACGCGCTCTGGCGTACGGATCTGATGGATCGACTGGAGTTCGTCACTCGGATGCGCGATGCGGATGTCGTACTGCATCGGTGAGTGTTGTCGTACGGGTAGTCAGTGTTTTTTTTAAGTAATATATTCCTGATAAGGAATAAAGAGGCCATTTTGGCCTTCGGTAAAAGGGAATGAATTGAGGCCGATCCGTACAATTTCATTCCTCCAGCCAAAAACGTCCATTGCTGCCAGATTGCTCCGTAGTGTGCAGAACTTAGTATTATCGATCATAGAATAGATATGAGGGGCCGTAAGAAGGTCAAGCCCGTGAGTCAACGCGGCATAGCAGAATGTATGACCGGTCCTTACATAGCCAAACACGCAAAAGGCAACGACTTGAACGCCGAACAAACACCAAAACAGCAAGATAAGCCTGAAATTTTTTCCTGATAAAGGCGTTTGGGACGGCGGTGCTGTTGTCGGTAATGCATCGGCAATGGTGTTGCTGCCAGCGGCGACCGATGACACGGGCGCCATTACCCCTGCCTTCCATGGCGGTTGTGATCAGCATAAGCGCAAGCTGTCACCCAATCAGCTCGACAACAACGAATGCGGCGAGGCGCCCAACCCGAGCGCTCGCAGTGCCAAGCGGGCTCAGACACAGCGCATCCGCAAGGGCCAGAGAGACGGTATGTATGTATGGCGGGACAAGCAGAAAGGGAATCCCCACAGATGGCAGATTGCCTGGGCCGCCAGGTATCCCTGGGCCCAGCCTGTGCATGCTGACGTGGACGCCGGAGAAGTGCACGACCAAGTGCGCTGCGTCCCCGGCACGTTGATGAAGAAGAGCGACTACCTGGTCATGTGCCGGGCGGCTACCCAGCGCCCCACACTTAAGGAATACATTACGGCGACGCTAGCAACTTTGTTACTTAGGTTGGAATAAATTGAGACCCCCCTAAATGAAAAAAAATCACTGCGGGTAGTGGGGGTGTTGGGGAAAGGAAATTCAGGTTTGTGGCGTGTTCAACGGAGTGTAGTGGGCAGTAGTCATGCCGGTATGTCTCCCTAAGACGCTAGGCCGCTGCTGCTGTGTTTTCCTTCACATCATATGTACGACGACCATTTGAAGAACGTCTTTTTCCTTTTCCTGGAATTGAAACCCTCGAAACCCTCGAAAAGTTTGATGTTTCATTTTTTGATACATCGAATGATATAAAACGTTTCCACTTATTCCCCCATCTCGCATCTCGACACCCCGCCGTGTGCTGTTGCCCGATCCGCTAACACCCCGTCCTGTGATGTTGCCGTTATCCTCCCTAACCGCCTTTCTGTCAATAACAAGGCCTGCAACACCCGTGCTTATACTTTTGTGTACGAAATGTACCGTACGGTCTGCTTGGCGTTTGTACGGCAGGTCACCGTCCCCCGGCGAGCGGCAGTTTGCGCTGGAGGAGCTGCGCACGGGCGCGAAGCGAGCGCGCATCCCGTTTGTATCTGTACGGCAGTCTTCGGAGCAGGAGCTGAAACCCGCACTGGAGCGCGTCTTCAGGTAGATCCCTTTTGGTTTTGGGAGAATGAGGGAGTGAGAGAAGCGCTACTGGGGAATTCGTTCTTAGGGGGTAATACGCGCGCTCGCAAGCGCGTCAGGACCATGATGTGGATTTAGGGTGGGGATTGTCGTACGGGATTGTGTGTGTTAAGGGACGTCAGGGTTTCGGTCTCGGCGATATCACACGCACCTTGCACAGGTTACTGTAAATAGTACGGCGCGCCGTACACATGCTTGACACTTTGAATAAATAACTAGCTGGCTATCCAGCTATCCAGCTGTTTTGTTGTTGTTCGGAGTGAGGATTTGAACATTAAAGGGGGGGGTCGCAATGCGGGGTGGGGAGGGGGCCCAGCGCACGACGTCCTGTGACGAGTCGTTTCAGGCCGGAAAAAACGAGGGCGCGTAAGGGCCCCTGGAGTTGACTTTCCGGCCGTACCCCTGCCACTACTCGCTCTGCACAGGCGATTTGACGAGATGTACGACAAGGTGCTTTCCTCCGGGTCGAGCACGTCGACGGGCGGCCGCTGACAGACGAACTGACAAACGAACTAACGAACTCATCAAAGGCTTTGGACCGTTAGTTAGTTAACTAACCGGTGGCGGAGAGCAACAAAAAGCATAGTCGGGAAGTGCCATACCTAGGAGGGGAGGGCGGAGGGTAGGAGGGAAGGGGAAAGGGAGGGAAGGGAGGGGAAGGTGTTTTGAGAGGGTTTGGCGCAGGCGGTGTCTTAAGCGAATGGGTTGCGGTTAGTAAGCGTTGCTCTGTCGGTTTCTGTTGTTGTTGTTATTAATGTTGCTGTTATCAACGTTGTTGTTGATGGGGTGTTACACTGTGGGCGGCTCGTCCCGAGAAAGGACGAGCACCGGGGGCCCTGACCGGGGGCCGAAACACAGCGCAGGGGCGGGCGCGCGGCTCTACGTCCGCCTGTTCCTCCGCGCGCGCCTCATTCCCTCACTCACACCAACCGGGACACTCTCCCAGCCCCTGGCTAGACAACACAGCGGCGCAGAAGATTGCGAACCCTAAGTGAGAGCCGCACGAGAGGCGCCACACCACCTCCGGGAACCCTAAACAGGCTATCTGCCCCCGCTTCGCCTGGCCAGCCTAATCACGTGCTCTATCCCCTCTAGACCACCAAAACAAGAACAAGCAGAAAACACCACCGGGGGCAGGGGCTCTACTCAGGGGGCTCCACTACACACTCACAAACCGAGGGAGGACCTACACCGGCAAGATATGGTCCCTCAGAAGACTCTCCTAGTCAAGGACACCCACTCAGCCAGCAAGGCAAGAGGAACACGGAGGACCACGGGCCTGAGACGCCGCACTACAAAAGCTGAGACGCAGTTGCACAAAGAAGACAAACACAACGCGGGCACTCGCACACTGGTCCTCTAAGGCCAGCTGTTCAAGTACCACAAGCAACGCACACCTCCCGAGGGCGGCCACCACTATCTCACCGGTCCACTCACAACCGAGGCAAAAAACTGTTGCTGTTGTTGAGGCATGGGACTATTCCATTTAAAGAGCGGAAGCACCGGAAACGAAGGAGGGGGCCGGGGGGGGAGAATGTGGGTTTTAGTGTGCATGCGGTGTACGAATGTCGGTGTGTGTGTGGTGTGTGCGCATCGATGTCTGTATGTATGGCTGTGCTCTGTACCTGGCGGCTATCGCAAAGGGTTGACACGAGCAATTGTTCATCCGTACATGCAGCTCCCTCGTAAGCCACAGACACTTGCCACACCTACACCACACACACCTACATGCACACACACACATACATACACTAACAGAATGGCTAATAACTAGGGATAGACGGGGGTACGGCGACCCAGGTGCGGGTTGCTCAGCTTGCTACTGCGGAGAAGGGATAAGCCCAGGGACCGAAGCCCTCGTAGGCGAGGGCGGTTTTGCAGGAGTAGTGTTGTGAGTGTGCATGACGGAGTGGTGATCTGAAGAGGTTCTGCCACGGGGCGAGCCACAGCGCCACCAGACAAGCTCCCGCCTTGACACCTTGCCCTTACGCCTGCCTGTGTACGTGTACAAGGGCCCCCCGGATTGAAACAACCCCCTGGTCTTCGTAGGCCTTGGTAGCAACACTCTGGGAACCAGGAACCTTCATTCATGATTCGATTCACATTCATTTCATCCCTTCATTTAATCCATTCATTTCAGGGCCAATATTCATTTTGGAATGAAGATCACTTCATTACAGAATGAAGCTAGCTCAGAATGAACGCCCCCAACGGTTTGAATGCCCCTTCAGTTCAAAATGAATGAGTCTCCATAAAACGAGCCCATGTCCATCATGTGATATGAAGGCTCCTTCATTCCAAAACGAAGGAGTCTCCATAAAAAGAACCGTGTACATCACGTGATCTGAAGACCCCTTTTAGCCAAAAAATTAAGCCGTTTCATAATATAAACCCCTGTCCATCGCGTCATATGGACGCGCCTCCAATCCTAACCAGGAGGCGTGTTCTTATCACGTGATGGACAGTGAGTGTCTTGATACGGATTTGCTTATAAGCCAAGCCGTCTCAAGACCCTGTCCACCACGTGATACAAACGTGCCTTCAGCCCTAAGCAAAGCCGTTTCTACAAAAGAAGACCATGCATATGCAGCTGTCCATCACATTACATATGCATTCGCCCCAAAATCAACGTGCATCCATTACCGCCGTCGTTTCTTGCCCCCCTTCCCCTTCGCCTTTATTTCCATGAAGGGGAGATCCGCTTCAGTCAAGACGGCATCAGGCAGAGAACGTCTGCACTTTGAGGCGGCCTTTGCTGTCATCATGGCTGTTGCAATCTCCACCGCCCACATCTGAGACCCAGGGCTGCAACATCCACTCTGGCCTGATGTCCTGCAGTGGTGGCGCCTGTAGTTGCATCAGCGGGGACACCCAGACCTGCTGCGGCTGTGTTGGGAATTCGAATGCCTGCTTCACCATGTCCAAGGGGTGCCTGGGTTCAGCCGCAGAGGGACATGTGTCAGTCAATTAGATATAGACAAATAGGCTAAGTGGAGTAAATTTGCTATACTGAAGCACACAATTAACATGATGCCGCAAAACCATGCAATTCTTGATGAGCACCCAACCAGCAAATTTGTAATCCTGACATGAAAACCAACACAAAAATGGACAGGAGCTCACTTTCTGATCTGGTGCTAGGTGATCTGGTGCTAGGTGATCTGGTGCTAGGTGATCTGGTCCAGCGCTGGACATCCATCGGCCATGGGGTCCGGCTGCTGCTTGAAACAGCTTCAAGACACTGCTCTGCCTCCTCGACACTTAAGAGCTAAAATACATCTGCATTGAAAACAAATATAGGGGCAAAGAACAATAAAACATTACATTAGTTATCATGCAGCAGCATCGGACTGCAAACCTTGACGGCGGTAAATAGCTAGCGTACATGTCAGAATAACAGATAGAAGCAGGTAACAAAGTTCTGTGATGACGAGTACAGAGTCATGGTGTGGCCGCCGGCAATGTGGACCTGGTCGACACAGTCCCGTGACTCTCACCCAGCCCGAGCAGCTTGAAAAGATTGGTCTGCTCCTGTGCCTCCCAGTCACATTGGAAGATTTAATTGTCACCATCGTCAGTAAGAGAGCCCAGCAGACTGGACCTAAGGGCGCCCGCACAGAGAAGAAGCTTCTTCTCAAACTTCAGCCTTGTGGCAAGCTCTTGTCCTCGCTCACTTAAATGGGGTATACGATTAGATACTCCTGGCCAGCGTCAGGCCCGGATCGATATGTAACAGACACACCCCTACACACACACACACATGCACACACACATGCACACACACACACACACACATGCACACACACACATGCACACACACACACGCACACACACATGCACACACACACACACATGCACACACACACACATGCACACACACACACATGCACACACACACATGCACACACACACACACATGCACACACACACACATGCACACACACACACATGCACACACACCTACCCCCCCGCACACACCCCTATACACACATACCTACAGTCACTGGATCACTGGATTGCAACACCGGGCTGCTGCTGGGACGAGGTGTTTCACCATGATGGGGATTGAAAAACTGAAATGTGCTCTTGAGTTGATTTTGTTGGGCTGGTCATAGCCTGTCCGGTTGCCTTTGCCCTTGGACACCCCAACCGCCAGGCACCCTTGTCCAACATTCCCTAACTGAAACCGCTATGTGCTTTGCGGGCTTAGGTTTAGAATTTGGGTTGACGAGCCAGAGGAAGAACCCGTCCGGAAAAACCGGCGTACGGCACTTCCGACAACGGATGTAACAACGGACATGCGAAGCCAGCACATTGTATTATTACAAGGTAAGGGAGGGTTGGCAAAAAGAAATGATGGATTTCGAGCAGCATAGTACGGGATGGTACGGCAGAAGATGAGGCATGAAAGTTTTACGTAAAACTTTCCAAAATCAACGTCTAATGGAAATGTTGACGTGTTGTGGGCTAAACTGCAACAGGAGCCTCACGATAGCGTTTCATCCCAACCATACCCTTCCACATATACGAGCATTCATGCACAACATCGCCGCGCGTGCGCAAACGTGCCCGTGCTACAATAGTATACGATATCGTCGTACGCTCACGAATACGGATTATGATACGAATTTATATACAACTATTTCAGCGGCACATGGCCCCATAAGTATATGTGTGCGAGAGCTGCGAGAGGCATGGGGGAGGGTGTAGTGTGCGGCTTTATGTAAAAGAAGGAGCGCATTCTCGATTTTTTCAATGCTATATCGTAGAGGCTAAGACGTAGAGGTAGTTTGTTATGTAAACGGGCTCGACAGTCAAGAAAAAATGAATGAACCTCGATCGTGTCTGCGATGTTCACTGCCATCAGCGGGAAGACCAATCGTCTCAAAATGTAGTTCAAAATTTGAACTTCAAATGCAGCTCGCTCAAAACTGTCAACAGCCGATCCATAACACTAGAAAAGCAATAATGATAATGATGAGCACCAGTGGCTATGGCGTTCATAAGCTATAAGCAAGAAGCTATGGCGTTGAAACTTCAATTTGCAGGATCGAAGGTAATGTGCACCACGGCCTAATTTTCGGCATCCCATTTGCCGCGGATGGCTAATTAAGTAGTCGCTCTGCCTTTTAGTACCCCGTCCGGGCTTACATCCACCGTTGTGTAAAGCACGCGCGGTCATCGCAATCAGCACTATTCAAACACTATTAATCACCCACGTAAATTGCCAACTAGCTTCACATTCCGCACATCACTTGCGCCTCAAGCCGTCGATTAGGATGAGCCAAAATCCAGGACAGCAGGACTGCCAGGGAGATGCGCCCATTTAAACCCCAAAACGGCATCAAGAAGAGCAACACTGCGGTCCATCAACAAACTGGGGCCGCAAACGCGATGGTAGTGAAGGTGACAGACAGACACCGAACGAGCGTGCGCTTTCGGTCCCCAAACAAGTTACTGATTAGCTGAAAGGGCCACTTTTGCTGCGAAGTCAGTCCACCGAAGAGCGCTAAGCCCCCGCTTGACCGCGTTGGAGTTCGTTGCTGAAGCGGCCAATAAAAGCCAGCCCAAGAGCGGCAAGTTCGCTTGCGAGCGCCGTCGGAAATATTTCTAAGCCGGCTGCGGTCCGCTACGACGTCGTAACGTAAAGTGTTCAGGTCGACCTGAACACTTGGCACTGTACTCCCAGCAGCGACTCGCATGGTGTTTGTGAGGCCTGCGAGTACAGAGGAGTATACACCGACATCTCAACAACCAGGTGCGAGCCAGCAGGCTCCTGTGTCAAGATGTCCAAGGTTCTTGGAAGAATGGCCAGATTCGGGCGTAGCAGCCGTTCAGCATAATGTGAAAAGCAAGAACAAGGAAAAAATAAACCGAAGGACAATACCACCGGCTGCACCACGACAAGACAATTCTTGTCGTTACAAGGTGACACATGTTCGCATTTCTGTCCAGGGGCGCACATGCGAACCAGGTTCACCATCACGCACACCAATCGCAGGAAACATGAGAACGAGTTGATTACATGTGGAATGAGCCAGGTATGCCTGACTGAAGGGTTCAGTCTGCAGCCGACCTCAAGACAGTTTTTCAGTTCAGGTTTCCGTTCACATGCAAGGTAAGTAGGGCAGCAGTAAGACACTCAGTGGGCTTGGGCCAGTCGGCCTGCCCGTCTCACCATGTACATGAAGTCCTGTAACCGTGCCAATGCGCCGTCGTAACCAAGGACAGTGAACCAGGTATCGTACTTGTTCGGGTCGAAGTCGGAAGAAGAAGTTACCGGGTCTTCAAAATCCAGGATGGGGGCGGCAGCGGCGGCAGCAAAGGTGGTGGTAACAACAGCAGTAGCAGGAACAGTAGGAACAGTAGTAACGGCAGTCGCAGTCCTAGCAGTAGCAGCCGCAATAGCAGCAACAGCAGTAGCGGCAGTAGTAACAGCACCCGCGGCAGCAGTAGCACTCACCTAATGGCACCTCGAAGGACACGTCAGCATTAACGGTCAGAGACATGCCATCCCTGTTTGGCATCCAGTCCACGATCTGCACCCAAGGGACCCACAGATAGCACCAAACCATCCAAATCAGGAATTGCATTTCTTCATAGGCCATCATCACCAAGGTTTGGTTTCGATGGTTTGGATGGCGCAGGACAGGTTTCGGAGGGGGGACAGAAAGGAAGCTAGGAAAGCTACTGCTCTTAAGAAAAACGAAGACGAAGAGGGAAAAGGGCAAGACCGAAACCGTCACTTGAAGTCAAGTCAGCAAGGTAGACAGCCGGTGAAGGGGAGGAGAGAGAGAGGAGAGAAGAAACGTACGAAAGTTTGAGAAAGTAAGAGGCCGCGCTGCAGCGCGCCAGTGATCCCATCACCGGCGCCTCCAGGGGTGGCCCCTGCCCCTGAGGGGAGGCTTCTGTACCCCACCGGCCTACCTATCGCACTACGGGTCATCCCCATCCATCCATCTTTCTGTCCGTTCGTTCGTCCGTCCGTATGTCTGTTTCCCTACGTCCGGCACCTTACTGGGATTTCTTTGGGGCTGGGAAGAAATTCCCAACACCGTTCAGTTCATACCATCAACCAACCTAGTGGTGACAACGGCGGACGGCGACGCACCACCCACCCACCTGCTGGCAAATGACGCTGCGGACTCTGTCTGCGAGATCCGGATCATCGATAGCGCACACTGGCGCCCAGGTCATTGTGCCATCACCATTAAGAGAATCAACCTGGAAGCCATCCCGTAGACAGGCAGGCAGGTAGGGCAGGCAGGTAGGGTAGGCAGGCAGGGTAGGCAGGCAGGGTAGGCAGGTAGGGCAGGCAGGTAGGGCAGGCAGGGCAGGCAGGTAGGGCAGGCAGGTAGGGACGCAGGTAGGGGGCCCGGAAGGGGCCACACAGCGGTGTGGTGTTACGATGGCAACCTCTGCGGTGGTCCTTTTCGGGTCCATCTTGGCTTTTCTTCCAACCTCGGCTCGTACGAGATATAAGTCCATCAGGTCTGTGCCATACGGTGTGCCAGGATCTTAACCTCTATATCTTTTTTGGCTTCCAAGTGGATCTTCTCTCTGTCAAAAGAAACACAGGAGGAAGGGAGCTGGCACGTCCGAGGAAAGAGGAGGTGCAGCTTCCAGTTGTCATGCTTCCTGTCTCCCCACATGCCTGCAACCGCCGCCTACTTCACCCTTAAACTACTCGCCTAAGTAAATTTGTCTGTCTTGACGGCAAGCCCAGCCCAGCCCTGTTTCGTTCTCCGCATATATAAATATATTATAGCGACGAAGCAGCAGCAGCAATAACATCAAGGTCCGCAAACACCTTTGTCTCTTCCTCCTTCCTTTTCCTTTCCCTCCACCTTCCCCCCCCCTCCCCCTCCCCATACCAGTTCCCTCTCCCCCACATCCTGCCCAGAGGTCTTCATGTGTTCGCTGTGTCGTAAACAGTGCTTTAATGTAATCCAGGGAACCCATCCACCAAAATCACGTCACCTACCAGGGCCTCCACTCGGCCAAAGTTGGTGCAGGGGTAATAATCCGAAATACACGCCAGGTTGGACTCCACTTTATTCCAGGGTTGGTCGGCAGGCCGCCCACCTACAAGCTTAATAAAGCTCGAATGCTGTGGCGGAGCTACTCGTGGAATGATGTGGGTGGAGAATGTGTGTGTGTGGCGGGGGGAAAGGAAAGGGGGGGCGCGAGCTCAGTAGTGAACTATATGCATATGGGGGGAAAGAGGACTCCAGTCACGCCCCCTCTAACAGCACCTAACCGGTGTATAAAACTCCCCGTGTGGTCTTTCCCTTTACTATGGAGAAAAAAAGAAAGGAAAAAAGAAAGAAAAGGTAAGGAAGCGAGTGGATATGGACCAGAACAGCGACTGCAGCTGATGCCAAAAAATCGCTGCATGTGCTGCTTTAGGGCGCTTTTAGGCGCTTTAAACCTTTGTACATCTGTGCAGTGGTGCACGTGTCTATGCTTTTGTATAAGACGAAAGGGAACGGAAGCGGAGGAGGAGGAGGAGGCATCCCTCCCGGGTTTCAAGAAGATATTAGACACCGCCGCCCAATGGGTACCTCAGCACCCCTCCGTAGCTCAGTACCTGGCGGCGGCGAAGGCGGTGAAGGTGGCGGCGGCGAGGCGTCACCCAGCGGCGTATCTGGGGAATGACATATCCACGCAGTCAGAATGGCAGACAGACAGACAGACAGACAACGAGGGAAAGTGGGGAAAAATTGAAAGCCAGTTGAACCCCTAAACTGCGGCACGTTGCACCATGAATGTAACCATGCAACCAGCTGTAGAAAATTGGGCAACAGCAGCAGCAGCAACAGCAGCAGTCGCCAGCACATCTAGCGCTAACCTAAGAGCCTTTTGGGGCGGGGCCCAGCGCGAAGCACGTCAGGGGAGCCTGCTCTGTAGGATATGATGTTCGAGGGGCCGCACCCAGGGGAGCACCATGGGCACTGGTGCTGCTCTTTTAATGCATTCATCTTCACCGGCCGTGGCTTCGGTGATCGCGGTGTGGTGTCAACGCCTCCGAAATGTGTTCTGAAGCCTTCTGAAGACTCTCGGAGGTGATGTCCAAGTCTGGCGCATGCACCGGAATTTACGAAATTGACATCAATCTCGCGCGTGGACTGCCGATTCCCCGACTTCGTGCGACGATATTAGTCTCGATCCCCTATTTTTGGGTCGGTGACTGACGAGCGCGGCTTCGACCGATTCGCTTCCCGACTGCTCTTGTAACGCCGGCTTACGGACTGCGCTTGCAAAGTGCGTTGGCTTCCCCGACCGCTCTCTCCCCATAGCGAGACAGCACAGCAGTTTGCGAACATGTGGCTAGGCGATGGGCCTGTATGGATTAAAGGGCCCCCCTGCCCTTTTTCCGGCTTCGGGGAACACCACCAACACCACCTTGTCCTTTACCTTCTCCACGCCTGGTTTAGCTAAAACCCGTTTCAACCCCCCTTCCCCTCCCCCCCACTTCCACCCGGACCCCAACCCTTCCGCCGGCAATGCTTACGAGAGCACTCGAGCCCAGCCAGCGGTCCCTGGGTATCGCACCGACCCATGCCGAACATGCACGTGTAGGGGGCGCTGGGGGGCGACCTGAGTGTGGCCATTCTCGGAGTGTACAGCGACCGATCGACCCGTGGGTCATGAGCGTCACTGGCGCTGCCGACGTTGACCTCCAGAAGGGGCTGGTCGGCAGCGCCGCCAGCGTTCTTCGTTGCCGTCGTCTGGGTCGGCAGCCCGCGTAGGGCCCGCCTAGACGAGTCTTTCTGATCGCAGGTAATCCTTCCGATGCGGGCTGTGGATCTGCATAGGTGAGGTGAAGTGATGTTACGTGGGTTGAAATGGGCGCGAAGTGCTTTCGTGGCTGGCTGCCTGGCTGGTCGGGTATGCTTTCTCTTGGCCGCGAAGCAGAAAATGGTTGGCACCGCATACCGGTGGATGTGGATGTGGATGTGGATGTGGATGTGGATGTGGACGTGGATGTGGATGTGGATGTGGATGTGGATGTGGATGTGGATGTGGACGTGGATGTGGATGTGGATGTGGATGTGGATGTGGATGTGGATGTGGATGTGGATGTGGATGTGGATGTGGATGTGGATGTGGATGTGGATGTGGATGTGGATGTGGATGTGGATGTGGATGTGGATGTGGATGTGGATGTGGATGTATGAGTGATGTAGTCTCTGGTCTGGTGGCAGCAGAGGTTAAGAAACCTGGGGGCGAATCGCGCTCTTAACTTTAATACGCAATATCAGAAATTTTCATCTTAACGTTTTGCTAGGGCTTCGGGGCTCCTGATTCGCAGCCAAGGACGCGCTGTCGACACCGAGTAATAATCCAATGGGGAAGTATTACCCGTTCTTTGCGGCGGTTCCCAGACCAGACTCAAGTCCATTATTTTCTTGGACACCCCGAAGGTGGCACAGGCGGCCCGTACAGGAAAACAATTTTGCTACGGGGGTACTTGGGTTTAGTGGAGAGCACGTATGGTGATCTGAGCGGCCGGCGGATGAACTAAAACCCGTGACCCCGGGCCCCGCCACGTCGCGCCGCAACACTGCGCGCTGGTCTCTCACGTGGGGGGCTTGCGGTACGAGAATCTTGCGTCGTATGCTTTCCTGCCGTACGAGTATCCGAGCATCTGGCACATAATCTGCAGCCCCAAGAGTCACAACGGGAAGGCCAGGCAAGGAGCAAGCAAACAGGTTCGCGCTTAGGATAGGTCAAAGTCGTCTGCATATGTTGATTTTAAATGTGGATGTTATTTGTATGGGGGAACATCTGGCGCTACATTGCATCTTCTGGTGGGTCGTGCTGATGGCCTGATGGCCTGGTGGGAGAAGGTTTGGCAGGCAGTTTGGGCAGGGAAAGGAAGACAGCTTGGCAGCTGCTTGAGTGGTGAAGCATTGGTTGGCGAGTTCCAAATATCGCCAAGGTCCAACAGCGATGCTTCTGGATGGTGCTTCCGGAGTTTTAAAATGAAAGACGCCTTCATCGTTCCATCCTCATGGAACGAGGAGCCCTTAAATCAATAAGAAAGAGAGCCCTTAAATATAATTAAAAGAGCCCTTAAATCTTCCGCTCGTGCATTGCGGCAAGTGCAGCAGCGCGAAGCAAGGGGATACAGACTTGTACTGCTACGGAGCTGAGCCCGCCACATCCGCACCCAGGAAAAATGCATACCAGCGCAACATCTTCGTCGACATCCTCGTCGCAAACCGCGTTCCAGGCGGGCTTTGTGGGCGCGGAGGAATTACTGAACCATGCGTCAACCGATGAAAGCTCCAACCTGCCTTTTGGCCCCGAGCCACCAGCCAATCGAACGCCATTTTTGCTGCCTAAAGGAAGAATGGTCAGATTAAGCGTTGGGGGTACTGGTTACGGCGCGGCAGCAGCAACGTGTGCGTGCAGGGCGTCCAGCTCGCAAAGGGAGGCAGGACAGCACGCACGCATCGGTCCGTCTTCGTTCATAGGTTTGTTAGCCTTTAAAATTTGCAGTTAGCAAGGTGACTTACGGTAGTTCCTGAGCTGCGCGTCGCCTGCACGATCAGCGGGACGGTTAATAAGTCAGCAGCTATTGTAGGGCAGCCAAAAACATGCATATTTAATCCGCTCTAGCTATGATGAGCATTTTGTGTTCGCTGATATACATGCGCGCACGCTGCAATACATACCTCCTGATGTGGCTATGATAACGAGGAGCGCCACTAAAGCAGCGCGCATGGTTAGGCTGCCCATTGCGTGCAAAAGGCACAAATAAGATTTGCTTGGGTAAATTTCCAAACGCTTATTGCCGCACACAGAAACTAATGCTGAATCGCAACCTATGGACCAATGGACCTATCCTGAACCTCAGGAACGTGTTGCAGGTTTCCACGTGTAAAATTCTATGTTTATTACTGTGCTGCGCGCCAACAGAAAGAAGAAGTCAGGCTTCGATCAACCGACCTGTAGTTGTACAAGTAGTAATGTCAATAGATGGACGACTTTTTCCCGTTCGTCAGAGATTTACATGATAATCCGCCTGTGATGACACAACAGAATGAACCTCAGCGCGTTTTATGTTCCCGCGCCCGCCAGACGTCCACGCAACTGCAGGACAAGCAATAACTCAGTACGGCGATAAAAACATCAGCAAAATCACCGGTCAGTAGTTTATCAGATTTTAGCAGCTGTCTGTTGCAGGCCCTACCCGCGCGCAGAAGTAGCAACAACTTCTAGCCTACCTAAGACATTTGCGCCATTGGTAAAGGCATAATAAATTTGAATTGTTATTATTATTATAAAAACGTAATGCTTCAGATTTTCACAGTCTGCATGTAAAGGAGTGGTTGCAACAGGCTCGCACTTCAGGCAACGTGTCGATCTATCTATCTATGGATCTATCTGGCATGCAACTGGCTCCAAAGATGCCGATCACAATCTTAATTGCAAGCTTCTCTTCATGAATCCACACGTTTTGGAGGCGGCCATGTGGTACCAACTATGAGTAACCCCTGCGTTCCCCGCCGGTAACCGTCAGGATACCCCACCTTCTGCAGCCCTTCACGACAAACGGGCTCCGACGTCAACAAACCGTACAAAAAACGTTACATATTATGCAACAGATGTGATATGTAACGGTGCCAGCTACAAACCTACTCCTTACGTTTACACAGGTGCTGTAATATCGGCTTTCTCTTTAGGCGTAAATCAGGGGAATGACCAGGGTTATTTTCTAGTTCCCCGAAGGTATTTTTTTCTTGCTCTATGGCTTATTTCCTCTAGCGTCAAATTCCGAAGCAGACTGAAGCGACAAACGCTCTTTGAAGCGGATCTCGGCCGAGGGAGAACTTGCAGCACAGAGGTCTATGTATCTGTTTGCACACTTGCTGTGAATGCACATAGCGCGTCGTCCTAGAGAGTTATGTTCGATGGATGGCCACAGCAACAAATTATTATGCTGTGGTTAGTATGGCAGAACAAACAAGGGTGTTCTGTCAAAATGTCCATGGTTTGGAACGCGGGATGATGAAGAAGTCCCGCGTGCACCAATCTGCACCAATGGTTCACCCCCAGCATAGGTGGTCAGCCTATCTCCTTTGTTAAGGCATATGATGGCGCATACGTTGGTGCCGTGGATGTGCGTGGGCCGGACAAGGTAAGAATGTTCTGACTGTGGAACTGGCGGAGTGCACCAACGGTTCACTTCTCTCTCCTCATTTACACCAAGTCGCTTTCCATGCCTGTCTCATGCCCATGTAGGTATAATAGGATATCCTGCAATGGTTGACGAGTCGAAATGCACGGGCCGGGTGAAGTCCAAGACCCACGTCGAGAGCATGCATTGGCTGCACCTGCACCTGTTGCACTGCCGCAAATTGCAGTAGTGTCAACCCAGACCAGACCATTGCCTATATGGGCCCTGCCGCTTAAAGGTTCGTCACCTTGTTTAGTCGCATTGGGAGCGTGCCAGGCATGAATTCGTGGGCACTGTCCCCCCCACGGTAGGGGGCGAGGGTTGGTTGTGTTGTTTGCAATGAGTGCCAGCCATTTGGTGTGAAGCAAAATTGCATGGACGACTCTGATGTTAGACTCCCCAGCCTAGATTCGGTGCTGCCAACTCATAGACTTCCTTGTGTTTGTGTTTGGTTTGCTATGGGACGCGACTATAAACAGATGTCTAACAATTGAATGCATGACGGCCTGGTGAGATGGCTGATGTTGATGCATGCACTGATGATGGCCAGGCTTTTGGCAGACAGCAGTGGTGCAGCCTGCGGGGGCCGCTTTTGGTGAGATGTGCTCATGTGTGTCAAGTGGGTAATGTGAGGCCCGTTGTGGTGCTGGTGAACATGGGCATGGGCTATACCTGGACAGCTGATTATGGTGCTGTTGGGCAGGGGTGCCTTTCTTTGGGAAGACATCTCTCGGTGTTTGGTTCACCATATTGCGGACCCATGAGTTGAAGTGTGTGAGCAAAATCGACCATGACAACCACATGCATGTTTGGTACTGGCTTTGGCCACCATTTAAACACTTCCACCAGACGCTGTGAGATGCACTATAAGTAACAGCACACCAAGTAAGCAACTATGGACAATTACACCACCCATCCTTGGTCTGTTGCAGTCCTGTCAGTATTCCCCATTCTGCACCTGCAGCCTCATCCTACAGCAGAACCATCCATCCTAATCCTCCAGCTGTGTCCCCAGTCCTCACCCTATGCCAGCGAGCCCATCCTAAACCTGCGACAGCCTGCAATCCCCATCCTATCAGCCAGGGTCCCATCCCCGTCCTTGGCCAGGGTTCCCAATCCCATCCTTGGTCAAGGTTTCAATCCCCATCCCTCTGACAGGGTTCCCAGCCCCATCCTCACCCCGACAGCAATCCCCATACTAAAAGTAGTGTAGCCCCACATCCCATCCTGAGTCGTCACCCTATTTCCCATCCCGCCTGACCAGTACCTGCCCCCAATCCCCCATCTTTGCAACCCTCTGGAAGAAGTGGCATGGGGCTGAAACTTACGGCTGGCAAAGCACAAAACGAGATATATACTTCAGTGCGTTTGCATAAGGTAGGTTCAAAAGGCAGCCTTGACGGTAGCTGCACTTCGCAACGAACAAACAACATGCGCCCCGCCCGCCACCATTTCAAGGACCAAAACGCAGAGCCCAGATACGAACAGGGAACATGACGAGGCTTTTTCCAAAAATGAAAAGCCATGAAAGCCGTGCGTCGCAAATTTGGGAACAGATAAAAGGAAAAGGTAAAGGCGAGGGAGAGGCCAAAGGCAAGGGAGTCGAGGGCCAAAACAGGCGACAGACAGGCGGTGTAGGACCTGCAGCGCGGACACACAACCGCCACAGGAGGCAGAGATCAAAGACACCACAGACGCAAAAACAAACACAAACTATCCGCCGCCGGCACGAATCGACATAGCAACCTCCTCATCAGACGGTCGCCATCACGGCCCACCTCCGCACATCATCAATTTTCATCGCACAGCACACATGCTTGGCCAGGGATATTTACATTTATGGAAAATACAATTTATATGATACCGAGGATTTCGTCCGCCATTTGATCACTGCTGAGTTGCCCGAATTTTACAGACGAGGGCGTTTCTCCGTACTTGGGTAACGTAGCCCATTAAACCGGAGCTCAGCGTTAACTCTGGTTATATGCGATAAGGAGATGTCAGGAGATGGATAATGTTATTGAGGCAGCGCGTAACAGCACGTAAGATAGTGAAATAGTGATAGTGAAATTAGCAACATGGATGAGGAATGCTCCTATGCTAGGCGCGCGCTTCGCCGGCTTTTGTTTTCCGCCAAATTGCAAGAATTACATTTTAGCTGTCGTTGCACTTCTGCCTGCGGACCTAGGGCGGCAATATTGTTATATCTGTCAGCAGCCTGATTAGGATGATGTGTGTGAGCGAGCTGGCGATATGCGAAAATTTGGGAGATCACAAGTTGCATTTTGTAGCTTCTAGAGTCTCCCAGAGTCTCCCTCAGTCGCACCCTTAATTACTTTCCGAGCCGGCGGGCGCTGGCGGGCGGCGGGCATGATGGACAAGTCGGGTGTCGGCTTCCTCGAAGGGCGGGCCCCCCTGCATCCGTACGGGCCGTAGGAGCTATGCTTGTCAGAGCGCGGGAGGCAGGAAGCCGACACACCAAGCCCCGAGCATTGGCTGAAGTAAATGTACAAACGGGCAGCTTGCGTACTTCATAGAGAAATGAAAGCAAGTTTGTCGGCCTGCTGGTGGCAAGTCGGAATGCCCCTGCGGGCAAATGGTAACACAAGCTGGGTGTTCAAGTTATCATACGCTGTCATCTCAGAATTCAATAATGAGATACACGGCACTTTTTGAGATGAAATTTAAGCCGAGAGGGGTTGATGTGACTTTGGGCTCGGTGAATGGAGGCAGCCAAAGTCGTTTGTGCTCATACGATTTTTGTTGGCTACAGGCAAGATACCTTGCAATAGAGAATGCTATATAGTACCAATAACGCGTTTCAGCCGGGCGAGGTATTATGTTCGGTCCGTTACACACACACGGCCACACGGACATGGGCAATCCTACAGGGCGGGAGGCCCCCTGGGCGCTTCGCGCTGGGGCCCCGCCCAGAAAAACGCTAGAGGACCTTGCAAAAGCGATTCTGTTGGGGCTGTCGTGTGCCTGTATGACTGTATGTACGTCTGTATGTACAGCGCTTCAATCTGCCTTCAGCCTGCGTATGTGTGCGACAGCAATCTGAATCCACCACCTAGATGTCTTTCACTCAACCTCACTATGAACTGAACTGCGCTCCCCACAAACCCTGTTTAGTCTTTCATCCCATTCCCCCAAAACAAACGAACATACAAACAAACGAACATACAAACAAACGAACAGTACACTTCCCATCTGGAAACAGGCTCCATCGCCACGCACTGCATCTCGCCGCTTGCCACCCGCAACCCCCTTCCTACATCACCGCCTGAACCCCCCGTGGACTTTACCATACGCGTATACTGTATCGTACATCGTACGTACTGCTGGACATGAAAGTAAATACCCTTTAGAGTCCTCATCATGAACCTGTCATCAACGGACAGATCTGCAGTTGAATGCGAGCCGAGATCAAACCAAGCTTGCGGCTCAGCCGTACGTCTGATAGCGTGCCGTACTCTTCGCCGTGGTGTACCGGCGGCAGCTGTACCGTAAACGACTCCTCGTCTTGTTGGACATTCCCTTCGCCCTTGCCGTTGCCGCCGCCGCCACCCTTGCCCTTGCCGCCGCCGCGCTTTGGCTTCACATGCACGGTGAACTCGGCACCCTCCCGACAGACCGTCACCGCCGCCACCTCGGCCGCCGGGAACGACCCGGGCGCCAGGACATCCACGATGACGCTGCGCGCCCGGCGGCAAACATGTACGGCACCCTCCCAGGACCGCCGTGACAGCGCGTCATTGTCATCGACAGCAGGCGCGTTGTTCCCCAGTTTGTTAACCAGCTTCAGGTCCAAATGCGGTCCGGGCTGAGCCAGCCGCCGCCACGCTAACGGCGCCGCCGCCGCCGCCGCCGGCTGCGATTTAAGCGCCTTAAGACGTGTTGACACGCCGACCGGCTTCAGAGCCAGGCCGCCGCCGCCGCCGCTGTCGCGGCCACCTTCAGTCGCGGCCACCACGCACAGAGTTACGAACCAGTCACTGCGCTGCTCCAGGAGGGTCTCCGCAAGAAAAAAGTGCGCCGTCGCCGCGTCTTCATCCCAAGCGAGCGCCGCCATCAGCTGCTTAATGAGCCCGCCGTCTCCGCCTACGTTGGTAACCGGCAGCGGCACACGCGGCAGCGCCTCACGGCTAATCGCCAGCAGCAGTGGCAGGTGGCTGCAGCCGATTAGCTCCCAACCCGGCCGCGCTGCGTACGACAGTTGACGCAGCGGCGGCGGCCGGAGGCCGCCGATCGCCGCCGCCTGAAGCTGCGCGTGCAGCGTCAGCTCCCATTTGAACAGTGTAGCGGCTCCGCTGCCGTCGCACCGCACCAACGCCCGCACCATAGGTTCAAGCTGCAGCGGCGGCAGCGCCAATGACAGCAGATGCACGAGCGCCAGCGGCGCGATGGCGGGAGCAGTAGCAGTGCCGTCCCGCTGGTCATCCGACGGCAGGAGGAGAGCTTTGCAGCCTGGCAACAGCTCTAGCAGGAGTTGAGGCGCCGTCAGCCAGGAGCTCCTGCCCTCCTTGCCATCGCCGCCGCTGCCGCTGCCGCCATCGCCGCCACCGTTGCTGCATACATTCGCATATTGATTTGTACGGGAAACTGATCTGTTGGCTGAGGAGAGGTGGCTGTTAGCAGGAGCTGCCGCCTCTGGTACCGGATCCAGCACGGCCGCCGCCGCCGCAGCCCACACCGTCCGTACTCCTCGCCCCGGCCACACCTCCACCTCACCCTCTACCAATCGGATCGCTAACATCTCTTGAAATGCTGCCAAGGAGGGTCCTTGTAGCCGGGAAGCCACGAAGCCTGCTGGCGTCAGCGCCGGTTCCCGCTCCAGCTGACGGCCGTACACCGTCAGGCTCTCCGCACGCAGCCGTGCATATGTACGACGCGCCAGCAGCGGCGCTGCGGCCTGCACAAGCGCCTGGAGAGACACGTAATCCGCTACGTTGCTGCAATCGATGAAGTCGTACTGCAGCGGCTGTTGTGGCGGCGTCAGCGGCGACGGAGGTGGAGAGTAGGAGGGTACCGTCAGCAAGGCGGCGAGGATATCGCCGTGCACAAGTTGCACGGTGATGCTGCCGTCACGCAGGCCCTGTACGGCAGCGTCCAGGAGCGGCGTCAGCGCCGCCGTCAGGCGGGCAGTAGCGGTACCGGGCTTGTCCGAAAGCGGCAGGGCTCGGAAGATGGAGGAGGAGAAATACACCTTCGAGGGGGAAAAAAAGAGGAGAGCGTAGAAAATCGTCGGGGCAGTTTCGGTCCATCAAACAAAACGTGTGACGCCTGAAACAGGACATGATTTTTAAATATCGCGACGCTTAACTTTAAGAACATGTCTTCAATCGTGCTCATGAGCAATTCTCATGTGTGATACGTCTCCGCGGACACTATGTCGTACAAACAATAAAAACGGACAAACAGAAATGCCACCCGCCGGCCCCAAATCAAGGTGGTCACTCGTCCGCCGCAAGATCCAGGAAACGTAACGTTGCTTTCCCTCGCAAGCTCGAAAACCCGGTTTATATTTTTACAGTTTATGTTTCGCACGATTACTTCATTAAGTTCTGGCGCCCGCGGAGTTGAACGAAGTCACTAATATCCTCTTCCGCAAGGCAAAAACGACCTACAGACGTCCATGTGCCTACCCGTGCCCTCCTCTGCTCCCCTGCAACTGACGCCATCCCTGCCGTACCGTGTACTGCAACTCTGGTGCCAGCAGCAGTGTCGGATTGGCCGCCACCAGAGGCTCTACCGGCGCCGCCGCCGCCGCCGGCTTTTTGGCTCCGCCGCCGCCGCCGCCGTCCCCGCCGCCGCCGCCCCCGCCGCCACCATCGCCCTCAGGCCTCAGGCTGCCCACATGCACATACTCACGCACCTCAGGCCGCAGCGCCTCCGCCGCCTCCGGACCTATCGTTGCCTCCAGCGCCCCCATGGAGAGCTCAACAGCGTTCCTCCAAATTGCCTCCGTCACCGCACCACGGGGAACCCCCAACCGCTGCTGGCGCTGCGCCAGGAGGGCATCCAGCGGCAACGTGCAAGCAGCCCAACTGGCAAAGGCGCCGCGGAGCGCCGTTTCCGCTGCCGCCGCCGCCGCCGCTGCCGCCGCGGCGGCGGCGGCGGCGGCGGCCGAAGACTGCGGCGGCGGCGGGATCGGAGGATCCAGCGCCGTCGACGCCGTCAGCCAGGATGGCCATGGAGCCGTAGCGAGGGCCTGCAAGCTGCGAGATAGCAACTCCGACTGTTTAGCGGTGAGGCCGTGACAGGCCCATACTGCCAGTACGGCACCCGCCGGGGCATCTAGCTCCGCAGCCATGTGTAGCAGGACCGCATCGCGCGCCAGCATTGCCAGGTTGCCATCGTTGAGCGTGAAGGCCAGGCGACGACGGCGGCGGCAGAGGCGGCGGCGGCCGCCGTCGCTGCCCAGGCCATCGGCACCAGCACCTTCCTTCTCCCGTACTGCATGTGCCGTAGCCAGCAAGTTGCGGATATCGCCGCAGGCGCCGAGCAGGATGCGGATTGGAGTTTCGACGTCAGCAGCGCCGTCGGCGGTACTGTCGTACAAGTCGGCGTTGCCGGTGACGTCGTACCCGAACGTGTTGCCGATGGCGTAGAACTCGTGGGCAGTGGGTGCCCATGCATTCTGGGGCAGAGTATGACAGGTGCGTTGCAGCAAAGCAGCTGGCGGTGCCGCCGCCGCAGCCACCGCCAGCCGCCGCGGGTGGTGCTGCCCGCCGCCGCCGCCGCCGACAGTACCGGCCACCGTCGCCCAGGACGGCAGGCGCTGCGCCAAGGATTCCAAACTGGGCACGGAGTCTACATCATCGACGTCCGTACTTCCGCCGCCGCCCCCGCCGCTGCGACTGCTACCGCCGCTACAGTCACCTCCTTCGTTCCTGCCGCCAGGGCCGTTGCCGCCGCGACGGCGCTCGGCCAGCGCCGCAGTAGCCGCCTTCCTATCATGGTAACTGTTCCGATCTGTGGATGATGGCTTGGACCAAAAGCCCAGACACCGTGCCTTGATGGCGACTTCGGCACTTCCGACCCCTTCCTCCACAATCGCCATCTCCTCGGGCCCGACAAATGCATTACCGACGATGGTGACGGTGCCGCCGTAGTTGACGCCGATATAAATACCGGTTTGCCGCATGGGGGCCGCCGCAGCCGCGCCACGGCCTCTGACGCCGCCGCGCCCGCCACCAATGCCGCCGCCACCAATGCCGCCAGCGGATATTCCCCAGTCACATTTGGATCTGGCGCCGGAGTAGTGGATTCGGCACGCCAATATGCTCGCGTCCGTGCCCCCTTTGATGAAAAACGCGTACGGATCGTTGTCCTCGAGCAGGCAACCTCGCGCCAAAACACTAGTGCCGCGGTCTGCGGACACTCCAAATTGTCCGGACCCGCTGATGGTGCAGTCCAACAAAGCAACGTCCAACGGCGTGCTGTTGCGCCGGCCCCATTCCTCCGCCTCCGCCGTCGCAACGGCGGCGCTTGCCGACCGCGCCTTTCTCCCGTCACCTCCAAGGCCGTGCTGAGCCTCCGTCGCGGCGTTCACGTACGTGCCGCTCAGCAACACATTCTCCCGCTTTGATCCCACAATCGTACAGTCACGCAGTACGACGGTACGAGCACCGCCGTACGCGGATACGCCCTGGTTGCAGTTGGTGATGGTGACGCGATCCGCTATCAGTTTTCCACCCTCCCGGACTTCTATCGCCTGAGCTGCCGTACGGGTGAACACGCATCCCGCAAGACGTGCCGTACACGCTCCCGTTACTAAGAGGCCTGCCTCGCCATAGTCCTCGATACGGCAGTTCAGCAACTGCAGTTTTGCGCCATCGCCGGAGACACAGGCCGCCGTTACACGGCCGCTGCCAACAAGCCGTACTCCGGCCAGCGTGACGGAGGCAGGCGGCGTCCTACGGAAAATAGAATGAAACGGCAATTCAGCGTCGACCCAGATCGCGTGGCTGCCGCCGTCACGCGTTGACTGCAGTACCACAGAACCGACGGCGAGGAGCGTGTAGGAGCTGACGCCGGGCGCCGCCTGCGGCGCGCGGGTGTTGGTAGTGTAGATGCCGGGGCGCAGTACGACAAAGCTGAAACCTCGACGCAGGGCGGCTTCGACTTCAGACCAGCTCGATGCGGCGGCGACGCGGCCGCAGTCTGGCGGGAGCTGCAGTCGTACTGGCGGCGGCGGCGGCTGTGCAGCCTCGTCTGTGCCGGCGGCAGCAGCAGAGACTGCTGCTGCAGCCGCAGCAGCAGCATTATCCGCTGCACGCTGAATGGTGTTGTAGGTCGCCATCATCGCGTCAGCGCGACCACCTGGTTCGCACAGCGCGATGGCGATGGCGATGGCGGCAGCCGCGTCGGGGTGATCGGCCGGCAGGGACCGGGCCAATCGGTAGTGTGCTTTGACATTGCATGGCTGCAACTGTAGGCAGTCACGGCAGTCTGCCTCCGCGGCTGCTGCATTGCCGAGCTCCAGATGGCATGCGGCTCGATTGCACAGCAGGATAGCACGCTCCTCAGCAACCGTGCAGTTCAGGTTGCTTGCAGTTTTTAAACTACTATTGGATTGCAGTCCCTCGGAGTAGGCAGCAGCGGCAGCGATAAAATTGCCCTTCACGAACAGAGCATTGCCCCGCTCCCGCGGGTTGCCCTGTGATGCCTGCGCGCTCATGGCAAAGGACAGAAGTTCATAATATTATCGCAGCTGCGTTTTCGATCTAATTGATCTTGGTTTAGTGTATGTATATTTTTCCAGAAAAGGAGCCGTAACGCCAACACCGGCACATGGACCGACAACCGAGCATGGATTTAAATATAAGAGAACATATATCATGTCAATCACTTATTCTGTACGCATTTATTAAAAATAGGATTACTTGCGAGTCCTTTGCTCACGGGTCCCTCACGGGAAGATGTATCGGATCTTGAGGCGTGTCCTAATCACGCACTAAAGACTTTTTGTTGCTGCACAACGTGGTTGCCATGTTCATAACAATGGCTGAAGCCTTTTATGTTTCAGGTACATCGGTAGGTATTCATTGTAATGCTTAACGCTGAAGCAAATCGTATTGTCCCTGCCGTGGCTCCCACGGTCATTCGGATCTCGCGGCAATCTGTACATGCATAGCATCAGGAACAAATCGGCATAAGACTAGAACTGCAAAAGCTTACATTTTCAAAAAGGTAATATTTCGGTCCGCGTCCTCCATCCGCATTTAAATTAGGACGGTTGGCAGGACTTTCAGTTGCCCTGCCCAATGCCGAGCCACTGCCGAGCACCCAGTAGGGAACCTTGCCCCTACCTGGGGCAGCATCGTACCCCTTGTACGCCCATATTGGCATTATACTGGAAGGTCCTTGATGTTTTAGCCGTAACCCTCCATGATAGCGCGGACGCAGCTTTTAAACTCTTTTGAAAATCTGAGCAGGGAGCAGAGAAGCGTACAGGGAAGCACCGCGGGAGCCCTCCTAAGTCAAAACAGATTACCAAGAAAAGGTTTGTTGTTCAGTGGTTTGCTATCCAGCAATCCGGCTGTAAATTAACGGTTAAAAAGCTGCCAACTCTCTCTCAGCTGGTGCAAACTTTTTGGGAAGACACAGCTCTCGCTTAGCTCACACGGCCCTCACATATCCATACACAGCTGAACAAAGCCCTTCACGCAAAACTACTTCACTCCAGGCTCTCGAACCTTTTCCAAAGCCTCGTGCGGCATGGCAGCACCATCATACACCTTTGCACCGATGTGTACATTTTGCAACAGATAAAATGGGAGAACACGCTGTAAAGCCTTGTATATCCTCCCCAGAAACCCCGAGGCCCTTTCAATCTCTCAAAGACGCTGCGATGCCGGACGAGCAAGTCGTACATCCCGATGCACGGGGCCGGAAACCGGTGGGAGCTCCTATACAAAAAACGACTATGTGCAGTTGCCACAAGCGGCGGCCTACTCCGTACTTTATTCCGTACATAGCTCCCCAAGGAATCAATCGCATATGCCCACGACATGCTGGCGGCCAGCCCAGTCCGGTGCTACTACTGGCGCTGAGCGCTGTGCTGCTTGAAGTTTGTTATATGTATAATATATAATACTTCCTTGAACATCCATTGCCTCGTGATAAGCGCAGTTGCACAAAAACAAGGGTGAGAGGACTACAGGGTACGGCAGTGCGCCTGCAATCGGCGTTTATCATGGCAATGCAAGGAGAGCTGCCGTACTACGACTTCATGCTCCTCCTCCTCTTCTTCCTCTTCCACCTCCTCTCCTCCCCTCGCGGGCCAAAACACCGTTACCTTCTTCGTTAACCAACCCTGAGCAGTATCTCCGCCGCAGCACCGCTCCAACACCCGAACGACAAGTGTCCTCGTGAACCACATGAACTCAAGAAAACTGAGAGCACGCAGATAACCAGAAGTCGAGGCGGCACCGAACCCGAGGAAATGTATTTCACACTCGGCCCAGCTCCCAACACCAGGGCCCCCCACCTCCCACTCCTTCGCTCCAGCGCCCACCTGAACGAGACTCCAGTCCCGAGTCGACAAGGGCACACACGCCCCCCCCAGCCCACAGGACAACATACAGGACGACAAGGCCCCCAGGTGCAAAGCTTCTTCTCCCTGCGGAGCTCGCTTGTCAGAGCGGTCCTTACCGACGGGCCGCTACACGGACGGTGTTGACAACAAACAAGCGCTCACGACATTCTAGCGCTCACAGAAGTAATAATAATAATAATATGATGTTCGGAGGAAGGCTATAAAAGCTTCCTTTAGATGGGCCCGTCCCGGTTCATGCGCTCAATGTACTTGTCATAGTACACCGCCGCCTTCTCGAACTCGCCCATATCCGTGTAGCAGTCCGCCATGGTGCCGTACGCGTCGGCGTCACCTGACCAATAACACAACGAGCACGTGGCGGATCAAGTCAAGCGTTACAAACACGAAATAATACAAAATAATCGCTGTTTGTGTGACAAAACGCCCCGAGGTAGTGTCTTCCTTCATTAGGAGAACAAAAAATCAAAACAGCAAACAGTCAAGAGACGGCACACCATACTTTAAACATTTTTTGAATTCTTCCTAAATCTTTAATCTTTAATTTTTCTTCCTAGATCCTTTAGATCCGCCCCAAACGAAGTTTTAGCCACATCCCAGGACTACCCAGCAGCCAGTGTTCTTCGTGTGACTTCATGCGTACTACGCCGCTGGCGTGCACGGGTGCATTCGGGGGCGCAGGGTTATCGACCCACATGGTGAGGCGCCCCAAGCAGTGGCGCACCGCGACCCCAACCGCACTCTTCTCAGTTTGGACACTCGTCCCACTTGTGTATGTGGGGGAGAAAAGACGCCGCAAAAATGGACCCGTCCATCCCGAACGAACCCACCAGTGTACTCCCCGATTTCTCGGGAAATCTCCAATACGCGCTCCAAGTGCTTGATGGCCTGGCGGTACTGGTGCGTCAGGCGGCAGGACGCCGCAAGGCCCCGCTGCGCGCGCCGCTCTTGGACCTGCCACATCCGCCCACAGACGCGCAGTCACACACACAATCAACGTTTCAGACAAATTTCAGACAACATTTGATTTTTTTATTTTTCTTGCGGTACTTTCAACCGAAGCCCGACCGGCTGTTAACCTGCCCGATATCGCATCGCTGGGCGCTGCATCCCCCATCCGCAACGCGTAATGAGGATTGACCCATGCCCATGCACCCACTCCCATGCAGTTTCCCAAACTGTACTTCCGGCACCCGACCGTCCCGCTCACCTTATCCGCTAGGGCTTTGGACAGCATGAGAGCCTTCTCGAAGCGGACCATGGCTGCCGCGCCGTTCTTCTCCTTGAGCAGCCGCTTGCCTGGGGGCGAGGAACGAGGGGAATAAATAATCAGTGGTTCACGAGCGGACGTCGAGGAATGCGGGATGTGAGGCGACAAGGGTGAGCAATGGCCACTGCCCAATACACCCAGTGGCCTTTGCCCAGCGCAGCAAGCTTCGCCGTACGTACCCAACCATTGTCCCCCCATTTAGGAACACACATGACCATGCAAATGCTTCCTCAGTGCACAGAAATCCCAAAATCCACTTCAAGCGCGGACACGAAAACAATTATGCGCGGCACCATCATATGCCACTCCTGGGAACTCGCAGCACCGCGCAACAGTATATCTCCGCGTCCGTCCCACTTTGACGCCCGCAAGCACAACAGCCGTTTCTTAAACGCCGTAGCTACCACACCCCCCCCCCAAACCTCCGCACACCTGCCCGCAGTGCCTCCTTGCACTGGATCTGGTCGCTGCTGAGCTCCTCCTCCTCCATGCTGAACAGCGTGTTGACGGCGGCAGAGGAGGAGGGGCTGGCGGACGTCGACGGCACGGCCGGCGCGGCGACTGGCGCTGGCGTCGGCGCGGCTGGCGGCGCCGCCACAGCGACGGTCACGGCCGCCACGCTCGCCGCAGCTGCCGGCGCCGGGCTGGCAGGGGGAGGGGGCGAGGGGATGGTGACAAGGCCGCTGCGAGTAGCCGGGGGCGCGTAGCTGAGACCTGTGGAAGGGCGGGAGCCACGTCGGAGCATGTTCTCGAGTTGAGGACAGGTGCGGCTGTCAGTGCGCAAGTTGACAGGATCAGAGCTTTGTGGGCTGTCCTCGAAGGTTGGTGAGTGTCCCTCGGCTGCCTGTTCAGTCCATGCGTGCCTCAGCTACATCGCCGTTGCAGCCACCGAGCCACCGAAGAAGAGCTGAGATCCACAGGAACGAGCCCCTTCGCCCGGTGGTACTGCGGTGTCTCCACAACACTGCTCTAGCAACAACAGCTAGCAATCAACAGCGCACACGGCGAAACACGGCCGGCGCTGCTGTAACCACATTGGAAGCTGTAGCCAACAGGTCAAAATCCGACGGGGGGATTCCAAATGGACAGGCCATCAGCCATTTTCCCCGCCACTAACCAGCACGTCCGCTGCAGAGAACAGCTTAGAATGGATGCGCCATGACCTAATAATAGTTGCGAAACAAAAAAATATATATTCGTTATGGATCGATTTGGGCCGACCCACATCCCGACGATAGCGTACCAGGCGCATACACGGTGCCAGCCCTGGCCTGCTGGCGCAGGCTGAGGTTAATGGAGCGAAGCTGCTCGTTGAGCCGCTCGACCTCCTCTTTCCGACGCCGGGCCGTAATACCGCCCACTAGCGCGCCGATAAGGGCGACGAGCTCCGTGATGCCCACCACGTCCACTCCGAAGGGGGTGGCGCACAGCTTGCCGGCCTGCGTTGCGAAGCAGCAGGAAGCCTTACAACAGCCACGGCACAGAAGGCAAAGGCTAAAGCCATGCAGCAGGGCCGATTGCAAGTGACAAGCATCTCAGAGCCAAGAGTACAGCCAATGTCCGGGGGCTCGTGCTGCGCTGCGAAAGGGGACTTCGTTGTTTGAAAAGCATGCCAGAGCCCCAGCAAGCTAGCTGCACATGTAGGAGGGCGTCAACGTAATCGTCAACGGTGCAACAGGTGCCTTTGGACCATTACAAATCGGGTGCGCCCTGCTTTTTATTGTGGCCCGACTCCTTCACACATTCAGGCCTTGCAGTGCGTGGGCGTGTCTCCAGGTGCGTACGGGGAGGTCCAGATGCGACTGAAAGGTGTGGAGTGTGCACGAATCCGCTGCGAGATATTACACGGACCTGAGTTTGCTTCACTTCCTCCTCCAGCTTCTGTCGCTCGGCCAAGAGCTGCTCCCGGGCCACAGTTTCCTTTTCAATGCGGAGCTTGTAAAGCTTCTCCTCCTCCTCTGCGAGAAGGCCGCTGCCGGGGCAGCGTGAAGGGTGGACATTGCGGGCCAGACACAGCATAGATGGGTTAGGACAGGGTAGGCAACGTAGTCGCCTGATGTCTGCGACACCTAAGCAGGCCAGCATTGTTTGGCTTGTTTATTTCGCAATGCCGTCCTAAGAGCGTAACTGGGTGGAGGACACGCCGAGCGAATGGTGTTGCTTACAAAGCGCAGGTTGGCTCCAAGCCATCATTGTTTGCGGTTCTTAAGAAGATGACTCATGAAGAACGTGTCTAATAAAGGGGTATAGAGCACTTCCCCTAACTCGCGCATGCGCGGCACGCGCAAGCGCAGGCCTCACCGGGCGCCCGTCGACGACAAAAATGCCTCCGCCATCGCGGGTGCGGTCGCGATTGTGAGTCCCAAACTGACAACACCACCAACTATCTGCCTACGTGTTGGCTCCGGGCTGCCGCCGGCGTGGCAGACAACATTTACAGGTCGCCGAGCCACACCCCTTGGACATTGAAATGCTTGGCGTGACAGGCAGCTTTGCGAGCTAAGACTCGTGACCTGCATTTTAGTTGCGTTGTGTTTTAACACCTGTCAGCTCAAAAATGAATACCTTCAAAAGAATTCAGTGAAAAAGCTTAGCACGTAGATCTTATGCATAAATTGGCTATTATCACCTTCGAGAATTACAATTAAGAAAGCCAAAAAGTATCACCCTCTTTTTGGCGAAGCCCGATCTCGCGTCTGTCGTACACACCCAAATCAGCATGTGGGATTTAGCAAGGGCCGACCAGATATTTTTTTGAAACGGATAATTCGGCATTGGTCCAGAAGATTGCAGAGGCTACTTCCCAGCTTGGTAAGGAGCGCACTAGTACGCAAGTGGTAGAGGCTATCCTGAAGGCCGTGTCGGGTACTATTAATGCCCCCGCCTTTCTTACGTTCGCTAGTCAATGCCCCCGCCTTTCTTACGTTCGCTAGTCATTTTCATTGTCGTACAAGCACCCGTAGGGAGAAACTCGCTAGTCATTTTCATCCGTGTCGTACAGGCACCCCTAGGGAGAGTCTCGCTAGTCATTTTCATGCCCCCGCCTTTCTTACGTTCGCTAGTCATTTTCATTGTCGTACAAGCACCCGTAGGGAGAAACTCGCTAGTCATTTTCATCCGTGTCGTACAGGCACCCCTAGGGAGAGTCTCGCTAGTCATTTTCGAACTGCAAATCCGTAATCTCTGTCGTAAAAGGCACTTGTTGGAGATTCTCCCTAGTCATTTTCGCGCGCTTCGGTATTAGTCGTACGAAGACGCCGAGCATATTACTATGCCTTCTACCGGCTTTGCAAATGAACAAAGTCTCTATCAGAAATCTGAATTTCTCGAAATATTCGCTCACGTGCTGTCCGATCAGCAGTTCATCTTTATTAGCCATGTCTCATTTCACGACTTCGTTTGCAGCAGTTTACGCTGCAACGCTCATCACCCTTGCTGCCGGTGAGATCGGGTTCTACTGCGCATACGTTCTCATCTGTGCTCCTCGTTCACCATGCTTACCTGCATGCGATACCCTCTATAGTTGATGGCATTCATTAATGTGGAATAATTTATGTATGCTCTTGAAATTTTTGACAAACAAATCATGGAGCTCTATCAGCGAGTACGCAACGTCATAAGCCGGTGCAACATACTCGCTTGCTCGATCATGAACGGAGAAAACATCCAGTAAGATCTCTGGTAGTAAGAACCATTGTATATGTTCTCTTACATACCGTGCCCTTCGCAATATGACTCTGTATGAGTGGTAATATTGGTCGCTTGTCCGTGCATCACAGCTGCCTAATAACCGAAATAAACGCCTCTTACTTATGGCATCGTCTCAACAGGTACATCTGCCACCAATGAAAACGAGCAGCGGAAACGCAGGCGTGTGGACGACTTTATGGTCGACATGTACCCTGAAATGCTGGGTATAGACACTACCCCAACACAGCAACAAATTTCTGCGGCCGCTACAATTGCCCAGCCACAGCAACAAATGGTTCACCCGTTCACGACAACCACCACGCCACTACAGAACCAGCAGTCACAGGGTATCGCTGGCGCAGCTGCTCTACCATTCCATGAAACACATACCATCCACCCTTCCTTTTGCTGGAAAATTAATACTCCTTCGTGGTGACAAGCATCAGCTTGCCGCCATGTGTGACCGTAAGTGTGACGAAGATGCATGCATGCACCAGCCATACAGATGGGCCATGTGGCACATGTTTCAAGACATTCAACTAGGAACAAATTACCGACAAAATCCTAATAATCAAGCATGGATTGACACCCTCAATGTGATCAGGGTAGGGCCACCAACCGAACCCATCCTGGCACTTTTGCAAACTCGTGTGGTAAAGTCTTCCCAAAATTCCGTTGCACCCAATAAATCATGGCACATAGCTGGAACAAACGAAAATCGACAAGTATAACCAAGATATGGCACACACCCACTTTCAACAACAACTGCAGCATACTACAGGAAATAGGTATGCGCCTGATGACGTAGCTTATCTGTACAAAGCAATGCAAGACCAAGGCGTGCTCCTAGATCACCTTTACCTCGCTCCCGGCATGACGGTCATGGTTACCAAGAACCTGTCGGCCCCAAAAATCGAAAACGGTGCTTAAGCAATCGTGCAAGAAATTACCGAATCCATGCTGTCACTCCAGCTTTTGGACTCCCAAACCATAATCCGCCTGCCAAGGATATGCGAGGTCAAATACAAGAATGGTGCCAAGCTTGAACACAAAATGTTCCAGGTCGTGCCTGCTTTTGCAAGAACTGTACACAAGGTGCAGGGCAATACCATAACGGATCCCGTCATTATTGACTATACTAACATGAACTGACTAGGGCAAGCATATGTAGCACTGTCGCGAGTTGTGGATATTGAGCAGCTGCACATCCTCCCCATCGACATGCAATTGACACCAAACATGTTCATGGCACATGCACCCCCTTAAGCACCATGATTCATTTTACTGTTAAGCTGCTTACGTTCCTGTTCCTGCTACTGTCTTACTGCCTGTCACAGTCTTTGCATTACTATGATCTTAGACACCTATCCCACGTCCCACCTGCAATGTCATCAACCGTCACAACTTTAACAGCAGCTGCGAGTCATCAGTCTCAGGCTCAAGCCATGGGTTTATCCGTCCAGCAGTACGAAGGCCTTGGTTTTCACACTCCGCCCACCACCATAACAACACGCGCCACACGACGCCTCGATGACGAACGAACCGCAAAACAAGAAGCATACATTAATGATATGTCAATCATGCCATGTGACTGGCCTACCACAATCGGAGAATGCTCAAGACTCCTAAGCAGCAGGACAGCAGACTACGAAGACTTCAAGAAAAAATACAATGAAAAACCATCACCAGGCAGTCAACGTGCAGCTCTCCACTCACGAGGATTATCCATGGACGAAATTGACAAACTTACTAAAAGCTAGGCCAGCAAGCTCATGGACAGTCAAGCGTCAGGAGAACAGGCCACAGCAGCACAGCTTGCTCGGTTTCAAAGGCTCAACGTACAGCTACCGCAGCAACCTCTATCCAAGAGGGATGCGTCGGCACTCATTACATAGAACTCCGTCAAAGCACAGGCTGCGATGCTATCACAGAAGGACCTACTCAAGAAACTCACGAATCAAGCAGGTCAACAATTCACAGACGAGCAGCTGGACATGATGATGCTGGTGCAAGCCTCTATACTTATCGCCGCGCTCATACTGAAGCTCAACAACAGAGGCAACAAAGCAAATGGTAAAATCAACCACTACAACGACAACCTACATGACAAGGGTGGCGGACCATCCCAAGATGGTGCTGGTGGTGCTTTAATAGTGTAGCTATTAAATATGTGACAGTCGTCTATGTGCAATCCAGGGTTCGACACTGACCTTCCTGAAACTTGCGGGATCCCCCGTACCTCCCAAATTTTCCTTACGGAGGGGCAACCGTACCAGGCTCCTGTACTGGCCGAAAGCCTTACGGGGGCCCCCATAACCCCGCAAAACCTTTACGGGGACACTGTCCTTGGCTGAAACGCTGTGGAAAGTGACGCTTTGCATTTTTTTGCCCTGTAAATCGTTATTTTCGTTATTTTCCCGTGAACCATAACACACGGGGACTCGGCACACTCAGCGAAAGCCAAGCGCCTTGGCCGCCGCGGCCGCCCATCCCTTCTGCTCCTCTTTCTCGTCCTCCTCCTCCTCATCAAAATCCTCATCCACGCACGACTCATCGGTATCTCGTTCTACGTCGGTCTCGTAGTCACTGTCACTAAAAGCCTCATCGTCACTAGCGGGGTATGTTGCTTGTACCAGTACTTCAATCTCTGGGTCAGTCGCAACCTCCTCATGATCATCCTCTCCGTATGGATTCAAATTAATTTTGCTAACGTCAGAAAACAACTTGTGAATAATGCCTGTATAACCCTTACGCAAGTAGATCTCAGCAGCCTGATCAATCAGTGGCTTCGCCCCGGTATCAGCAGCAGGTCCCAACATCCCCACACGAAGTAGTGAATCAAGTGTGTGGCCTTATCCTTTATATGGTCCGTCCTTTCCCCTACAGGGCCCCGTACGGCCTCTTATAAATCCTTAAAATCCTTACGGGAGCCACCGAAGCGCCCCAAAATCCTTACGGGAGCCACCGAAACTTCCTACGGGCCCTGACGGGGATACCGAAAAAAGGCCAAAAACTTACGGGCCCCGTACGGGGTGTCGAACACTGGTGCAATCATGCTGGGCCTATAATTAGCTGTGTTCCTGTCGATGTAGAGTGCTAGTTGATTGATGATTGGATGAGCGGATGACTGCCCGTATGCATGCATGTCTTGCGGCAACAGTTGCATGAATGCAACATGAAATGCAGCAAGAGCATTCGAAAGCTTCGTTGGATGGTTTGGGAATCTGCAATGATTACTAAATGCATAGTCGACATAACTACACTGCAACGTGTTGATTTTACACCGCAATATTCACTCACTGGTGCATGATTTGCATTTCACATACGAGGACTTCGTGAGGTTATGGTGCATACCTGCACATGCATGCACAGCAGTCAAGACATGGATGCACTGCGAGTCTGGCCAGCTCAGCAGGCATGCAATCTTGACTGCAGTGGTGCAGGATTGCCTATTGCATTGCAGGATTGGCCAACCTACAATGCAAAAGACAATCCTGCTTTGTGCTCCAGGTGTGTCTTCATTCTAACGGAGCCATCTTGTCATGTTATAAACGTTGTTGCATGATAAATGACGGCGTCAGGCTGCTACGCCGCTGCAATGCTAATCGCAAGTTACACTGAATTATGTGCCTATGAACTACGTGTGAATTTAATTTTTTTCTCGGACGAAGGTGGGCTAGTTGCGGTAGGTTGCGCTTGTGGAACGGTTTAGCTACAGGTCAAAGCTTCACACTGGTCTCTGTTCTAATGGCCGTTATGTCTTGCATAGACGAAATGGATCAGTTTTTGTTGTTGTTCTTCGCATGGTCTGTTCGCCAGCCAGCCTGCA